CCCTAACCCTAACCCTAACCCTAACCCTAACCCTAACCCTAACCCTAACCCTAACCCTAACCCTAACCCTAACCCTAACCCTAACCCTAACCCCTAACCCCTACCTAACCCTAACCCTAACCCAACCCTAACCCTAACCCTAACCCCTAACCCTAACCCTAACCCCTACCTGAATTAACGTTAATTCACGTTAATTAACATGTTAAAACGCGTTAATTCACATTTTACATGTGGTTCACACCTGCAAATCTGAACTTTCATTCCCTTGCTTCCTTTTCCCCTCATCTCACATCCTCATCGCCGCCCTTGCGAATTCCATAAACTCAACCACTTCTTTCTCCCCAATCGCAAATTCCTCTTCGTCCTCCCCGTCCCCCCACTCCTCCCCCACGTCGCCATCCTCAACGGCCATCCTAAACCTCCTCTCCTCCTCTTCATATTCCCTCTCAATCCCTAACGCCCGCGCACGCCTCATCCGATCCTCCTCCGCGTCCCCCGCTCGTAAAATCTCATCTTCCTCGTCCTCGTCCACATCGCACACCCCGTCATACTCCGCATAACTTGTGAAGCCCTTCAATCGACTCTTCCCGCTCACCCCTTCCATGTCCACACTTTGCTTGTCTGACTTTCCAGCTTTCGCACCCCATTCCCCCTCCGGCAACGGTGGAATCAGCTCTTCCAGCGCCCGCCTTCTCTTTTCCGCTTCGTCCTCCTCCTCCTCTTCTTCGTCCTCCTCAAACAACTCTTCACCTCCCTCCCCTTCGAAAAATGTTTGTATCTTATCCTTGAACGCATTCAGCTGCTCCATCGCGATCCCCTCCGCGTCCTCATTTGCGGTCTCTCCCTCTTCATACACCCAGTCGTCTGGGTCTTCATACAACCGCAACGCTTTTGCACCTTTCTGCGCATCAACATACGGTGGCAACGATCGATCCTGCGCACACGCCTTGACAGCATCCAAAACAAATCTAAGCTCATCCGAAGTGTGCTTATCATTCTTGCTTTGGCTCGCCGACCGCCAAATCTTCAATGCCAATACAGTTGCTTGATTGTGAGTACATAATGGCTAGTCTTCCCCTTCATCTGATGATTCTTCCGTCTCTTCCTCATCCGTATACAGATCAACATCTTCATCCGAAGAATATACCTCATCATCGCCCAGTTGTAACACCAATTTTCGCAAACCTTTGTTCTTTGACCAATCCAGTCCTGATTCGAGTATAAGTCCCTGTGAAACCAGTAGCACTCAAGGTCAACAACACATCCTCTACTTATATGGAAGTTCCCAACACTTACCCTCAGAACACCTTTGACCATCTCACGTTTACCGCGAGCGGTATTGATTGCCCTTTGCAACGCTGCAATTCGAGCTTGAGCATCTTCTTGACGATCAATCGTAACGCTGTTCGAAATATCCAATTCATCCGTCTTTTTTCGTGCTAGGGCTTCTTTCAATTCGTGTATTTCTCGGTATAGGTTTGCTGTCGTTTCACGAGCGGCTGAAGTGTGGGTATGTAGAATGATTCAGTCTAAATGCTCTTGTGCTTTGTGACATACCATGCTCACCTTGAATATTGCCAAGGATTTTATATCGTTCTCTCTGTGCTCTTTTGATTTGATCATCAAGCTGTAGGAACTTCAAAGCGGCTTCGTCCCTCCTTGCTACTAGTGATCGAATCGGTTGCCTTTCTGGCGCTATGTCATGAGGACACAAAGAGATATCTGGCGAATTAGGAAAAGGTCCGGGTGGAACTGCTGCCATGGAAGCATTGATAGAATGGGCAGCGTCGGCGCTAAAATTGCGGGAAGAGAGGGGATGTCAGCAACATTGTTCAGCAACCTTCTTTGTAAGTCTGTACCCACGATTCCATTATAGATTCTTTGAGTGTTTGTGATTGTTGCAATTCAGCCAAACGATCTTTTCGTTGTTTGATCAAATCGTCCAAGTATTCTTCATCTACCACATCCCTCTCAAATTGATCCGTAGCAGTACGCTTTCCCGCTTGCTTTTCCTTCGCTTGCTTCTCCTCGTATCTTTCCCAGAACTCTATTCTCCTTTGCGCCTTTGCTATGCGTTTTCGTCTTGTTGTCAGTTCAAACACTAAACTTTGTTGTAAAGGTGTTAGGTAGGATGTGTTTAGTGTACTTGAATTGTCTGTTTGACCTGAAGCCACATCATCATCTTCGATATCTCTAACAAGCGAGACTGTTGACCTTGATGATTCGCCTATCGAAAGGTTTTCCATGTTTTTTCATCCATGTATGACTACAAGTTCGACATCATCCTTTGGTTGACAATCAACCTTCAAAAGTCAATACTAGAAATGTCTTGTTCTTGCTTTGATGCATCAATCAAACGCGTTCAATTTGTACGCTTTCCCTTTCAAATGCATCCAGGGCGCGTCTGAAGGCAAAGTAGAGCTGCACGTGGGAAGGTGAATCAAACCTCAAGGCTCCTTCTTGCCCGCGGTTGCCGCGTATTTTAATTAAAGCAGCCCAATCGTGCAATCTGACATAAGCCGGCATTCTCACCAGCAACTGCAGCCCGAACAAAAACTTGCCCTCTTCTCCGAAGCCCGAAAAAAAGAAAAGATCAAGAGATCGAGAGGTGAGTGGCGTTTTTGAGGCGGCATTTAGCATAGAAGGAAGAAAAAAAAAAACAAATTGTCAAATATGATTCATCTTTTGTGTAGGCACGCATTAAAAGCTTCCGTTCTTTTTTGAGGCATACAAAGGCGTACTACTTCCGGTGATACGGCGTTCGACGTTGGAGGGCGACATAGTCATTATTTAATTCATTGAACGGAAGGATTAGAGTAAAGATGCATCGCATGTATGACACACTTACGTTCTTTTTCATTCGATAACCCATTAATACAGAGCAATACGCATATGCAAGCTTATGCAGATGCATTGAGGAAGAATAAGAAGAAACATTGAAATCTGAGCTGGATTCCCGATTCGAGTCAATCATAAACACACCGAAGCCTTTCTCATAACCACCATCACTACCATTGCAACCTATCTCGCAACATGTCTTCTGAAAACCCAACAATCATTGGCACAAACGGTGGTGTGGCAACTGCTCCACACACCAACGGCATTGCAACCGATAAGCCCGTTCGTCATATTCCCTCTTCGAATCCAACAATCAAAGGTGAACCATCCAATTTAGGAACTTTTGGTGTCAAGAGTGGATTAGCACAAATGCTCAAGGGTGGTGTGATTATGGACGTCGTTAACGCAGAACAAGCAAGAATCGCAGAAGAGGCAGGTGCATGTGCTGTTATGGCCCTAGAACGTGTTCCTGCTGATATTCGTGTTCAAGGTGGTGTTGCACGAATGAGTGATCCAGAAATGATTCGTGGTATTATCGATGCTGTCTCAATTCCTGTTATGGCTAAATGCCGTATCGGTCACTTTGTTGAAGCTCAAATCTTACAAGCTTTGAACGTTGATTACATCGATGAAAGTGAAGTTTTGACACCTGCAGACGATTACCATCACATCAACAAGCACAACTTCAAAGTTCCATTCGTTTGCGGTTGCCGTAACTTGGGTGAAGCATTACGTCGTATTTCTGAGGGAGCAGCAATGATCCGTACAAAGGGAGAAGCAGGAACGGGTAACGTGGTCGAAGCAGTTCATCATCAAAGAACCGTTCAAGCGGAAATCAAACGTGCAGCAAGCATGTCAGATGAAGAATTATATGCATACGCAAAAGAAATTCAAGCGCCATTCCATCTTCTCAAAGAAGCCGCTCGTCTTAAACGTTTGCCAGTCGTAAACTTTGCCGCAGGTGGTGTGGCCACTCCTGCTGATGCCGCATTGATGATGCAATTGGGATCAGATGGTGTTTTCGTTGGAAGTGGTATTTTCAAAGGTGCAAATCAAGCCGAACGTGCAAAAGCAATCGTTCAAGCTGTTGCCCATTATGATGATGCTGAAAAATTGGCAGAAATTTCTTCTGGTTTGGGTGAAGCAATGGTCGGTTTGACAATCACTGATGACATGAAAGGTGGTCGTTTGGCAGGTCGTGGTTGGTAATCATTTTTGCCATGTACACAGATAGACTTCTTCTCTCCACTTCGATGCCCTCTCAACAGGCTTCTCATATGATTATCATTAATCGATCATGCACCATATTTTGTATTTAATTCATTGAAAAATAAAAATTGTCCAATACAAATGACAGACGACACTTAAGTGAATTATTGTACAGTAAAGTACATATGGATTTCAACCTTGATCTTCTCCGCCATTGCCAGCATCATAGGCATTGGACTTGTGCTTAGGAGTGAAACTCCAATTGTCTGGTGCTTTGCCCAAGAATAATTCTGTAATGCGTACCCAATCGTTTGCATTATTGGATGCTAATAAAGTCTCCAAATCATTTCTTCCAACAAAAGGCGGAGGACGATCGTGCATATGAACAGGTAGATGCTCCAAAAGTCCAATGGGAATATATCTGTACATGAAGCTCAATGCCTCACATACGAACCTTCTCGTTTGATTTACGCCCATCGAATCACTACCCCAATGCGTTACACCGTAAGAGCACAATTGACGAATGATGTCCAACCGCTCTCTACTGCTGATATCCCAATCACGTTTCTCTTTGATCTCTGTGAATACCCACGGCTTTACCAACGCACCTCGAGCTAACATTTGTCCGTCGACACCAGTAAGTGCCTTGTTTTCTTCGTAATCTTGCCAGCAATATACGTCTCCATTCCCGTAAATTGGGATTGGGTGCACCAACTCTTCATCCGGTCGTTCTTCGTTATGATGTCTGATGCTTTCCCGTAATGCTTCTGTGCATTGTTTGATGTATGTCCAATCTGCCGTATTCTTGTAGCGCTGTTGACGAGATCGGCCGTGCAATGTTGCTGCTGCAACATCCCAATCGACTTTCAGTCTTGGGAACATCTTATGTGTGGTCGGTGTGCTTGTCGTACCTGTACGAAGTTTGACAGTGATCGGAATATCTCCCGTCACAGCATTCATACCGCGCACAATTCGTCCAAGTCTACCGGGATGATCCAATAAAGCTGAACCAGCACCTTTGTTGTACACCAAATCGATCGGACATCCACAATTGATATCAATAAAGTCCAATCCGGTCGGAAATTCTTTTGCCAACACTTCTGCTGCCGGAACGAGCAAATCTGGCTTACTGCCACACAATTGTGTTCCAAAACACTTTTCACCTTCCCAACGTCTTACCAAGCTCCATTCGCTCTTGCTGCCTTGCAAGTAGCTATCCGCTAATCCCATCTCTCCGCAAGTGATATCTGCTCCAAATGAAACGCATAGTCGACGGAATGGCAAATTTCCCGTTGTCGTCAAAGGTGCCAAATAAAGCTCATCGTGGAACCAATCCAATCTTCGTTTCTCGCTTGGTCTGATACGTGCATTATCATTCAAGCTGACTGAATGCTCTGCTTCCGACAAACGTGCTTCTTTCGATTGTGCTTCGTTCATAAGAGCATCAAGGTCATCCGTTTCATCGTGTTCCCGCTTTGACTCAGGTTTCTTGTGACCGTTTGCCTTTTGATCTTGATATTTTGCCTTTGCTCCTTCTGCATCAATCATAATCGCACCTCGACTCACGCTGCCTTGGCCATCAGGACCCACTTCCTGCGAAAGCTGTTCAAGAGCAGCTTTGGCTAAGTAGATTGGATATTGCTTTGATCTGAGCGTACGTGGTAGAGATGGATCCATCCAGTTGACCTCATCAGGTGCGTTGCGTTTGTTTGTGCTCCCTCCAGAAGGTGTTTTTCCGGACAAGATCCATTCTGTTCCATCTGTTCCTTTTCCTTCTTCCGCTTTGAGAACGTGAGCACCCAAGAAGCGGCAACCCCAACCTGCATTACAGAAAGCTTCTTGTTCGGAGGTGGCTGCCTGCTTCTCTGACAGATAGACAGGGCAGCAAGTGCTTGTATCAAGGCATCCAAATGTGGTGTGTGGTACTTGGCTGAATAGAGCAAATGGCTCTTGTTCGCTGTAGTGCTTGTCTAGATATGCCTGTCTTGCTTGTTCGTCAAGCTCCCTCAAAGCTCCTTGCTTTGAAGTGGAGGGTGGAAAGGGAAATGGCAGATCCTTTGGTTTGGTAGAGAGGTAATCTTTGATCGAATGTGAATATTTACACAAATCTCCACGATCGCAAACCTGTCCTCTTGCGATCGGATGACAAACTTCATTCGTATCTCTGATCACTTCGAATTTTCTACTTGTGTTCATTCCTCGAGTACGTTTTCTCTCTTCTGTTGCTTGTTGCTTTTTAAGTTTCTTTCTCTGTGAACCACTCAATTTTGGTGCTTTTGCAATAGGTTCACCATTCTCGTCATGTTTGGTTTCAGTGGAATGCCCATTGCTTTCTGACGCTGGATTGGTCTTTTGTTCTGCTGCATCGTCGTCGACTTGTCTGTATGCCCTGAAATCCCTTTCGATTATGTACTGGGGCTTGATAGGCGCAATAGACCCTCCACCATTGCTATTCGTTGTCATCTCTGCCGTCATTGAGATAAGTGGGAAGAGGACAAGGTTGTCGTACGAGCCATTGTTCGTAATGCAAGTTGCCAAACCTTCTCAAAAAATGTTGCTTCACGTGTGTGTGTGTGTTGTTAATCTTATGTACAGAGGCTTACAGGCAGTCATATTCAGCATTTATTATTTTTAGACTGTTCATTCATTCAATGTATATTGTATCGGCCATTTCACTCCGCGGGCGCACAGAGAGGAGACGCGCTTTTCCCTTCTCTGGCCCCTTCATATTTTTTGGTATAATAAGCCTATCTGACAGTTTAAATAATAATGCGGGCCAAAAGTTCCTGGCTGGTAAAGTGCAATAGCGGCACGCACTGCACACGCACATACTATTCACCCCTTGGCGTTCTACTGTAGAAACAATTATACTCGCGCGTTAAAGTGTGAAATCCAGAAATGATGAACATCTTGAATCCGATCACCATAGCATCACATACCCGTCAGCCACTTAAACAGTTCGCATCAGATACCTTTCATCAATTCAAGGGTATCAAGGCATCGAAAACGGGTCTCTGGAAAGACCTCTATCTCATTCCAGCAGATAACAGCACTTTTCAATTTAACAATCTCACCTCGAGATTATCGACCAACCCAGAATATAATCACGATGGCAATCTTTAACAGAAAAGGAAAGAATGCCAACAGAAGTGATGATGGTGGAAGCAGTGGAGGAGCAGAAAAGAAGGCATTCACTCAAAGAAAGCCGGCAAATACAGCTTTCAAACAACAACGTCTTAAAGCCTGGCAACCAATTCTAACGCCAAAGACTGTTTTGCCAACGTTCTTTTTGATCGGATTGATCTTTGCACCTATCGGAGCGGTACTATACTATTATGCATCACAGGTATCCGAATTCACTCTGGACTACACAGACTGCTACAAACAATCCGACTCGATCACAGAAATGCCTTCAGACAAGTACAATTTCAACATCGTCGGAAATGCAGATCCATTCCCATTCTCAGCACCAGCTTGGCATACCGTCGCAAACACATCGGCACCAACTGGCAAAGCATGCGAAATCTTTTTCACACTCACAAACACTCTGCAGCCAACAGTGCTACTCTATTACAAATTAACAAATTACTACCAAAACCACAGAAGATACGTCAAGAGTATCGATATGAACCAATTGATCGGTAAGAATGTATCTGCAAGCTCTCTACAGGGCGGGAACTGCAAACCTCTCGGTGAAATTGACGGAAAGGGTATCTACCCATGTGGATTGATCGCCAACAGTATGTTCAATGATACAATCTTTGACCCAGTTCTTCTCAATGCGCCCACCACAACCAAACGTCAAGAATCCGGAGCAACAAAACAATACGTCATGTCGGAAAAGAACATTATTTGGCCAGGCGAAAAGAAGAAATACCTCAAAACAAGTCAAGATCCAAACGAACTTGCACCGCCGCCATATTGGAGAGGAAGTTTCCCGACCGGCGTTATTGCACCTTATTCTTATCCTAACGGATACAGTACAAATCAAATTTACGATCCTTCTGACGATGAGCACTTTATGGTTTGGATGAGCGTTGCTGGATTGCCAACGTTCAGAAAGCTATACAAGAGAAACGATAATGATGCGTTACAATCAGGACGTTATTCGATTATGATCTTTGATAATTATCCGGTCGATATGTTCCATGGAACGAAATCGATTGTGATTTCAACGGTTACTTGGGTTGGAGGTAGATCAGTCTTTTTAGGTGCCGCTTTCATTGCTACTGCAGCTTTGTGCGTCCTTTTGGGTCTCATCTTTACCGCAAGACATTTGATCCGACCACGCAAATTGGGAGATTTGAGTATGCTAAGTTGGAATGAATAATAATGATGACAAAGTTTCCCAAAGCACACTCTCATTCCAGACCCCGCATCATATCCCTTCCCATCTTTTGTATGTACACAACTTTATTTTCTCTCTCTCATGACTTTTAATCAATTCTGCACTGCTGGTATGTATGGCTTGGGTGATAATACAACAATCTATAAGTACAACCAAAGGGTAGAGTAGATATCCTCAATCGGCAGATGCTGATGATGACGGCATTCCATACACTGTCCCTCCTCCTGGTGCAACGCCAGGCGGTAATCGATTGCCGTTTGGTCCATCCAACGAAGCCGACAAAGCGGCAGTAGATTCTGCCAATTCTTTTGCCGATAGCGATCCTGCAAGTCTTTGTTGACCCTCTGCATTGGGATTGTCATCTGTTTGTGAGGATTTGAGTCCTGCTTCGTTTGTGCCACTTGGCTTGGTAGGTTTGATGCCATGATCCGTTAGCATATCTACGAATGGACCCCATAGATTTGAGATTGGTTCGAATTCTTGACCTACAACAACTGATTCTTCTAGCTTTCTGTTTAGTGTGTTCACATTGCCTAGCAGCTGTTCCATTCCCTAATGAGTGTTAGAAGAGGTGGTGTATGAGTCAGTGAATCGGTCTTTGAATGCACTATCGGAACGTTTACTCACATCTGCGATATCTGTGATCAAGCGTTCACGTTCTTTTAGGAAGAAAGGCGAAGGTGCAGATCCTGAGCCAGATCTCTGTAAAGCGGCCATATTGGCAGAATTACCCTTTGATGTCGACGCCATGCTTTGCTCATCAACCTGAATGCATGGTTGATGAGAAGGTGTAGCAGTTTGAACAGATTAACACAAATCAAAGTTTGTTTACACGCGTAGGCTGTGCGTGTGTGCGTTGCATGCATGCAACAACACAACGTCGATCTTTACGCGTAAAGTGTTTGTTGTTGTATCAAAAGTTACACAGCCCTCTCTTCAGCACCGCCATCACGGCTATCTGTTACTGTTCAATCAGAGAGAATTGCAAAAGATAGCATTTCATGCAGAGACAGGAATTACGAAAAGCAAGGTATAGTCATAAGAGGATAGAAAAGATTATTTTTGGGGATTATAATGGTTGCTATAATTCAGCGTCAAGCCTCGTCATATTTAGAGCGCACGAACGATTTTGACGAAACGATCTTCATGGGCTAGGTAAGTATCTTGTCCAATAACACCATCAAGCGATCCAGGTTCTTCACGAGATTCAAACATGAGCAATTCATGTCCTTCACTTGTTATAAATCTACGTGGTGTATAGAACGGAGCCGAACCCGATCGTCGGATCACTTCATTTCCCGTGTTGGAACATGAATTCGTGTATTGGATTCCATTCGTGTTGCTGAATGCGACGTTGTATGCATCACCATTTTCGACACTGTTGCGAGAGTAAAAACTAGAAATTACACCTCCTTGTACACTATTTTCATGAGCTGGTACGCAGCGAGTTACTGCTCCTTTACCTCCTTGTTGGGAAGAAGCATAAGGATATTCGTCGCAACTGTTAGAACTGTCATCGTTTCCAGAACATCTATTTGGAGAACGACATGCATTTGCAGCACGATGAGCCGTGGCATCATCACTGTCCCGATTTAATTGTGTGGGTTTACCGACACAGTTGATTGCGTAGAAATCATTTGCGCAGATATTTGGCACCTCTGTATTTTAGATAAGATGGTTAATCAAGATATAGAGATGATCAGTGGTTTTATTGTATACTCACTGGTGCAGTCGAAAGTGACAGTAGCAGCTAAAGAAGAAGAAGCGAATGCTAATGCTAAAAGGGTGAAAGAACGAATAGTAACCATTATTAGGACTATTAAAAAGATAGGAGGATATAAGGGAAAGGAGACGAGTGAAATTAAGGAGTAGGAGATATTTTATTCTAGGGATAGGGCTATACAATAGAAAGATAATAAGAAGAGTAAGAAGCTCTTTATATATCCTGTAGCACAGCATTCTATAGCGCGCTATGAGTAGAGCACATATTATAAAAAGTGAGTTTATTAAAATGAAACCTTCTCTCCTTTGATCAGGTATTAGACTAAGAATTTAATCATTATAACTTCCTTCACGGAATCCTATCCGAAGCTAAAAGATGTAATTAGGATAAACCTGATCGAACTTCACAGTGATTGAGGGTATCAAAAAAGATAAGTGAACGTGCTTGCTATCTCAAATCTACGCTAAATCAACAAATAACTATGTATATGCTGCACCTACGGTATTGTTTCTTCCAACAGAAATAAAAGTACTATCTGCGGGGATGTCAATTCTCATGCAGGCCAAGAAATCATAAAATAGGTTCTAAAAGGTTAAACATCATAAGTACAGCACGGATAAATTATTGATTGCACGTTGTTTGATTGATTGGACATGCATGCTCTTTACGCTAATCAAACGATTCAAGAAACGCTAGCACTTTCAAGTTGACTTTGAACATTCTAGAAAGCTGCTTTCATAAATCTAATTGGCATTCTGAAAGAGGGAAAGCAGCGAATTGTTATCGAATGAAAACCTAAGTAAGAAGTAGAAGTCATGCACGGGGATAAGTGTATAAACCGTATGACCTAGACGTGAAACATCACGAGAACATAATGTTGTACTCAATATAGGATCTTAGTTAGAACTATGCGAGAAGGAATCACACTTACCTCACCTACTGGATGAAATTCAATATCGGTCGTAAAGCGATCAATGATGGTGTGAGAAAAGCTGAAGTAAAAGAGATTGTGGGCTCCCAGCATACACAACATGTCACATCTTCACACGAGTGACAATGATCGTGCTTTAATTTAGGTTTAAAACTTCTTTTAAAGTCCTTCGACCTTTCTCCAATACCGTTACCTCAACTTACTTTATTTCTCTTTAGCCTGACACTGCTTTTAGGAACGGTCTGGGAAAATTGCTAAAATAAAACATGTCAAAAATTAAAGTTCTAGGTCTTGGTAATATTATCAAATTGTGTATCTGACCATGACGATTCCGTGAGTGGCCCGGGAAGAGCTGATAGACAAAGCCAGAGTAGCGATAATTGCCACACTTCATTTATTCCCATGAACGTCATTATAGGAGGTCCGTGTGTGTGCTCGAGCGTGGTTAAGAAGAAGCCACGAAAGCAAAAAATCAAAAGCCGTTGAGCAGATATACGGCTTTTATACCGTTTCATAAAATAAACTAAAAAGATCATCTTAAAGCCTTTATAAGGTTCGCCTTGATCGCTTTTCGAATGTGATCACTTAGCCTAATGTCACATAAACGAGTTGAGATGAAAGTTGTTTGCTTTTACTGTTTTACATAAGCGTTTTTGTGCTGTTCAGGGAGATCTGCTAATAATGCGCCCACAAAGGGGTGATTAAAAAAGACAGTCGGGGCCTTATGAAAAGACAGAGATTACTTGAGGCTTGCCCCGGCGCGTAATCAAAGCACTGCACCCGTGAGTGGCATAGATGAGCTTTTTACTTCAACAATTCAAGGCACTTTACCAGTATGTGCAAAGGAGAAGAAACGTTCTATACCACATAGGCCGATTCCCCGTTCATAAGTTTTAGTATAAGCTATTCATCCTAAACGTCGTGTGAACAAAAGCACAACACAGCTCGTCCTTTTCCATCATCTCTTCTTCACTTCGGTCGCCACTTGCTCTGAGAAAGAAGTGCATTTGTATATAAACACAATCGGTGGGAAGGAGCAACAATTCTCATTTCAATCCCCGACTGCCATTCGACTTCATATATCATAACATATTCGGGGTTACCTCTTTCCGACGACAAGAATGATTTCAATCGAACAAAGTTTAACCCAGCCAATGGCAACAGCAATAAAACAAAAGCATACATTCACTCCGGAGCTTTCGCATGATCATGACAGCTTGACATCAAGGTCAGACCATTATGATCGAATACAAGATGCTGGCAATTTTGCGGAAGCATTTTACGGCTCAGCATTACCACCTTCACCACCCTCTTCAGCGCATAGCAGTACTCTAGCCGAAACGCAACAGAGGCAACAATCAGAAGATATCAAACCTGACACAACAAAATTATCCCCTCTAAGACCTGCTTACCTCTACCTTGAAGGCGAAGACGCGGAAGTACCAGAACATCCAACAGACGATATCAAAGGCGTGCCAGTCTTTACACCCACTTGGGAAGAATTCAAAGACTTCTACTCGTATTGCTCTAGGATTGATGCATGGGGAATGCGCAGTGGTATTGTAAAGATTATTCCACCCAAAGAATGGACAGGTTCTTTGCCAAGTTTAGACGGAAGACAGAATGGCGAATCAAGCAAACAAGCAGGAGAACGATACACAGAACAAAACAGATTATCACAAGTGCGAATCAAGAATAGTATCGAACAGATATTTACATGTGCAGGTGCTGGTGTTTGGAGACAAAGTAATGTCGTACATCCCGGACGAATCGTCAATCCAAAACAATGGGCAGATATTTGTGCACAAGAAAATCTTCGCGGACCAGAAATGGCAAGGATGAAAGAAGTTGCACGAAGAAAACAAGATGATGCAGATGAAGATGGTGTGCGAACCAGGAGTGGGCGAGGAAGAGGAGCCGGTAAATCTCAGTCAGGCCCAGTGCCTTCAAAGAGGAAGTCAACCCGGGTAGAGACAGGTGAACAAGCATATGAAAGTGTGGACACAGAATTGACGACTGCATCTCAAGAGACACGCTCTTCTCCGAGAAAGTCCTCAAGTATTTCTGCCCATAGCTCATCACCGGCAAAGACACTATCGTCGATCACGAACAAAACCAAGATGGCTGATAGAACTACTCAAGAAGAATGGGACTTGTTTGACCACATCAATGGTTGGGCTAAAGAAGCCGGACAAGACGCTGTCCCACAGGATTGGGCAATGGACGTCTGCAGGGCTATTGAGAAAGAGTACTGGCGAGGATTGAATTATGGCAAGCCACCGATGTATGGTGCTGATTTGTCGGGAACATTATTCACAGATGAAACAAAGGATTGGAATATCGGGAAATTGGACAACATCCTGACCAGGCTTCGTTTGAAGCGAAAGCTACCAGGTGTAACGACTCCCTATCTATACTTTGGTATGTGGCGTGCAACATTTGCTTGGCATGTCGAGGATATGGATTTGTATTCGATCAACTACATCCATTTTGGCGCCCCAAAACAATGGTATTCGATTCGACAAGCTGATAAACAACGCTTTGAATTAGCAATGGCTTCGGCATTCCCTGCTGACTCTTCACGCTGCCGTCACTTTATGAGACATAAATCGTTCCTTGCATCGCCTGGCTTCATCGAATCAGCAGCAGGTCGAATCAAGCCATTACGATTGGTTCAAAAGGCGCAGGAGATTGTACTGACTTATCCTTATGGATATCATAGCGGATACAATTTAGGTTTCAATTGCGCCGAAAGTGTCAATTTTGCGTTGGAAAGATGGTTGGATATTGGTAGAAAGGCAACGTATTGTGAATGCACGGATGATACGGTCAAGATGGATGTTGATGCAATGTTGGATGAGAGCAAAGAAATGGAAGAACTTGACCGAAAACGAAAAGAACGTGAACAAAAGCGATTTGAAGAGGCTGGATCGACGCAAACAGATGAAGAAAAGGCTGAAGCACGTAAAGCACGTGAACGTGAACGTAGAAAGCGTAGAAAGGAAGAGCAGGATCGTTTGGCAGCTTTGGGACTTGCACCAGATGATGAGCCAGAAGAAGAAGATGAGGAAGTACATCAAGCAAAGAAGCAAAAGATTGACTCTTTCCCTTGCGAATTCTGCCCCTCTACCTCAAAAGAAGATTTGATCGTCATTCCCAGCTCAAAGAGCAAGGATGATAAAGTCAAACGTGCTCATCGTCTTTGTGCCAGTTTCTTACCGGAGACATGGATTGCACCCAATTCCAAACCTGTGAAGGGAATACCACGCACGCCAAAAGAAGTTGTAATGGGTTACGAAGGTATTCCAAAAGCACGTTGGTCTTTAAAATGTCAAAATTGCAAGGAAAACCAGCTCTCAAAACGTGGGGCTAAAGTTCAATGTACTTATGGTCGTTGTTCACGTACTTCGCATGTCAGTTGTGCATTACAGGAAGGATCCGGATGGATGTTGGACGTTCTGCCTGAATCAGAAGCTGATGAAGTTGAAGGACGAACAAAGGCAGCACCATCCAAGTCAACAAAAGGAGGAAAATCCAAAAAGGCCGCCAAAGCTGACAGTAACAAAGAAGATGACGAAGAGGTGGAACAGGTCATCACCGGTCAATCTTCTTCTTCGACTGTTGAAGAGGAGGATGACGATAAAGATCCACGAATGGTGATGTTGTGCAAAGTGCACAATCCTTATGAACGTGAACGTGAAATGGGTTACAAAGTGGATATCTTGCGTGTTTGTTTGCAGACATTGATGCCTTCTCAAAAGATTTGCGTACGTACCCATACGGGATTGTGGGAAACGATGTTGCAACGATATGAACGTCCATCAGAAGATGATAAGCACAAATTTGATGAAGGCGATGTGATTCTTGCGGATGGATCACGTGTAAAAGGTGCAAAGGTGGTATTTGATTCTGAAACGATGAGATTGGCAGAAGATGTTGTTTGGTATCGTGATGAAGCGGATTATATGCGTGAAAAAGGACAATTGAAATCGGCCGAAAGTATGGTTGAAGAATCAAAGAGATCAAAGATTGAATTGCAAAAGTATATGCATACATTGTATCAAGGATTACAGTCAATCGTTAAAGAGGCTGTCAAACCGGCAGATCGTGATCGACGTGCAGCGGAAATTGAAAGAAAGCGTCGTGAGCATGAACAGCAGCAGCAGCAGCAGCAAGGGCAACAACAACAACAAACGCAATTACCCATACCGTCTTTGAGTGTCGAGAATTTTGATCGTGCTCGGACACCAGTAGTACCATCTCAGCCTGAAGGTGAACCACATGTGCAAATCACAGATCCGGATACGATTGCGGGTACAGATCGATTATTATTAGCAGCTCAACTTGACGTCAGTCGTGGTGGTGCTTAGGTTGCACCACGATGACGAATAAAAAAATGTATTTATTTGATTTTGTCTGTTTTGTATCATTTCATCTCTTTTTCTCGTATGCTCTTTGTACCCTGCTTGCAATGATCCAAGTTCTTCTCTAATGATGTCACCATTTGTGTAGCTTCACACCGGCGCGTTTTTGATTTTTCGATGGCCTAGCGTCGGCGCCTAGAAATTCGACTTTTTTTTTTTTGCTTACGTTCTTCTCGCCGATCCATCATCATCATCACGAATCAGAAATCATGGCGGGTACATCAACATTCGATAGAAGGCGTATCAATGGACCAGAGACTATACAGCCCACCTTTGCCTTACCTACCACATTCAAAAAGCAACGGTCAGCATCAGAACGTCAAGGTGTTCACTCGTTATTCATCCAAACCGGCTTGGTCGCACAAGCAAGCGGTAGTGCATATTTCGAAAGCAATTCCGTTAAAGCTGCTTGTTCAGTGTTCGGACCACGACAACAGTCACAGCAAAATCGTTCACAAAGTTCTGCTACCGGAGGATCTTCTGCAGGTGCTGGAAGTGCAGCTAGATCGTATACCAACGAAGCTGAGCTAACGGTCGATTGTAGATTTGCAAGTTTTGCGACGCATACTCGCAAAAGAGCAGGAAAAGATACGGAATCCTCAACATTGGCAAGTACTGTTCGACTAGCCTTGCTTCCTTCAATCAGGTTGGATAAATTACCTAAAGCGACAATTGATGTTTTCATTACGATCTTACAAGCTGATGCAGGACGAGGACAAGGTAGCACTGATGATGAAGCATGTGCAGCTGCAGCTGCTACCGTTGCAAGTTGTGCTTTAGCAAATGCGGGAATCGAACTATACGGTCTCGTGGTGGGCGTACATGGTGTTTGGGGACACGCAGATGGAATCATTGTTGATGCCACACATGCAGAAGCTGCAAGAGCAAAAGCTTCATTAACACTTTGGAGTATGCCAGCGCTAGGAGCGGTCACTTCTTTAGATCAAACAGGTCATATGAGCTTAGAAGAGATGGAAAAGGTGAGTGTTCCATGCCCTCCAATTTGTCATTGAATCGAAACTGACCCTGTCTTTCTTTCTCAGCTACTCACACTACTACAAACAGCTTCGGCAACAATCCACTTAAAGGCAGCCAAAGCGATCCAAGATGGATTTAAGCAGAGACATTTGGGTGAATCATAGATGATGAATTGTTGTTATACACTGTTGTACTATAGGTATGCTTGTTTAAAATTACAAAATTGGCTTGATTGTGATTGGGATTCTACGATTGCGATTGCAGAGCTGCTCTATCTACTTGTTCCAAATCAGCTTGCATTTCTGGGAATGCCTGTTCGAGCTTATCGCGAAGTCTATCGCGATATTTCTGTAAGATGGGAAAAAGATGGTTTAATTATCATAGTACAAGTGACACTGCACTCCTCTACTCACATCAAAGTTGACTGCTTGACCGCGCATTTGTTGATTGTCGCTATTGAGTCTGTTTGTAAACGTTCTGGTGTGTATGTCTGGATTACGACCTGAATCGATCATCGTCATCACATCTTCGGGTACCATTTGTGTTAGATCTGGCGAATCGCATGCATTTTGTAGTCCCTGCAAAGACTCCATCGTTTTGTTTCTGTTGGGAGATTAGTGTTAGTATTTCATTATGCCGGCATCTTACCGAAGCCAGCACTCACATTTCCAAACGAACGATATCTTCATCACCTTCATGTACTTCTGCCGCACAAGTAGCCAGCTGCATTAAATCATCGATAGCGACCCGAATTCTTTCTTCAAGTGTATTTCTTGCTCGTTCGTGTGCTGGATTGCCATACACTTCGCCGCTTGTTACTTGTCCTGATATACTTGCATTTCCATCCGTTTGATTTTGTTGACCTGTCAATGCAGATGCCCCACCTATCGATAAAGGTTTAAAGCCACCTGTATTATTTCCTCTTTCTACTCCTTCTGGTGGTTCAGGAGATGGAGATGGTGACAGTGGTGTTGCTTGTCTTCTATTTGTCCCAGACATATCCTCAAGTGATTGGTGAGAACACAACGAGAAGATTTGATTATTTTTTTGTTTTGTATCCGATGATCCGTTTTGACTGCATACACACACACGCACACACACACAATTAAGCCTATGGCTGCTCTCTTGACTGGGTCACAAGGCTTTAAAACGGGCGACGGTAATTGCACTGCACCGACGCCGTACAGGCAGGGCACTAAAGCAAGGCAAAAAATACGCCATTCAAACACGGCAAACCAAAGGCGGCGGCGAATCAAGTGAGAGAGTTTTATCATGATGTGTTTAAAGTTTTACCTCTTTTTTTCCCCACACTTCCCCTCATTCTTACAAAGCACTCTCTCGGCCCTTTCGCCTCAAGTTTCTCGCTTACACTTTCACATTTTTAATCAATAGGGTTCTAGCAGCAATTAACTAAACAAACTCAAGCTGATTTGACAGTAATCGGCAGCAAAAACTTCTTACCTTCCGATCGACATCCTTCTCATTTCACTCAAACAACCACCATCTTCACCCCGTAACTTTCATACACAAGATGCCGCTTTGTACGCTTCATTTGGTGCAATTATACCGTCAATCGGAAGAAGAACCAATATTCGCAGCTAGGAGAAGATTCTTGCACAAATTATTGAGCAAATCCAACGGAAATGATCTCAACGATCGTCTGCTTTCAGCATGTGTCGTTCGTCGTTCTGTCATCATGGCCACGAGAATAGATCATGTCCGCTTAAACAAAACTGCATGGGATCTGGTCCTGGTAATGAAAGGATCAAAAGACGAAAAAGCGGATCAAGCACAACCTCTCACACTGGAAAATCATCCTTTGACAAAAGCGGATATTGCTAATGAGTATACACTTCCTATTGGTGTTCCCACAAGGCTTGCTGAAGGGTATAAATCCAGGACGGAACAACTCAATGCGGAAGCCAAAAGATCTGAGCACCTCTCAATAGAATCACTCGAACGAAAACCTGCACGTTCAGTAGAACAATATCCACCTAAAACCAGTCAAAATCTTGAACATTCAGAAGATTTGGCTCAGCTGATCGAAGATTTGAACAAGTTAGGGACAAGTGACGGATTGGCTGATGGTCGTGGTCCTGTTCAACAATTGAACTTCTTGGCATTCAATCGCTCAAAAGAAGATAAGGAGCGCTACTACCAATACGGCAAAGGGTTCACTCAAGCTGCTAAACCGTTTGGAGGTGAACCAAAGATCTTGGCCAAAGTGGTAAACGCCGAAGAACAACAAAAATGGCAAGAAGTAAGTCTCGTGAATTATTATTCACTTTCTCATTTTGCCGGAATGGCAGCAAGTGAAGAATATCAAGAAATTAATCGAAAGTACAGGTTACCTTCTTTGGATGATACAACAATCTTTTGTACGCAAGAGGTTGATTTGGATGGTTTACGTAAACGTATTCAAATTCCACAATCTCAAGCGAACCTATGAGGGATTCGAACATGGAAATTGTGTATAGATGCTTATATATATATTACATTGAAATTTGCGATGATTGAACGGAGAAATGAAGTCGTGAAGTCGTTGAAATTGTTCGTAGAAAATTTTCATAAAGTGCTGTTTTGTTGAGTTTGAATTGCTCGATTACCTGCTTGCATTCCCAATAAGCCGGCAATGATTGTTACAAGAATTGCAACTGCTACTGCTAACGTCAATCCCATCGTGATTGCGACTGAATTGCCAAGGTAATGAGCAGTGTAGCCTGCTAAGCCTATCAATTCAAAGACTGCGCCCAAGGGAATCAAGAATCCTACCAATACCGTAAGACGGTCCAGAATAGCAGATGCACGAGGTGAGAGCGGTGGACCAGGAGAAGAGACCGGATTTGCATTGATTGCGTTCAACGAGAACATACCATTGTTAAGCAACGTTTCACGATCTGTTTGGCAATTATTCGGCTGTGCGAATGGATCGTTTGATTGTGCATTTTTGGCTTGAAGTGAGATACTGGCAACAATCGTACCTGCCGCTAAAAGAGCACCATAAACCTCTAAAAACAAAGCTGAACAGGAAATCGCAATCACCATTCTGTATATCGGATCTTCTTCACCGCTGCCCAATTGTTCTTGTTTACTGTAATAGGCCAATAGCGTAGCTTGAACGCCACCTAAAAGGGTTGCCAATGTTGCCCAATGCGATAAAATCTGTTTTGCTTGCGGTACGGACCAATCTTGATGTGAGAGCGAAGGCATAAACTTTTTCACGGGTCGATCAGGAGCATAGCGAGGATGTGAAGGGTTTTTGTGTCCACGTTTATACCAATTATTTCCACGGTGATATCTAGGGTCTACTGGCCAGCCACGTCTATCATCATAAGGTCCTGACCATCTGCGATCTCTCTCTTCGGAGTAGGGTTGCTCTAATTTAAGATTGCCTTCATCGTCCAAATTATCCCTCAATGGATCAGCATAGCCGGGGGGAGGGATATAATAACCTGCCGGTTGTGGCGTCTTTCTGTTCTGGTCAAACGAATCCCTCTGACGTCTTCCGTTCTCACTCGAATCTCGTCTTGGTGAAGCAGCTCTTTCCAATTCTCTTTGAGCGTAACGAAGAGCAGCCGTGGCGGCACTTTGAAGATGGGTATGATCCGTTAGATTTGGCGTACTACTTCTACGTTGACCTGCGCCAATGCTTTCTATATTGCTATACCTTTTCGTTTTTGCTCCTACTTCACGATCAGTGTTGGCCATCTCACCCACTCCTACCTTTAGTTTAAGCCTTTTTTTGCTTGTTCGTAAGTATATCTGCTTATTCTCCACGGTTTGTCAATATTGCATTATGAGAAGTGGGGTAGGAGGGCGGCAAAAAGAAGAGATGATCGTGTGATGATAGTTGATCGAATGAATGAACGAATGAATGAATGAACCGGCGGATAAATGAAAAGGAGTACTATGTAAATGAAAAAGAAGGTCTGTGGGGTAGAGTAACATATGCTTTCATCATCCTTAGCGGCATTTCAATTAGGGGTCCCACTCTTCACACACTATCCGTTGTTGTGGTCCTCGTGCTATTACGCGTTAAAACGCGTTGAATTCCATCCCAGCCGTTTTGACCTTTTAATGATCTTGGCATAAGCTAATACCCCATCAGAAATCCTAAATTGGAACAATAGCAAGTGAAATTTAAAGATTATCATTTTGAAATTTAAAGCGGGGTCTTTTCTCTAATCTATCTTCATCAATGAACAGCGGGACACCGAGACGAAATTAGCATGCTTGCTTCATTTATGTATGTATGCACCTTTTGATCGTTTGCACTTGATAATGCATACATGCTAATAGAATAAATTAAGTTGCCGAGACTTTTATACGGTGGATTAATAAACATGCGTAAATGAAGAGGAAGGTACTAGCCTGGCTTGGTATTGAGGCTTACATAGCAGTATAACCTGTGCCAGGCATACCATCAAGCCGAAAGTGTAATCGGGATAAGAGTTGAGAAACTTCTACGAATCAATTTAAACAGGCTTAAGGTAGGGGTCAATTTGTACGCTAAGTTGTGGTGATCCTCGCTTTGGTGGTGACATTCCCTGTGTTTCCTCATTTGGGTCAAAGGACAAGCCTTAGAATATACACTAGCGCCAAGTGATTTTTATTATAGAAACGCGCCCCCCCCCCCGACTCGGCTGCACTGTACTGCACCCCATGTCACCACACTTTTTTTCTTTTTTTTTTCACGCTAACGAATACACCAAGAAGGTTCCCCTCGGCATGCACACGTTGGGTGTACGGGATTTACACATACAGCATCACAGCAAATCTGGCTAAATACAATTATTGGGCATGAACCCCCCCCGTTTCGTTCGGAGGATTTTATTTTTTGTGTGGGATCTTGCATAGAAGACACTGACTTTGTGCCACATTGAATTAGCTCTTCTAATTGTGTTGTACTCCTTCTTCTTCTTCTTCCTTTGTAGACACACACACAGTTTATGCACCGAATACTTGTGACTGCCCTTTGTACAATAAATTCACCTATCCGCCGAAAGCTCCTTTTATGCTACTCCTTGGAGGGCTGATTTGCTTCCATACCCGTACAGGATGTAGTGTAATAGGTGATCTGATGCATTCTATCAACCGTTTCTATAAAGAGCAATGCCTCCATAAAAGTAACCCAGAATAGATTCTCCCTCTTTTTAAATCATCATCATCATCACTATCAAAAATAACTACCCTCTCACGATCATTCAATTTCGACTATCATTTTAGGGTCCGATCCTATTCTTATTCAACCAGAGATACCTATCACGACTCCCTCCCTTTGTGTCGCAACCGTTCCAAAATGGCTCGTTTCAATGCCATTTTGATCCAATTGATGGCTTTGGCTATGCTTGGATCAAGTGTATTGGTAGCCGCCTCTCCAGAATATTATGGTCGTTCAATTTCAGCAGAACGTGAAAGTGAATCAGAACTTTTCTTGAACGAACGTGGTGAATTGGATGGAGAATTATACGATAAACGCGGAAAGATGTTTCAAAATCCAAAGATTAATTTGGCAGGAAGAGGTGAAACAAAGATGCTAGAAAAACGTCAACAACCCGGATTCAATTATGGTTCTTCAAAAGTTCGCGGAGTCAATATTGGAGGTTGGTTAGTTGCAGAACCTTGGATCACTCCTTCCCTATTCGATGATACTGGCGATAGTAGAGTGATTGACGAATGGACCTTCGGTGAATACGTTAGCGATGCAGCTAGCAGACTAGAGCATCATTGGGCAACCTTTTATACCGAAAGTGATTTCGCACAAATCGCAGCTGCAGGTTTGAACCACGTTCGTATCCCAATTGGTTATTGGGCCTTGGACAAAGGTTCTTCACCCTTCATTCAAGGTAACCAGTACAACTATTTGAAGCAAGCCGTCGGATGGGCTCGTAATCATGGTCTGAAAGTGCTCGTCGATCTTCATGGTGTACCAGGAAGTCAGAACGGATTCGACAACAGCGGTCGCAAAATCTCTCCTCCACGTTGGTTCAATCAAGAATCCTACAAAAATCGTGCCAAAGCTGTCATTCAAACATTCGCCAACGATTTCGCCAGTCAAACTGATGTGGTCACTTCGATCGAATTGGTAAATGAACCTTTGACAACTTCCGGTCCTTCGAACGCACTCTCATTCACAAGAGATTACTACAACAATGCATATTACGCAGCCCGTTATACATCCAAAGGTCAATTGACAAATTTCGCCGTGACGATGCACGACGGTTTCCAACCTTTGACGTATTGGCAAGGGGCTTATCAACCTCCGCAATATCAACAAGTGATTTTGGATACCCATCAATACTCTGTTTTCAATCAAGACCAACTTCAAATGTCCAACAATGCTCGTTTGGGTTACTTCTGCAATCTTGGCGGTCAAGTCGAGACCAGCAATAAGAACTTGTACACCGTCGTTGGCGAATGGACTACAGCTCCTACCGATTGTGCAAAATACTTGAACGGACGTGGAATTGGCGCACGTTACGATGGAACATATCCAGGTTCCAGTAAGATTGGAAGTTGTAACGGAAAGACGGGTAAAGGCACAAATTTCAGTTCAAGTTATAAAAGTTTCTTGAAACAAATGTTTGACACCCAAAGGAAAGCTTATGAACGTGGAACAGGTTGGATCATGTGGACTTGGAAGACCGAAGAAGCAGCCGATTGGGATTACCAACGTGGTTTGCAATACGGTTGGATTACCAAAAATTTGAACAGTTTCAGCTCGTCTTATTGCTAGAGCGTTTTCTCCGCAAAATTGGACATTCATCTTTATCTCCAAACGCAATACTGCAATTTGCGTGCATGAAATCAATGTATCATCACCTGGATCAATTACGGATCCCCATTCATGTATATCTCCCTGACTTTGTCATCATTCTTAGAAACAATATTTCAACGAACAATTCAATGATATTCTTCTGTCATCGTAGGTCCGACAAATTGATTCTGTGTACCCGCTTCCAATCTGCTACTGATCCGTTGGTATTCCACAATTCCACTGCGCCTAACTCGATTTGCTTGATTGGGTTCTTGCCGGAATCCGAAATGCCGAATGCGATTCCTTTTCCTGTTTCATGATAGAGGGGACGATCGCCCTGTTTGAGAGATTGGATGGTTTGTTGCATTTGCTCTTTTGTCAGATGTCCATAAAGCAGCGAACAATGAGGGAAATAAGGAGGCTGATCGTGTGCGTTGAATGCATCTCGCATATATGCATTGATCGATAACAATTCGCTTGTCTTCTCCAATGCGATCAAGATGCACTGAATCAAAGGGGCGCCTCGTGTAAGCAAGAGAGCTCAGTGTTCCCAATAAGAGTATCACTCACCTGAAAGTATAAACCCCTCGTTGTGACTTCTTCTAGCTTGAGCGATAATACTCCTTTTGTATTGGATGCCCATCTCTGTCCTGCTCCTTTGAATGCATGCCAAATCTTGTCAGCCGTCCATCCATCTTCTTCATTCAATCCTGATAACAGGGTTACATGTGGTTCAAATGGTGCTGAAATGTCTGCATGGACTTGTTGTCTTATGTGTTGCATTCCATCTTTGAGGATATTTACTTCTTCTTGACGTGTTGGTACTAGCCATAATGAATAACCTGTAAATGTAGATTGAGAATATGGATCATTATTGTCAGTCATCGTTTGATGTAATAAAGAAGAATATACTTGATAATAACCCATAATTGATCAGACCTTGTTATTATTTTGAGAAGAAAATGCTTGTTCATCCTGATCAGCTTTTACCTCTTAAAAGGACCGTGCACATTGTAAAGAGAAGTTCGAGAAGACAATGCGCGTCTATTTGTCAGTTTCAGTCTTGAGTGGAGCCACACTGACGTCAATCACACGCTAAAAGTGTAGATAAAGTGCGCGACTAGAAGTAAAAACCCCACAAACACGATAATAAGAGAGAGAGAAAGTGTGTGTTGTGTATGTGTGTGTGTGTGTGGAGAGAAGAAAGGGAAACAACAAACATACACAGTCAAATCGAGATAGCGAGCGAAGTGACAAAAGAGTGTGAAAGATTAAACGCCGCCTACAAAGGCACACACAACGTCAGAAGAAATCTCTGGGCGGCGCAATTGGCGCGCCGAATCGAATTGGAATTCATAACCAAAAACAAAACACAGCTGCTTCATTCGAATGCATGTCAAATCGATCCATGCATATAATCAAGTCAATCAGCCTCTCCACCTCTTCCTATCACCATCATCTCTTCCTCCTCCTCCAAACATGGCACCCAAACCACAAAACTTGAAATTGTCAGAACAGGCTCTTCAAAATGCAAATGCAATAGACTCTTCAGCAGCACGAAATGGTCGTCCAGAAAAAGTTCGTTTGGTGATCGGAGGAAGCGCAGGAATTCCAGCTTTGAATGAATTAACGTTATCATTCAAAAATGAAGGATTCGGAAAAGACAAGAAATCAACAAAATTAGGAGGAGTTGCTTATGAAATGCAACCAAACGATAAAGCTGATACAGCTTTAGACTCTTTCAAAGTCGCTTTTGAATCTCCCGGAAACATTCCAGTCACTTTGATTCATCCTATCCCTGGTGCTATCGATGCTAAGAAGTTACCTCCTCCAGACACTCCACCTCAATTCGCTCAAGTCTGCTTCGCTCTTCCAAGTATTCGTTCCCCTTCAGACGTTCAAGGCGATAATGAACAGAAATGGCTGGAATTGTTTGAAGTTGCCAGCGAACGCAGCTTGACACTGGAATTGGCCATTCTTCCAAGCGAAGAAGTACGTGAGGCAGTAGAGAAACTTTTGGGAAAAGCATGGGATCAAGAAGTTGCAGCTGCCAAAAAAGCCGGAAAGGAAGACGAAGTGAACAAGAATGGCGTTCGAATCATCTTTGATGGGTTGGCTTCACCTCCTTTGAACCAAAACAGCTCTCAATTGTCACGCAGTAAAGATACAGAAGCATGGTCAGACTTTATCAGTCGATTAGCCTTACATCCTCGGGTTTATTTGAAGGTCTCCCCTTTACCTTTGCCAAGTGTTTTACCTGCCGGTTTGACAAATATCACACGTCCGGTCGATCAAGTTGCAAGTGGTATTCCTGTTCCTGGAACAGATTTGGCAGGCGGAGCAATTCGAGCGGCAACGGATGTGGCTACAAGAGCAATCAATGCGACCGAAGCAGCAACTACAACCACTTCAAGCGATCGACGTGATGAATTACGAAACCGTTTGCGTGTTTTCCTGGAACCTGCTCTGGAAGCATTTGGAGAAGAGCGTCTCATTTGGACATCATACCTTGCCGCTGGCAGTGCTACCACCCAAGCTGCCGCTCAACATGTCAACGGCGGTAAAGAAGATGATTTAGCTTCGCTTTCTGAGCCTGAACAATGGTTCGAGGCTGTCTTGTCAACTTTACAGGACATTGGTGTCAGTCAAGCTGCTTTGGACAATGTCTTTTCCAATAATATTTCCACTGTGTACCGTATGTGAAGTTGGCTAACTTTTTCATACTTTACCGAAATACTTGCATCAAGTAGATAACTTTCGAGATACACCTTTCCAATCATTCATATCTCTTTCTTTATATAAACGTGTAATGGGATATATTCCAGATAGTACAAAAGTCCCTTCTTGTGTCTATTCGGCTGGGGCAGGTAAAGCGGACTTACCATGTTTACCCAAAGTTGCAAAATCACCATGAATAATCCAAGCATCAACGTATTCTTCACTCTTGCCATCTTTTGTTTTCAGTAAACCTGCTTGTGGTATACGACCGATTCGTGAGAATCCTAAACGTTCCCATATACGTACTGAAGCTTCATTGTTTGCATAAACTAGATTAAACACACTTCCACGATAACCTGCCAAAGGACCATAATGCAAGAATGTCCTGCCTGCAACTCCTCCCAACCCTAAACCTCTATGAGAAGGTGGAACGACAAAACCTGCATTACACAAATGTGAAGAACGACCCGGGTAATTCGGTTTGATATAATAGCTAAACGCATAGGCACGTTCCCAATCCCTTCCTTCTAGTAGTCGTGACTTTGTTGCTTGTAGTTCTATATCGTCATCTGTTGGTTTGAGTGGATGTCCGATTAGGACCTCTGCTTCTTCTTGTGCGATCAGAATACCAACGATCAAATCGTACGATAAGAAATAGTTTCGGAATTCAGTCACGCCCATCGATCCTCTTTGTGGGTATGTGATGCCCTTTTCCAGTTCGCTGGTAAAATAAAGGAAGGAGATTGTCAATAGGGTATTTTGTCTATTGCACTTTGACATGACTCACGCATTGAATTCGTTTCTCAATTGATCCTCTAATCCAGTCGGAACTTCTTCTTCTTTGCTTGCCAATTCGAATGGAACTGTGATTATTGCAGCTGCTTGTGCCGTTGCTGCTCTTTCAGGGATGCAATACAAGCGTGCATTGAGAGGATGTGCCTTTTTAGGCGCAGGTACTGTTCCGTATGCCATTATTTTGAGGAGAAGGGGATGAGAGTAAGATGTACATGTCAAGATAAGGATGAATTCCTGATTGCCCGCTCGCTTTAATTAATAAATGTCAATCAAGCATGACTGTGTATGTACTATGAGTGGGGGGGAGGGAACCTTCCAGTCGTTGTGTTTAATTATTCTCCCCCGCGTTTGCAGAACAAAGAAAAAGTTAAAAGAAAAGCCGCGGAAGAATCATCATCGATTGTCTCTTCATATCATTCCTTATCTGAACAAGAACCAGCGTCATGGCAGGATCCAGGTATGCATACGTCCGCAATTTTGAACTACCAGATCCAGTATTACCAAATACATACATGCTAGTTCGAATCGATGGTAAAGGATTTCATCGTTTTTCAAACGATCACAATTTCACAAAACCAAATGATGGTAAAGCATTAGAGTTAATGAACGAAGCAGCAAGATTTGTCATGAACGACCTTAGACCTGAGATCACACTCGCATTTGGGGAGAGTGATGAATATAGCTTCTTGCTTCGACCATCGTGTACATTGTACAAAAGACGATCAAGTAAGCTTGTCACGCACATCGTTTCTCTCTTCACTTCAGCATACGTCTTCAATTGGTCAAAATATATGGACTGTTCGTTACAGTATCCTCCTTCATTCGATGGAAGGCTGGTAATTTATCCATCGCAAAAAGAGGTAAAAGACTACTTTGCCTGGCGACAAGTCGATACGCATATCAATAATCTATACAATACCACTTTTTGGGCTTTGGTATTGCAAGGCAATCAAACCGAAAGGGAAGCACATGAAACACTCAAAGGAACAGTCTCTTCCGACAAGAATGAGATCTTGTATAATCGCTTTCAGGTCAATTATGATAAATTGCCGGCCATGTTCAGGAAAGGAACTACTTTGGCTTGGGATGCTCGTCCGGAGAAGTTGAATGAGGGAGAAGGAGCACAGGAGAAAAAGCCAGAGAAAGTCAAGGCACGGCTAAGGACGTTGCACGTTGATATAATCGGATCACACTTTTGGTCAGAGAGCAGCAAGCAGAAGAGGGAAGTATCACAACTGGAAAGCAACGAACAGCAGCCTTGGGAAGATCAGGATCGTACAACAGACACCAATTCATTAGGTTTTACAGCCTTGAAACCCTAAATATACCCATGTTAGATAGATTATTGTACAGTATAGAGCATAAATGTATGATACAAAAAAAGAGAAGAGCAATTCTTTCAACCGCTTCTCTACGTCGACCAAACCCCTTCTCGTCCGTGTGCACGACGAACGAAATCCTGAAAGCCACGTTCTTCGCTTGTGGTGACGTAATTGATCACATGTGCCGTACTACTTCCGTCTGCACGTTGATCGACGACAGTTTCCGTTTCAGGAGCACGATAAGGTCCTGAAGGGAAGTCGTTTCCACAAATGAACTTGAGTCGATTTTGACCCAAGTAACTTGATTCAAGTTTAGACATCCTTTCTACCGTTACCCTATCCATATAAATACCCGCTTCAATAATTAGCTTCTGTAATCGTGGCCTGCTTGATGTGGAACCAATTGTTGGCTCGCTGCCGTACCCCAACAACGTCCTTGTACCATCATACAGCAATTCAGAGAATGGTCTGGTTAAACGTAAATGGGTCAAAGCGGGTAAATTGAGTAAAGCCTCGATCATTCGATTGTCCAATTTGGCAAAATAAAGATGAAGATGGGTAAGTTTGTCAAACGCTTCATCGTTGTTAGGGAGCCGATTCTCTCCTCCGCTGGAAGCCGAAGCCAATCTTGTCAAATGATTTGGTGACATGGCCAAAGCGGAAAGTGTAATTTCGTGTAATTGAGCGACAAGACGTGACGTTGAACGACGAAGACTTTCAGTTCGTTGTAAGTCTAGGATCGCTTCATAAATATCCATATGAGCAGCGCTATTTTGGATACTATCCACCCTACTACGATCATCGCCATCACCTCCTCTCTCTTGTTCGCCAAACATTTTGTGTACCCATTGGGACTTGGGAGAGGAAGCAAAAGCGGCATGAACAGCAGTGAAGAACCTAGATAATAAGAATATTGGGTATGCAATCAACGGCTTATCTTCTTGTGCTTCCCATGGATATGACATACTCCAATATTCTTCAACGTGTAAGATGTTGAGATTTTTGGCTGCTAATAAGATACTAATCATCCACATTTCTGGCTTTTCGTCCGTTTTGAGAGATCGAATTCCGTTTGCATCTTTGTTGTTGTTGAGGTACAAACATTCAATGGCATCTTGACGTTTGCGAAGGCGTAATTGTTCTACGTTGGGTTGTTGTTCCAGGTTGTGATTAGAAGGCGATTTATAGATCAATTCCGAAAACATTTTTAGATGAACTGCATTTCGCAAAGCAACAATTCGCCAAAGCGTTGGCCAACATTCATTATAAACACCTCTTGATACCATACAAACATTTCGAGCATGTTTTGTCGTACAACTTGATGCAGATTCATACAAGATTCGATATATCAATTCGGCAGGCAAACGTGCAAAGATGGAATTTCCCTGATTTGAGTTGTTATGTAAGACGCCATTCATCATGTTGATGGCTTGGTTGTGATGAGTTATGTTGCAAAATAGAGCAAGATAGATGGGATGGAGCAATTGGCGGTCATCTCCGTCATGTCTACATCCAAAGCGTACGAGGTGGTGGTGGTACAGGATGCACTAGCAAAGTGTACCCCAGACTCTCTCTCTCTGTACGCGTGAATAGAATGCTTTACTGTCATTCACTCTCAACACTCACACACACTCTCTCAAAAGGCAGCAAATAGGAATCAATTTTACACGTCAAAAGAAGCAAGGGTGTATTATATACGAAAAGAAGGCAAATGGAAGGAGAAAAGATCAGGTATAAAAGAGAGGTGGGAAGCAGAAAAGATCTTTAGTTGAGCATAGCACGACGACGATGTTGCATACGACGTTTAACACTAACTGTATGAACACCATCACTTGCAACAACTCCACCGTCTGGGTTCTTTGGTACGGATGCACTTGCATCGGGTCCTGTAGATTTCAAGTTGTCTTCATTGTTTTCCACCGAACCATCATCGGATGGATCAGCCAAATCTTTGGCAAGGGTATTGTAGAAATCAGATCCGTTGTTGAAATCACTTGGCGTAAAGCGAGATTTGTATTTGTTCATGAATGTTTGTGCTGCTGCGTCCAATTTAGCAGATGCATCTGAACTCTTGTCTCCTCTCTTGGAAGGTAGGGAAGTGTTTGTTGCTTTGCGGAATGCGATCAATAACTTTTGGAGAAGTGCAGAAGGTGTAAGTTCGGATGGGTAAATTGAGTTGACTTCGTCAACGAATGATTGCAAAGCATCATTGAAAGCATCATCCGATCCAAAGTCATTTCCGTCAATCAAAGGCACGTTAGCACGTTTTGGCATGGCACTCTTTGGAACGGTTGCTTTATCGGTGTCCAAATGGAATCCGGCAGCCAAGGAACCAGCAACTGCTTTGATGATACCGGCCTTTCCGTTAGTAGTTGACAATTTACTGTAACCTTTTTGACTTTGGATTCTTGATGCGTAATCTTTTGCTGCTGTACGTAATGAAGCGGGGAAACTGGTAGATGAACCGGAAGTAGCACCCAAAGCTTGACTGAATGCTTCTGTTGCAGCTGCAAACATTGCGTTGTTGGTTAATCCAGGTGGGAAAGCAGCTTGTGCTTTAGAGATGAATGTTTGTTCGCCATCTCTGATCACTGAAGCGATTGCTTCAACTCCACCGCTCACTTTTGCATTCACAGCTTCTGCGGCTGATTGAACTTTTCCTAATTGTTCTTCTGCAGCATTAACGTATGGTTGAGCCTTTTGTTTGACTGCCAAACCTACATCTGTTCCAAATTCACGAACTGGTCCATATCCGAATTTGTTAACGGATTGACCCAAGTTCAAGACTGCTGAGTTGAGTTCCAAACCATTATCGTTGATATCTTTAGTGAGACCTTGGCTTGCTGCATCGATCGATTGAGGACTGTTGAGGTTGGGAATATCGTTTACTGATTGTGCGGTGGCATGACTCGCGGCAACAACGGCTACGAAGAGAGCCAAGAGACGGAATTGACTGAAGTTCATGGTGATTGAAAAAATGAATGTGAAGAGTGAAAAAGAATGTGAGTAAATAGGGGATGGGTTGGTGAACTTGGAGCGATGGTGATGGTGTTAGATGAAGATGGATTCAAAAACCTCAAAGCTGAATTCTCATCAACAATATCTTAGGGGCGACTTTGGATGAAGATCAGATGCATATATGCGTGCGTACCAATGTGAACCGAAATCTTTCGCTTAGTCTATAGGCCGATAAATCAATAACACCTTCCTCGCACGATCAATAAAGTTCGTTCAATGTTCTATGCCTATGCGTTAGATATGCCGTGAAGACACCGTAGAGTGTGAACACCATTTCCGGCTACATAAGTGAAGGAAAGTTCTTTGGCATAAGTAGTGTTGATACGATCATCATGACAGTAACGTTCCAATCCAGAAAGATGATTAGCGTATTATTTGGCACGCAGAATTGAATATGATATGGATACGATTAAAGGCGTATCTCAACACACTTAGCGCGCAGAGCATACATAAATCCGGTATGGACGCGCTTAGTAAAAGGTGGAGGCATTTGAGCAGTGTTGTCTAATGCTTACACACACGCACATAAGGACCCGATTGATCTTATTGATGATAAAGATGCATACAGCTTTAATCATTCACGCCATCATAAAGGCGTCAAAGCTGTTTAGTGGCCGAAGTTGTTAGATGACGGATAGCACTTCTATTTATTTCAACCAACCTTGTACATTCCACATTCAGAATCTCAACAGTCACTACAATATCAAGATCGACATTCAAACTTGAGCTTCCTCTACCATGCACGCTGCTCGTTCCACCGCTCTTCAAAGGGCAAGATCGGTGGCCAATTCAAAGCATACCAGCTCATGTATAGCTTCTACTAGCAATCTAGTACAAAAGCGTACTTATGCAGTACCGGTAAACAAGCAATCATCCGTTGACCCTTTGTTGGGTATCGCACCACCTCCTGCTCCAAAGCCAATCGAAGGAGAAAGTGGAGAAAAAGATGCTGTACCAAACTTTATGGTTGGCACTGCAAGACCAAATAATCCAAATGACCTAAGTGAACTACTGAAAGGGAACCGAATCAATGGCTCGCATAGAGTACAAGGAAGTGCAGCTGCTGGATCGCAAACACGCAGTAGATTAGCAGCCGCTCTAGGAGCAATGAGAAGGGGAGCAGGATCAGCAATTCCAAAGCACGATTTAGAGAACGCATTTATGCCACCTGAAGATCCAAAAGCGCCACAAAAGCCAGAACAACGTATAGAAGTAGAAGTGGATGGACCGAAAGAACCTATCGATCGAGAACATCCGCATGCAATTGATGCAATTCATGGAAGAAATGATCTGGACGAACGGATCTTAGCAGCCGCACGTGCATTGCATCATGCTAAACAGCAATCTCCAAGTGGTGGCTTGAATGCATCCTCTTTGCCTACACTCTTGCAAGCATTCAAGGAGAACAGCGAAAGAACTCTAAGTGTAGAGCTGCCCAATGAAAACAAACCAAAGGAGGATCGCCGAGTTCTTGTGACAAGCGCATTGAGCGATGAGAACGAACTTAATGAAAAGGCAGAGGATGGTGTACTCTTGATCGCTTATGTCACCGGACTAGATGCAGGAAGAGGTCAAGAACGTATCAGCGTTTGTTCCGGATTTGCTGTTGAAGGCGGAGATCGATTGGGAGAAGGCGAAAGTGGTGGAAAGGGTGCTTTGGTGGTATCCTGCGCACATACATTGAGAGGATCGCTATCACGACCGGTCAGCAAAGAGGAAGGCGGAGAGGGAAAGGAAAGATCTACAAATGAATCTTCTATTGCCCTAGCGGTGACCAGAACGGGACATGTTTTTCCGATCAATGAATTGCTCTCAAGTTTACCCACTTCAGATTTAGTCTTATTGCAATTAGGCGAACAGGCCATCGCAGTGGAAGAAAACTTAGACTTCGGTGTCCCTCTACGCCCATCCAACGTCAAGGTACGAACACTACCTATCAACCCTTACCCCGCAGCTGTTGGAGCGGAGCTCTGTGTGAGCAGCTTTTGGGGATGGGAAGATGATGCAGGATCTACTTTGCCTGCATTTGAATTTAGTCAACCGACAGCTGGCTCCGTTGGATCAGATGGATTGCAATCTGCTTTAACAATCTCACCCTGTCTACCACCACCGGTAGGACGTGAAAAAGACACAATCAAACGTGAACGTGATGATGCGGGGAGAAGTAGATGGGGACGTGCACGATTGGTAGAGTATCGTGATTCAGAAGGAAAAGAAGCCAGGACGGGAACATATGATGATTTAGCACAACTAGATTTCAAACTTGTGCCGGATAATGTTCATAATCCACCAGCCTTACAACAACAGGCTCAAATACTCTCTTTTCCACCTCCGGGTAGTAGTGGAGGACCAATCGTTGATGCACAAACAGGAGCCGTTGTTGGTATCACACGCGGTGTAAAGATGGGAGTCTTGGAAGGCAGACGTGGTGACGGTATTCCGGCTGAACGTTTGTTCTTTATGTTCGCCTTGCCAGGATTTGGTAGCAAGAAGCAGTAGAGATGCAAATTTATGCATGTATTATACGATAAATAATTAATTGTTTCATCTACACCACGATTATCTTTGTTTTGTGATGTGTGATAGCTTGTTACCTAAGCAACGATTTTAGAATAGCAAGCAAGCTGCAAGCATGGTCATCGTATTTCGGCACAAATGTGACGTACGTCTGGCTTTAATTGTCTATAAATGGCTTTAATTGATTTGTGATAATACAAAAAGAGGGTTCCTTCAAGTGGATCTGAGTTGGAAAAGCATCTACCACAAGGGGGGTGTGAATGTGTTACAATTTCATTCGGCACAGAAAGGGCAACGTATATCGTATGTACATTTCAAGCCACTTTATCAGTCTGAACCACATTAACGGGAATAAAGGTCCGTGCTTTTCATGAGAAGAGAAGGACTGCATAATGAAAGCGCATACACAGTTGAGTGGAGCGCAGCGCTCTGCACCAGCCGGCGGCAGAAGGGCTGCATAACACAGCAAAGTGGCCTAAGCATGTTCAAACGTGTCAACGGAAAGTTACTTCCTTTGCGGGACAATTCTTGTTCTCATCTTTCTTTCTTATAAACATCATCTCTTACCAGATAAAACATCCCAATCATCATACCACTCTCTCACTCCAATCATGTCACTCTCAAAACATATCGACGCAGACGCTTTAATCTCTGCTGCTGAAGATCATCCTCATTTGAGCTTGGTAGAACGTTCGAATGAATCTCGATTGAACCATCGTGTTGGAGGTCGTTATCGTGTTGACAAATTACCGAAATATCAAATCCCAAAAGAAGGCTGTTCAGAAGAAGAGGCTTATCATATCATCGATCATGAATTAAGCTTGGACGGTACCCCAACTTTGAACTTGGCAAGTTTCGTACATGTTAATGTACCTGAATACTGCAAACGTTTGTTGAACGAAAGAGCAAACATCAACTTAGTAGATCAAGACGAGTACCCAAGTACTCTTCAAATACATGGCAGATGCGTTTCCATCTTGGCAGATTTATGGCATGCTCCTATCGAGAAGGACGCAAACGGAAAGCGCAAGTCAGCATTCGGTGTTGCTACAACCGGTAGCTCAGAAGCATTAATGTTGGGTGGTTTAGCAATGAAAAAACGCTGGCAACACAAACGCAAAGAAGCCGGCAAGTCAATGTATGAACCCGGACCAAACCTTGTCTTTGGTGCAAACTGTCAAGTTTGTATCGAAAAGTTGTGCCGATACTTTGATATCGAAGCACGCGAAGTTCCCGTTAGCAAAGACAGTCGTTATTGCTTAGACGTCAAGAAAGCCATTGAAATGTGTGATGAAAACACGATCGGTGTCTTTAACATCTTGGGTTCCACATACACTGGTCATTATGAACCTGCATTGGAATTGAGCAATGCTTTGGATGACTTGCAAAAGCGTACAAGATTGGACATTCCAATTCACATCGATGGTGCTTCAGGTGGTTTCGTTGCACCTTTCGCTCATCCAAACTTGAAATGGGACTTCCAACTTCCCCGTGTCGTTTCTATCAACACTTCTGGTCACAAATACGGTATGGTTTTGGCAGGTTTGGGTTGGGTTGTTTTCCGCAACGAAGACTTTGTCCCCAAAGAGCTTGTGTTTGAATTGCACTACCTTGGTTCTGTCGAATACAGTTTCGGTTTGAATTTCTCTCGTCCAGCAGCACCCGTTTTGGCGCAATACTTCAACTTCCTCAATTTAGGATTTGAAGGTTATAAAGCAATCATGCAAGAAGATCTCAAGAATGCTCGTCTTTTCAGTCGTGCATTGGAATTGAGTGGATTATATGATATCTTGTCTGATATCCATCGTCCTGCAAGTACAACATCTGCAATCGGTAAAACGATTGGCGTTTCGGATGAAATGGATGCAGAAGTGTACATGCCCGGTTTGCCAGTCGTTTCTTTCCGTTGGAATGATAATTTGTATCAAAAAGCACCTTATCTCAAGGGACAACAACACTTCATGCAAACCTTATTGCGTGCAAAGGGATGGATCGTTCCAAATTACAACCTTCCAAAAGGATTGGAAGATATTGAAATCTTACGTGTTGTCGTTCGTGAAGATATGAGCGAAGATATGGTTGATCAATTGGTTCATGATATCTTATCGATCACTGAAGATCTTTTGACCGAAGGTACAACTGCAGAACGTTTAACTGCAATTTCTCAACACAAGAACAATGCCGCTCAACAACAAAAGAGCGGAGGCAAACATCAAACACACAAACATCACCACATTCACAAACATGCCACCCGTCCACCTCCAGGTACTTCAGCTCACCCAGGTAACTCCGGTAAACAATGTTAAACCGGTTATCCTTGCGTCCTGCATGTCCTATGTTCCTTTGTTCCTATGTTCCTGGTCTTAACTTCTGTTATTAAATGATTATATATATACACAGATAAATGAATATGATTATATACACGGATCAACAAATAAATGAATATGATTATACACAGATATGGTTCTGTTCAGAAGGAAGTATAGATAATCTCGGTGATCTCTTTTTAGTGACAGTTCGGGTATCTCTTTTTGCGGGGATTAAGAGATTTCCGTGATGTTTTAGCGCTAGCGTGCACTTTTTGCTAGAGTACTTTCGTCAAATTATCAATTTTTTTGATGAGAATGTCGGTTCTTTCGCTCTCTGTTATGAGTAAGAAATGTAATCATACTGAATTATCAGCTTGACCAAGCTCATTTCATTTATGACGAAATGAGGAGAACAAAGCAAACCAATAAAAAAATAATCCGGGGATGAAATGGGAATGACTGGCTAAAGTGCTGTCTAGTTTGTATTTACGTGCATTAGCGTGCTTTAATTAGGGGATTTTAGTCTTTTTATCCGCATCCTTTTGAACAAGACACTGTTCTTTTGCCTTGATTGACATCATCTGTTCTTTTCTTCTCTTCATCATCCAAGCTAATCCTCAGACAATCATCATTGTTCATTGTGGCAATGCACTATGTACTGCAGTTTACCCCACGATGACAACTTATTATCCGCCGGAATTACCATATGGTCCCATTTGGCAAACAAGATCAAAGCAAAACTATAAATATAACTTGATCCCCACATCCAAAAAAACAAAACTTCGTTCTTACATCCATTTCGTCCTATTTTTGATCTTGCTTCTGACTTTGATTGTTCTGTTAGGCGAACGCGTTCCTCTTGCTTCCAATTGTCGTTCAAGATTGACGACCAGCAATACCTTCACTGCAATCACATCAAACACCTCATCCATCATGCGTTCATTCTCCCTCTTGTCTGCATTATTGTGCACTGCTGTGGCTGCTTTGCCGCAAAATGGACCACCATCTTCACTTTCAATCGCAAGTTCTTCTGCAACTACAGGTACAATGCCATCAAATACATCAATGCCTAATTTACCCGGAATGGGAAACGGTCCTGAAGCATCTCCCAACTCAACCTCACCTAATTCATCTCAACAATTAGGTAATAGTACATCACGACCAGGTTTCGTAAACAATAACACAGTTGGTTCATTCCCGTGCGTTGAAGGAACTGCTCCTGGTAATCAAGTCGCTTTCATGAGTCAATCTTATGCTACCGATTGTCCTGATGCCCTTCAACCAATTTATCCATACAACAAGATCAACATTCGTTCGCCTGATGACAGTATTCGTGCAACATTCTTACCTTATGGAGCATCTTTGCAAGAACTTTGGGTGAAAGATCGCAACGGTACTTGGCGTGATGTTGTGGTAGGGTTCGACAACACGACAAACTATGGAACTGATACGATCCATAACTACTTTGGTCCACAAATAGGTCGTTATGCAAACAGAATCAAAAATGGAACGTTTGAAATTAATGGAACAACATACCATACACCTCTGAACGAAAATCATATCGATACCTTGCATGGCGGTAACATTGGTTATGATCGTAGAGCGCATAGTATTGAAACTGTCAACTCAAGTGCAGTTTCATTCTTATTACATGATCCTGATGGATTCCAAGGATTCCCTGGAAGTGTGATCGCACGTGCAGCCTATTCTCTTGACAACAATGGAACGTTCAACATTCGAATGGGTGCAAATGTTACTGATGATAAATCAACCCCAATCATGTTATCTCATCACGTTTATTGGGCTTTGCATGGATACACAGGAAAGAACAACACCATCCTTAACCATACTTTGCATATGCCACAAGCAGACAAATACATCAAAACAGACGGTATCTTGATCCCAACTGGAGAAGTTCCAAGTGTGAAAAACACGCCATACGACTTCCAAACTGCACGTACTTTCAATGAACGATTCAATGAAACAGAAGGAGTTTGTGGAACAGGATGTCAAGGATGGGATTCATGCTTCGTCATGAGCGAGCATGATCGCAATTCAACAATCTTGACATTGAGTTCTCCCGAAACCGGAATCCGACTTGATATCAAGACAAATCAAGATGCAATTCAAGTGTATACGTGTGACGGAGTTTCTTCTCCTACAAAAGGTTCTCTGCCACGTAAACGTGTTCACGGCGGTGATGGAACGTTGGATAAAATTTATGAAAACCATAGCTGTGTTGTTTTGGAAATGGAAGATTGGATTGATGGAATCAACAACCCAGAATGGAAACGAGATCAAATTTATTCCAAAGATCGTCCTTATCATTGGAGTGCAGAATATACCTTTTCAGCTGAATAAGCCCTTTTCTTCTATGTATCCAAATTAAAATTGAATCCTGTTTACCTGATGACAGCCATTGCCGACCGAAGTAGGGACAGAGGGAACGCCTCTTGTACGGGGCTGTACCGCTAAAAAGCACGTTCCCATTAGGAAGTTCATCCGATTTGCGCATGTCATTGCCACCTTTTGTTGTTAAACTCAATCATGGGGCGTATAATGTTACACATCAAATGACATCATCTCTCCCTCGATTTGGTACGGCCAAATAGATAAAATGTTCATTTGATGAGGCGGAGTGGCGTTTCTTTCTTGCGTGTGGAGAGGGAACGTGGTGACAGAACTGCACAACTTTAATGATCGAATTGATGTTAGGTTTGTTTCAAAGGCGATAAATAGTCGAAAGGCCATCAAGTCTCGTCAAACTCATCCCGCTGGAATTAGTTCAGGAAAGACAGACGGCAAGGAAATCAATTGGCAGTCTTTATCGGTGCAGGTCATCGATTAAAATGAAAATTCGAAATAAACAAAGATATCGACAATTTGTGTATTTGATCTGCTTCGTTCATACGATCATTCAAGAAAATGTTTCTTGTATTGCAAGAAATCAGGGTCAAAGACCGCAAATCGTCTTTCAAGGCGTTTATGGACTTCCACTCGGATCGAATTCGGATTCTCTTACGAAATCATACTATACCCCACCCAAATCCGAACAGCAAGAATTGCAAAAACGAGGCGGGAAGGGAATGGATAGACATTTATTCGCTTCTGCGGCAGCTGCGACGCTGGCCATGGGAACAGCAGCGATGGGGTTGTCCACATATTCGATCCGCTTGAATGATTGGCACAAATACAAAGGAGCAGGAAGAGATGAAAAAAAGAAGCCGGGGTCGATTGATACGAAAGCGGCAAATAAAGATAAACGGAATGATACGAAAGCGGCAAATAAAGATAAACGGAATGAGAAACAACAAAGTCCGGGTTCGCCAAAGTACTACAATTCTCATGTTATCGTCAACAATTATTATGGCGCACAGAAATCTCCTCCTCAACCGGCAAAACCTGCTCCTCCTCCACCACCAAAAGAGGAAGCACCTAAGAAGCAAAAGCGTTCAATAGAACCTGAAGAAATGCAACTTCCCATCAGAAAGCGAGCCAAATTCAAAGGAGCCGGACTGAATAAAGTACTTTCAGGTGCGTATACAAGTACATGTACTATAATCTGTCTGACGAAAACCACGACGTCGAAAAATATGGATCTAATTCAATCTTCTTCTTCGATTTTATCAGACGTTTCTACTGCTTCTTCACGTGTTGGACGAAGTACAAAAGCGGCAGGAAAATCACTTGAAAGGATGGCTAGCAGAACTTCCCCAGTACGAGAAGCAGCAAAAGCACACATTCCCGCTTCATCAGGTAGTGAAGCGATTGTAAAGGCGCATCAAAGATCTGCGTCAAAAGCTTCTTCACCTTCCCGAAGGCCAACACAAGGAACCTTACCTTCACATACCCCACAACCGGAATCAAAACCTCCTGCGGCGAATGGAAAGATGAGTAGGAAAAACGTTGAACAAGTCAACCCCGTCACCGGTAAACAATATGCACCCGATACGCATTTCTTAGGGCATGATATGTCAAAGCATGATAAGTGGGCAAAATTTGCTGGAAGGGTGGAAGATTACGGTAAAGTGAGTGCTGCAGCGGGTGCATTTGCAGCTGGTGGTCTGGCTTTGCATACGACTGTTTTACAACATAATCATGATGCCAAAAAAGCCCATAAAGAAGAAGAAAAGAAAGGAAAGTAGGACAACGGATTTGTTTTATGTAAAAGAACTTTTTTGAATGCATTTGAACGATTTGATTGAGTAAAATACAATAATTGCTAATAGAAACAGCTTCTTCTTTTATGTGTGCATCCCGCTCTTCCCTCTATGCAGTAATGATGGATGATTCGTTTGCTTCTCTTTCGCGAACCAATCGTTCCCTTTCCTCGCGGTAAACGATGAATTGACCCAAGACAACGAAATCCAAAAATACCGTTCCTGAACTACCGATGAGCCAGGATAGGTTCTCTATGACGTAATCCCTTGACATATCTTTAATCAAAATGCTTGCAACATAAGTCAAATTTCCTACAACGGCAAACACAAACAAAGCTAACGAAAGTCCTTCACACTTTGTCTCTCTGTTCTTAAAAATTTGCGGTATACGTGAAGACAGATACAAAAGTGCACTTGCCCAACCTGCAGCTTGTCCGTCCCATCTCCATTCCTTTTGTTCTAGAGCGACAAAAGATGATTGATTTGGCCATCCAACAACTGCAGTAATGTACCATGATACAACTCCAGCAATCGTTGTGAATGCTAATCCGGCAAAGCATTTTGCAATCTCTTCACCCAAAGTTGGACTTCTTGGCTTTTCACGAATAGTCTCTGTCGTGGTACTGTTTCCGTTCAAGAGAGGTGTTGACTCACTTGCAGCGGGGTTGGCATTGACTGAAGCAGGTCTTGGAGGAGGATGGAAGTAGTCGTGGTATTTGCGGTAGTAGTAGTACTGCCAAATGAGAGCAACGTCACACAGGCAATAATATGCTGCCAAGATGATCATTGTGGGTAGAAGTCCTTCTATCCATGCGCCGATCATATTGAGAGCATCACCTGCAAGCCAAATTGCAACAAAGATGATCGAAAGGCCTTCACCACTTTTAAGTTGATAATTTTCCTGTAATTGACTGAAAGAAGGAATAAGCTATAAATGCGTCAGAAGGACAACATGATGTGTGAGCAGGATTACCAATCGATTAACACGCACGGAGAATAAACACACACCCAAACCCAAATAGAAATCCAACCGACCATTGAAGAAATTGATTCTGTGGAAAGAGGAGGTAGATGATGACCTGTTCCGCCATTGATGGCCGAAGCGGCTGCAGAAGTAGCAGCGTTGATCATGATGTGATTTTTGTGAGTGGTGGTTAAAAAGTAACCTCTTTTGAATCTCATAGATCAATCTCACTCACGCGCTGCGCCCTTCCCTTTGGCTGTGGTAGAAATTTCAAATCGCCGCTTGATTTTTTTTCTCTCTTATCTTTGACTGTGTGTGACTCCCTCTTACAAAGTCTAATAAATACGCGGTATGGGCGCGTACGCCCAACTTTATTATTTTTATTGGCAAAAGTTTTCTGCCTAAAAGAATCGAACTTTACCATACAATCGCACGAAAAGGGGGGTGGAGGAGGCACATCGGCAGTGTTACAGTACGGTAATGAGAGCCTTGCATAGGCAAACAATTATCCAAACGTGGGGTAACCATGATGATCAATGTCATCAGTCAATAGGAAATATTTTTGAGCGCCATCATATTTTAGTAATTCACTCTTCCTTCAAATGTCTTCAGAATACCAATTGATCGATTAAAGTTTCATATCATCTACTTATTGTCCCTTATTCAAATCGGCAAATACGGCGCCGAAATGGCTTGTGGAATAGCGAGAGGAACAAAAGGGATGTGCGCATTGAGCGTCATTGTCTTAATTAAATTGAGAAGAGCCATAGTCTAGCTCGTTTGCTGTACTATGTCTTACCACAACCTTCTCTCCATCCAAAGAAACGATAGTCACTCTTGTTACAGGTTTTTATACTCTTGAGATCGGGATGACTCTCGCATCTAAACTGCCAGATGACATCCTTTTCAACATTTTTCAAAATTTCAAACCGGACGAATTAGCAAAGATTGAAAGGGTTTGTCAATCGTGGTATCAAAGTGCACGAGCGCATAAGTCACTTTGGCGAGACGGCTCCCTCTTTACCATTAATGATGAAATGGTGAAATTTTGCCCGGTCAAGTATTACAACAGATTCGTAAAGTTGGCTCAACGCAATGATGGCAAGTTCACAAGACTGTTTCTGCACGTTTGTCCGGTATCGCTCACCGAAGAAGACATGAGAAAAGTGTTCTTAGTTTTACCTAGAATCAAAGTATCAGACTTGTGGGTGGTGATTGGATTACAGCCTCAATGTCGTCCTGAACATACCAGGTGCTATATCCCTAATGTGAATACAATACGTGAACATGCACTACAATGTGTAACTGCAATCGTGATAGAGGTTATCACAGCAATCACCAAGCTCACCACTTTGACCAAACTTCGCATAGCATCGAGTCTCGATGTGCACAATTATGATGTAGGCAAAGTCATTCTTAGACAGTGCGGAGACCCAAACAAATGGCCCATCAATCAATGCAGGCTAGAAGAGCTTCATTTGATTCGATTGCGCTACGACATGCTATTTCCAAGGGAGATCAATCATCAAATCATATCTCAAGCTCGGCGACTTACACTGAACTACGGCGGAAAATCGAATTTAAGTGAAGAAAGGCGAGTCTGGCGATTGATCGAAACGGTAAAAGACTCTTTGGAATACTGCCGGATAGAGCGATTAGGCGATGTACGAATCCATATAGCCGACGCACGAACACTGGCTTCGCTTTCTTCCCGACGTAAAGTTACTTTTCCCGCCTTAAAAACGCTTTCTATTAACTTAGATGCTGGTTTCGAGAACGAATTTAGGGATGAAGCCAATATCGTGGAGTATGCAATGAGCTGTCCAGTGCTAGAAGATGTCACTTTATCCGCAATGGCACCGAAGTCAATGTTACAAGATCTTATCACCAGCCAGATTAAAAGTTTAACCGTAGGAGTACGAACGGAAAACCATTTGTCTCTTCAGGAATCATTTCGAAAATGCAAAAAGGTTGAAAAATTAAATTTGTGGCATAAACAGCCTGACTCTAGTCAATTATACGAAAGTATGGCAGATAGTACCAAAGAAATGCCTTTGAAAGAATTGGGTATATTTATTTTGAATCCTGTTCTTTATAGAGCACTTCTTTCATTTTTGGCTAAACGAAAGATGAAGCTTAAAAAGCTTTTATTTCTTCACGAGATAGATTATTTGAGCGAAAAAACAATGTCGACCTTGCAACGTTTTGTCGAAGAGGTCAAAGCATTAGCCGATTTCCACCAAATGTCGAACTTCAAAAAGTAATGGAGCAGCATTATGGTTTTTCAAATTTCGAACCGCCGGACGTTTCGCCTTTTTATTAATATCTTTCATCCCAAGAAATTGAAATTCAAAAGTTTATCGTTTTTGCTTTCATCCAAGTTGCTAAATGTACAGTACACATACGGAAATTCAGATAGTTGAAGGATGTTTTAATCCATTGATTGTCAGATGACATAAGCACAGTTTATTTTTCATTTGTGAGCTTCGATGCCGTACAGAGTTGATCTGTGTGGCTGATGGTTGGAATGCATGCAAATAACAAAGGGGTGCAAAAATAGAATCACGCCTAATGAATGTATTTTTACGCTATACGACGCATACAGTCGCCTGTTTTACACAACTGATGAGTTATTTATTTTTTACGCGTCTTCATGCCGTAAAATCAAGGGGGAAAAATGAATTGAAGATCTGCATAAGAGCGGTCTGATCCAATCTTACGCCTAAAGAGCGGGAATAACACAGAGAGAGTGATGCATTTCTGGTTATACAGCTTATTGCATAAATTGAAGTACATAACACAGGGCTGTAAAAGAAGAAGAAAAAGTAAAGCAGTTGCCAAGTTAAACTAGCAATGTACGAGTGCATGCATGCCTGACAACTCATTAGTCTAACTTTGACTTGACAGAGAATTGACTATTATGGAATATCAACAAAACATCCTTGCTAATCACCATCATCACTATCCCCACAAAGACAGACTTTGGTTTGTTCTTTCTTTCTCTCTCTCTCTCCCTCTCTCAACCCCATTCAAACCATCCTTTCGAGAAGGATTATAAACATACACTCATTCAATTACACTACATTCACTTTCAACAACAATAATCAATCATGCGTTCATTCAATCAACTCTACATCCTCGTTTTATCAGCCTTTTTGATCAGTCAAGTAGTATGCGATGTAATTCATATGCCTTTACGTAGACGGGCACACGGCGGAAATCGTTTATTGGACAGAAATGGTGAAGAAACAGAATTCGCAGATATGGATGCTTTACGTCGTTCTATCGCTCATGTCAACAATCGTTATGGACGTGATGCACCGGAAGAAGATGAAAATGCATTAGAAAAAAGATGGGTAAAAGGAAGCATCTTAAACAAACAAATCGACTCAGCATTCTCACAACAAGACGATGAAGTTCAAAATGATTTATTGAGCGGTTTATCATCAATGGTCGGAAAAATTCTACCTCTAGGTCACGAAAATCCAGAAAGTCCAGTTCAATCAAAGACGAAGAGTAGAACAGCTAGAACAGGTAAAGGTCGCTACACAGGCCCAACCGGAGATGCTCGAAAGGGTATCCCAATGAAAGATAACATCTCCGGCGGTCAAGATATCGAATTCGTTTGTGATATCTCCATCGGTACACCACCTCAAACATTCCCAATCGATCCTGATACCGGTTCAGCAGATCTCTGGGTTGTCGACAAGAGCTGTCAAGCAGCAAATTGCGGTCCTAATAGCCGTGGAAAATATTCACAGAAAAAGAGTTCAAGTTATGCTCCCATCCCAAACGCTCCTAAATTTGATTTGCAATATGCTATCGGTGATGTTTCTGGACAGTATGCAAGAGAGACTGTTGAATTAGCTGGAGTCACCATCCATAAACAAACAATCGGATTGGCGAATCAAACAAGTCCAGATTGGAAAGATGATTTAGCAAGTGGTGTTTTGGGATTAGGATTCCGTGCTATCACTTCAAACAATCAAAGACCCTTCATTGAAAACCTAGCAAGTCAAGGTCATCTGAGAAAGAAGGTGATCAGTTTTGCTTTCGGTCGTGCTGCTTCAGGAACACAAGGCAAAAGTGAAATGATGCTTGGTGGATCTAACAAGTCCTTATTCAAGGGAAAGATTAGTTATTATGATGTCTCACGTGTTGCTTATTGGCAAACAGGTTTCAAACAATTTGCTTCCGGCTCAAATGCTGGTGTTCAAAACATGGACGGAATCTTTGATACCGGTACTTCTCTCATCGCTGCTCCTTCTCAACAAGCTGCCGCATTTTGGAAAGACGTTCCAAACTCTCAATTATCGAATGATGGTACATTCTACACCTACCCTTGCTCACAACCCATCAATGCAAAACTCACAATGCCAGACGGTCGTTCGTTCAAATTGAGCGAAAAAGATTTAAACTTTGGTAAATCACCAAATGATTCATCAAAATGTATCGGTTCGGTCATTGTTGCAAGTACGCCAGGTCAAATTATCTTTGGTCTTTCTGCCCTGAAGAACTTCTATTCAGTTTTCGATTTCGGTAATAATCGGATCGGAATGACGGAATACTCTTTCTAAACAAGAGTGACACCCACACATACACACACAGCAGGGCTGTGAAACCGTTTCAACGCCTATCATTCACCGCTTCACACAAATACACTTACAAACGTACGTTTTCTTTCTTATTCAGCCCTCGAACGATTTATTTAGCACAGCTTGCATAGTTTTCACATCTTTTTTCGTTTATTACAGAATCTCATTGCTTTTTCATGCTTCTTCTGTTGTACACATGATAAGCTTATTCAATGATCATGATGCATCTTTTCCTCGTACGAATGAGTTTTCATTCTACTAAATCTTTGATCGATAATGTTCGGTACAAGAAAGTTCATACCGCGGAAGAGGCCTTTAGATGATGAGACTGTTACGCCCACACACGCCATTTCTTCGCCTCTTTTTTTCTCTTTCTCCTTCTCGCCACTCCATCAATGTGAAAGGCTTAGAGCGGATCTATTTACAGTATATGGGGAAATTTGCATGGCTTTGACGTAACGGCATGATTGGCGTCATTGAGCTGTGTCCCACTCCAGGGCACTCAGGAACAGTGACGACAAAAGTGGGAGACGAGAAGAGGCTGTTCTGTTTGGGCGAAACAGAAGGCGTCGGGGGTGAACTTTGAATCATGTGGCCTTCTTGGTAAGATTGAGAAGCCATAAATACAGTCATGCCAGATCATTTATCAATTCATTCTGATCACCTCACACAGTTCAAATCAAATCTGCAAACCTTACCAACCAAACAACAAATCTTCGCAAAGATGCCGAATAATGCAGACTTTCCATCCTACGCAGGACGTGGGTGTGGCTGTTGTGCACATTGTCGTTGCACGGGAGCATGCGGATCGATTGATAGGAAAGCTGAGCCTGATCAACTTACACCTCCAAGCAGTCAACTTCCTGCTCGTGCAAAAACACCCGCACCTGCACCTGCACAATTTGACGATAAAGATAGTGTTTTGAATGGACCGGCATACAACAAGTCACTTTGGTCAACCTTGGAATCACTTCCGCATCCGAATGATTTGATCATGGGTAGAAATTCATCACGTAAAGAAATGCTTTTATCACCTGAGCCCTTGACGCCTTTTATGGCCACCAGTCAAGCAAAAAGTGCAGGAAACAAGACTCCTCAAAATCCTGTCAGTAGAGTACCATCTTCTGTCGCCCTTAACAACGGTCAAAATTCTCCTCCTCTTCCGAATTTGCCAAAGAAGGAGAAAAGAGGTGAAGAGTCAAAATCACACAAACGTCAAGCCAATGGTGATGATTCTGCAAATGCCTTCCCGGGTAGCAAGCCAAACGCTCGCTTGCCAAGTCGAAAAGGATTGCCGGATGGTGGCTTATCGATCGATGTGCCAAAGACAAAGAGCAATGAAAAAGTGATGCACAGTGATGAAGAAGGCACTAAGAGATCAAAGAGCAAACAAAGTTCAGAACACAAAAGTACCAAAGCAAAAGTTCGCAATTTGAGTCGTAAATCGAAGAAAGTAGAAAGTGAGGATGAATCAGAAACAGAAGAAGCAAGTGACGAAGATAAGGCAAAACGATCAAAGAAGAAGAAACATAAAGAACACATTGAAGAACCCGAACCGAAACTCTCTCACAAAAGTTCAAAGATGCTGAACCGTAAAAGTAGTCAGCATTGGAAAGAAGAACAAAAGTCGGCCAAGGCGATCCACGATTCAGAGGAAGAAACGGTAAAAAGTCCTGTTAAACCAAAAGTATGTAGGAAATGCAGTGTGAATACGTTGGCAAAGCTTAAATTGGCTGAAGAACATCAACAAAGTGGTGAAGGAAAAGGTCGTGATTGGACTCAAACAACGCCGCAATTAGGAACTTTCCATTCTCCGCGGTACGATCGAAGTGCATTTCAAGATGCAGATAAAGTTCAGGAAGAAATCATCTTGCAACAACTTCAACGCCAACGTGATCGTGAATGGGAACGTGAGCAAGAACGTGAACGTGAAAGTTTTGCAAGGGAGATTGCTCAACGTGGACATAGCGATCATGGCGGACGTAAAGGCAAATCATCGAAAACGCACTCTCCTTCCGTTGACCGTCAAGGTAGTAGACATTCTTTGAACTCGGGACGTAAGATGGTGTCAAGTAGTGATAATGATGATGACAGTGAAGAGGACAAGAGTAGCGATGAAGAGGAGGAGGTTGTGAAGAAACACAAGAAGCATAGAAAGAAGAAATCACGTTCTTCTCGCAACAGCAAAAAGCAACACTCAGATACAGAAGAGGAAACAAACACAGACGAAGAGACAAAAGCGCGTAAAAGTCGTCGTTCAAAGTCTTCAAAATCAAAGAAGCACTATGAAACATCTCCCACATCTGAAGAAGCCGAGGAAGTGCATCAAAAGCAAAGTGATACATCACAAGAAGATGAAGAAGATGTGGTGGAAATGAAGAGCTCGAAAAAGACAAAGAGGAAACCAAAGGAGCTACCCAACGCTATCATGGAGGAAGACGAGGAAAGGTTCGTCGCCCAAAGTCCCTCGAAAGAGAAGATTGAACCAGAACCTCTTAAGTCAAGTGGCCTAGATCGCAATAACTTGGGACCAAATGTTGCTGAACCGCAAGAGCTCAAACATACGATTTCGATTGGTAACTTCTCCATCACACGAACGCGTACCGTGAAACCGTTGAAAGAGTTTGGCTCATCCCCTGCTCTTCGTTCGTTGGCAAAGATGGATCAAGATAAAGAAGAAGATTCTGCAGAGCTCAAACGTGATAAATTGAAAAAGATTCTTGATTCAAAGATGAAAGATGCAAAAACCTTGAATGCAAAATCATCCTTTGCCATGCTTTCATCAGGACCAAAGTCAGCAAAAGAGAATAAGTTGCAAAATGAAGCTTTGATCATTCCAAAACTACGTTCAATGCCTTCCTTATCAACATTCAATGCTACCAAAAAGCTCATCGTTCAGCATGCTCCTGCTTCTGAGCCCAATACGATCTACTTTATCGATATGACACATATGGATGAACAGGGTAATCCTTTGGTCGCTTTCCGATTGCACGCCGATCCAATGGCTGATTCGAGTGATGTGAAATTGAACAAAAAAGGACATGATTGGTTAATGCAATCACATGAGACCGGTTCAAAACTCAAAAGTAGACTTTGGCTTAGTGCAGGTAGAGATGGTCCGGTAATGTTTGTGATCGATATCAAGTCTAGGAGGGTTGATAAGTTCATCATTCAAGGCGCTCCAGGTCATTTGAAAAAGTTCACCGATTCACCTAGTTGGGGAACTCATGAAGATTATAGACATCTCTACTGTCAATCACCCGAAAAGAAACAACTCAAGTGGTTCATTCAGGAACCGGGTAAATTGATGCGTTTATTTGGTAGAAGTGAAGAAGATCATGGTCACGTTTATGCGGAGGCACGCTTAGCAAACGTTGCTCCTACAAAAAAGAATCGTAGAACGACAAAAGAAGCAGCGCTCTGTTTCTATGATCCAACGAAAGAAACGGATAAATCAGATTCACCATTGCAAATGGATATTGGATATTTATGCTGTACCTGGTTCTGTGCAAGGCAAACTTACGATGAAGGTCAATTTGCCGCAGCTCATGCTGAAGTTGAAATGATTGAAAATATCGAAAAAGCGTTTGAAGTTGATTTATTGGCAGGCGCATAACAAGTCACACTGTTTCATTATAGATTCATGTATGCTATCAATTATAACAAATGAATATCTTCCTTTTAAGCATCATTACCGAATCTATCGGCACGATTTCCTTGTCCAGCTTGATCGGCATCTAAGCCTTGACCGGGTTGCAATTCTTGTCCGGTTGTGAGTGGGATTGCTTCATTTTTGGAACGATCACGACTTTGATCGATTCCACGTGGGTCAGCATCAAAGCCACCTGGATTGTTTGCCAAAGCTTGACGTCTCTTATCTTCAGGTCCACCAAGACCTTCGAATCTTTCACTACTTTCGCCTTGTACTTGACTGCGGTCTGAGCCACCTTCTTCTGGTGGAATATTTTGCGCTTTTGTTCCTCCTCCGGTTTGTCCTGTTCTTCCAACGGTAACTTCTGCTCCTGGGAATCCAGAGACTGCGTCCTCATTAACGTTGCTTTCTTCGGATGTGACCGTTGTGCGTTGTTGGTATGCATCATTTGTTTGATAGTTTTCCTTGCTGTTCATCGATGCTGCTTGTTGAGCAATGATGTCTTGGTCAGACATTCCAGCGTAGGCTTCAGACATTATTGCAAATTTGTTATGTTTGGGTGGGATGGTGATGGTAATAAAGGACGTTGTTCATTGAACAAAGATCAGAATATATATCCTTCCGAGTTTTCGAGAATGTTCCTATTCGCTTCTATCATGATGTGTTCTAAAACTTTTGACGGTTGGAAGGGTTCATGTTAAAATATAACCAACACACTGCTCTCGCGCCTTGATAATATTATTCGACGTCATCCTTTCCTATCCACCTCCACCGCGTAAAAAATGTTTGTTCTCATTCATGTCTGAAATTGCATCCTTCTACCTCATTTCGCATATCGGAAGGAATACCTTGGAAGAGAGAATCGATCTAGAAGAAAAGAAGTTCATGTAGTCATTTCAATCGAAATTAAAGAGTTTGTTATACAATGTGGCCTGCTCGCGTGAGTTGAAACAAAGCATTTCTTCACTTTTTCGAGGCACCCCAACCTTCCAAATTCACAACTTTTGGCGTTGAACCAGAACGAACGATGATCCAACGAATTGGTTCATTGCTAGCGTTTACCTGTACAGAGTGAAAGAAGCGAAAATTAGACTTTATTGTCTATGTATGCACATGTCTGACTTACTTACCTCTTGATGCTCGACAAAAGCGGGAATCAGGGCATGATCTCCTGGTAATAATTCAACTCGTTGAGATTTATCTGTAGGAGGGGAGGTTGTTTGTAAGGCCAGATGATCGAATGCATTACGGATAATCTGTTCTTCCTCACCTGGACCATATGCGATTGATCCTCTGCCAGAGAGTGCATATACGATTGTGTCTGCAAGGAAGAATAAGGGTATCGATTAGCTTCTATGCCATGTACGTGCCTTCCCTTCTCACTCACTCTGCTCGCCATGATGATGAATTGCACTTGAACTATTTGGTTCGGCGTCCATGATTGAACTACTCAAATTATCACAACAGCCAACCAAAGCGGATTTACGACTCATGCCTTCGGTATAACCTGCATCTTGTTTACCAATTTCGTCAGCTTTGATGATTTTGACAGGTTGTTGATTTGACATGATGTCGTGTGTGTGTGTGTGTGTGTGTGTGTGTGTGTGTGTGTGTATTAGTTGATGACAGGTTGATTGTGATCATATACAGAACGCCAAAGTGTTAATTCCAGGAAAAGTAGGTACTGTTTTCGGATATACAGTGTCCTTTGCAAACACTCATTCTGCGCCTTAAGAACGCCAATCGGTTCAATGCGCCAATATGGGGTAAACGTACTGTTATCGGAAATAAACAGAACGCTCAATCAGTGGAGGCATAAGTGCAGGGAAGGCGGATTGCTAAGCAGGAAATTGAAAAAGAAAAGCGTATCGCCAAATCTGAAAGAAAGCAAGGCGCTACATCAGTGTACAGTCGCACACGCAGCGATTCGCCATCTTTCAAACCTTCCAAACAACAAGGCGCGACTTTTAAATTTCACGCCAAGCATTGCATTCGAATTTGAGAATTCACCTTTCTCTCTTTATGACTCAACTTGAATCACTTCTCCCATCATCTTCTTAAATTCCGACTCCGATATATATAACGATTCAGCCTTCATCCTCTGCTCGGAATCAAAAATGCTTCGCCCATGATCTATTCGCACTGCTCGCATCACCGCATTTAGTCAACCTCCGCTCTTTTGTTTGCCCGTTCGGCTAAACTCATTTTTGCTATGTTATAAATTGCTAACGTCTTGGAAAATCTGCTCAACTTTGCCCATTTTCACTAAACCGTGCTATAATGTCGGTAGTCACTCCGACTCCTCCTGGGGAGAAAGGACCAGCTCGAAACGATTCAACTACACATTCCAGTCAAACTCGATCTATTGACAATAATCATACTTTTGATTTAGAAGGCGGTCACGAAGGTCAAGTACAACCGGTCACAAGTCGTGTAAGTCACATTAGTCAAGAGGAAGAATTCAGAAATGATCCTCATTGCGTAAATTTCACCTATCAAGATCCACAAGATCCAAGAACCTTACCTGAATGGAAAAAATGGTCAATCACTTTAATCGCACTATCCATTCAAATGTGGGCAAATGCAATCTCTTCAATGGCAGCTCCTGCGATCGAAGCAATTTCACCAGATTTGGACGTAAGTGTTCCTGCTGGAAGAGTGATTCAAGCTATCTTTTTGTATGGTTTCGCATTAGGTGCAGTAGTTTTGACCCCTCTTTCGGAAGATTACGGTCGTAGACCAACGCATATTGCCTCAACAGCATTGATGGGTATCTTTCAAATTCCTTGTGCTCTTGCACCTAATTTTGGTACAATGGTCGCTTTTCGTTTTATCGCAGGTTTCTTTGCTGCTGCAACGTTCAATTCCGTTGGAATCATTTCAGATATGTGGGATCCTGACAATCAAAGTTGGCCTGTGAACAGCTTTGCTCTTGCGGCTGAATTGGGCGCTGAAGTTGGTCCGATCATCGGAGGATTCATCCTTATCAATGCAGGATGGCGTTGGATTTTTGGCGTAGCAGGATTAGGATCTGCTTTTCTTTTGGGAGTTTTTATCCTCTTTTGTCCGGAGACACGTTCTGGTGTGATTCTCAAAAGAAGAGCAGCAAAAGTACGAAAAGAAACGGGAGATGATCGATTCTTTGCTCATCATGAAATCGTTTTACGTGAACGTACATTGATGGCAATCTTGCAAGAAACGCTTTTCAGACCGGTTTACATGTTGTTTCGCGAGCCAATCGTGCTATGGTTTGCAATCTTTGATGGATTCAACTATATGATCATCTACTTGGCATTGGAGTCCATTCCTCTTGTTTACCAGCAATGGGGATTCAGTGAAGGAGAATTGAACCTGCCTTTTATTGGGATGTTCTTGGGATCTTGCGTCGCTTTCGGATTGTACTATTTCCAACTCCGATACGAGAAAAAAGAAGCAGACAAAAACGATGGCGAAAAGCCACCAGAGTCTAGATTGTTCTGGATGATTCCAGGTGGTATTATCTTCCCAGCTTCTTTGTTCTGGTTCGCTTGGACATCGCAAGGTCCTCCGGTTCCATGGATCGTTTCTGTTCTCGCTTTGGGCGCTTTTGGATTATCTTCGCATATCATCTTTATCAGTGTTTCCGATTATACGATTGCAAGTTATAGCATCTATTCAGCATCAGCAGTAGGAGCACAAAGTTTGTTACGTGAGATTTTATCTGGAAGCGTAACTTTGTTCTCTCATCAAATGTACGTCAATTTGGGATACCAATGGGCTTCAACCGTATTAGCATTTATTGCCGTTGTATTAGCAATCGTTCCACCGATATTGTACATCTTTGGACCTAGAATTCGTGCTGCTTCTGCTTTCGCATTGGAAATTCAACAAGCCGAAAAACATGCAAAACAAATTGCTCATCAAGCAAAATTGGAGTTTGACAGAAGCAATACCGAAGCAACCGCGCGAGAAACACAAGAATCTACTGTTTAGATGAAGATGTATTTTCATTTTGTATTTTACTATCAATTGTGCAATGGTAACATCAAGACGTTCTCAGATATTGATCGCGCGCTGTCTCTTGTAAGCTTGTAACTCCATCTTTCTCATGACCCTTCCGATACATAACGAAATCCGATAAGCGATAACAAAGGCAAAAGGCCAAATGAGGAAGTTATACCATCTACAAGCCAAGAATTGCAAAACTGAATGATCTTTTGGACCATCACAACCGGCGACAAAAGTTGGAATTTTTGGCATGGTGATCTGAAATGGTGTGACGGATAGTCGAGACTCAGAGTGAAGCTTGTGAGAAGGCGAGTAAGAGATGCTTTGTGGAGTTTTTCTATTTGTCGTTGAATCACCGATTGGTTTTTGATAGATTGGTGAGTATGGGAACGTGCCTTGGATCCGTCCAAAGTTGGTGTTCGGTTTTCGCTTATATGGATGTGCCTCGGTGTTGAAAACGTAATCATCCAGTGAGAACCTATCAGGATCGTCAAACATCAAGTAAAGATATTTGAACAGCTCTGCAAATAAGAAAGATTGCATTCCATCATAAAGACCCGCACTTGCATCATTTACGTTTTCGATTCCTGTCCAACCAGTTTGATTGAACTCTAGATATTTTTGCATTGATTGGAAAGCATTCCAAGCCATATCTCTCCACATCTCATCACCGGTGATTCTCCAAGCGTAGAACATTGATTCGACGACTTCTGGTTGGTGGGAATAAAAGGCCATCGTTATGAAAACACCATGGATCTGATGATATTCCATTCTAGCACTTGTGATATCAGTCGACTTTTCCCATCCTAATGCTCTGCCTTCTTTATCTAGCCAGCCCCAAGCGATTGGTCCGATGCCGGTATGTGTCATTTCATACATTCTTGCACAACTTTCACTTATCTCTAAGCCAAGTCGTGTCCATTCATCTTTGTGCAGAATCCTACCTGCCATTGCAATGTTGCCACCAGAAAAGCAAGCCAAATGAGAATGCATATTGATCGTTCCGTGTGCATAATAATCACTCCAATCAGCCAGAAAGGTAAGATTACCCAAACCAGTCTTTTTGGCTAATTGCTCGATCGTTGATGCCATCGTCATTTCTAGAATGCCCAATTGTTTATGCTTATCATCTCCTAACATCAATGGGTATTTTGAGAAATATTCAAACATCGAATCCGATCCTCCTCCCCATGTAACGTAATCACGAAAAGGTTTTTCTGTCATACGATTGATTCTTTGAGCCCATAAACCTGGAAAGATTGCAGTTGAATTGAACACTGCTTCGAGCGAATTGAGTACTAGTTCTTTGTAGGTTGAATTACCGGTATGATGACTCAATCGGTGCCACTCAATACTCAAAGTGCCGATCTCAGCTAGACATGCTGTTCCTTGATCTTTCAGCTCTTCTTCTTCTTCGGGGTGCTTTTTGTTAATGTTCACACGATTGTACGGAATACGAGTGCCCCAATCCCAAGCATGTGATAATTCGTTCGCCAAAGAAGCTGCTTTATCGATCAAAAAACGTTCGTCATCTCTTTGTCCGTTCATTTCAAAAGCAGAAGTCAAACCACCAATGTAACGAATCGTAAGTTCAAACAAAGAAACTGTTCCAACTGGAGTACCTTGGCTTGTCATTGTGAAATCAGTTGTACGAACATGTTCGAGGGCGTTCTTATACTGTTGGCTTTCATTTAAACCCATCAAGATCATCGTACTCATCGAATCAATGATTGTTCCTCCCATTCCGGCTAAAATTGCATTATCTGCACCTTTGCGTTTTATTGGTCTGACGATATCATAGCCAAAAGCATACTTTTCATAAATTCCATAATTGTGTAAGAAAGCCGATTTGATTGCTTCTCTTCGTTCAGGTTGAGCAGCCCATTTTGAGTTGGCTGAAGGTGATAAGAGCAAGATAATGCTCAAAAGCGAAAGAGTACGCATTTTCATGATTGCTGATGATGATGGAAAAGGACAAGCAGTCACAAAGGGTAAACTCGTTCGAGTGAGGCGAAACAGGGTCACTTTGAAGCATTCATTTCGCCGTCTTCGGTACCGCAAACGCGCGCTCTGAGCTGTCACATTCCAGTGCCCCTCCTTTTGATGACGAACCAAAAGGAGGAGAAAAATTCGATTAATGAGGTATCGAGGTGATGATAAGGTAGGGGAATATATGATACAAACTTCTTTTACTGGAATTACGTGATTGCGATGCGATCCAAATAGGTACACTATAAGGAAACGTCCTTTTTCTAGAATTGCACTGGTGGTTGAGATGTGATCCAACTGGGTAAGCCTAATACTTTTTCTATGCGGGAAAGACCGACTTGCAATGCTTGCGGCTCGATGCTAAACGTCATCCTGAAGAATCCCGGAGCAGGATAGTGATATTGTGAGCCCGGCGCGAGCATTACACCACCTTCGATAAATTTGTGCGTCAATTCACGTTCAGGAGTTAGCTCTTTTCCATTTGATGCTGTTGCGATTTTGACAGTTGCCATTGCTTCTCCCAAACCGCTTTCTTGTCCTGTTGCTGCTTCTTGTCCGGCGATGCCGTCACGTTTCTGCTCACCGTCGCTCAGGTACTTCTGCAAATCGATCAAGAGGAAATGGCCGGCATTACTAGGAACAAACGGGATACCATGATGAGACAGGAATTCTGTCACCTTGTCAAATGTGATTGTCAGTCTGCGTCGATTCTCCTGTAAGAACCAAGCCAGGTACTTTCTATCGTTCAGTAGTGATGCGAAAAGCTGTCCAGCAGGTGATGCGGTTTGAGCAAAACGTGCATTTGCTCCCATAGACGTGATCAGATCGGGATTATGTTGAGAGATAAAGATACCAATACGGAACCCGTTGATGCTGAAATCTTTGCTTGCACTTGAGATCACATGAACATGCGAAGGATTTAAACCTGCTTCTTTCTCAACGTCTATGCCAAGAATGGAATCAAACGGTGTTGGATTAGGAACTGCTTTCGTGGTAAAACAGCCGCGAGCATAGATCTCGTCCATTACCAGATGCAGATCATGTTTTGCAGCAAATTTAGCCAGTGCGACAACTGTTTCGCGAGGATAAATTCCACCGGTTGGATTGTGAGGATTGCAGATCAAAACCGCACGACACTTAATACCCTTTGCTTTTGCTTTCTGTAATGCATCTTCATAATCTTTGATTATATCCACTGCAAAGCTTGCTTTTGGCTCTTTAGCATCCGATCCAGATCCTGATTTGGGTTCAGGCATATGTACTTGAACAATTTGCACCTTTGCCCGGAATGAGAGATCTTCATCAAATGCATTATAATAAGGAGCGCTCAACAGTACCCCATCGCCTTCGTCGCATAGATCCCAAAAGCATGCGTCAATGATTTCCGTTGCTCCGTTTCCCACCAGGATATGTCCTTCTTCTACTCGTTTGAGTGGTGGCTTCCAGTCTTTTTCCGAATAAAGTCCATCCGGTACATCATTGTACAATCCCGCAATCGCTTTCAAAACTCGCGTTGAAGCGTAAAAGTGATCGGCATAAGTAAGATCTCTTGGTTCCAATTGTAGCCTTCCGGGTGAGGTGAAAAATTCAACAAGTTCTGTACGACATAAAGAATTATCTGCAATTCCCAAAACCACAATTCCATCTGGATTACTCTTTGCGTCAAATTGATTTGCAAACATTTTCAACAAGATTGCGACCCTACCGCTCATTTCCTCCAAATCCTTCAATCCTCTTCGCGAAAGTCCATTTTTGGCAGTGGGCTGATCACTCATCTTGACGATGCTGAGAATGAATGGGTGGTGGTGGTAAAGAAGGGTAAATGTATGCCCGCTCACAGGATTATGTTCAGAATCTTCCAAGAGAGTATAGTAGTAGGGTGGAGTTAATTTGGGGAAAAACACACTGTTGTACTGCCTGCTATGCAAGCAAAAAGCTTAAATCCGAAATGCTTAAGCGCTTATCGAATATTCGCTCAAATGTCTCCGTTTTTGCATATTTGATTCCTGCTACGATACGATACAAGTACATGTCAGAATGATGAAAAGCTAAGGTTTCCCCTTTACTGGTTCTGGAGGTGGTGAAGGCTTTGGTGCTGGCGGCGGAGGTGTGGAAGCCTGGGCTTGTTTTTGCAACTTTTTTTGTTCTGCTTTTCGTTCTTTACTCAAATCAACAGGTGGAACACCCAACTCTTTCTTTTTACGCATCACTTCCTCTTCTTTTGCACGCATATTATGCGTCACAATCTTTGTCGTTCCAACAATCATTGCTGCTCCAGTCACTGCGAATCCTAGTCCTGGATAATCTCTTGCTACTTTTGCTAGGCCTTTTACAGGCTTTTCAACTTCTCCTGATCCTTCTCCTGATTGATGAGTTGGAGAATGACTGGATGCGGGTGAATGCGCTGTAGATGCAGCAGGACCGCCACCAACATGACTTTGCCTTTGTGATTGTTGACGATTGTGCATAGATTGAAAGAATGCGCTTCCTTGTGATTGTGCTCGATTTCTTCTGCTTCCTTCATTATTCTTTGGCTTTGATGTAGCAGAACTACTACTGTGTCCCCATGGATTCTTGAAAGATTCTTTTTTGTTTAGTGGTCTTGCTGACTTTGAACCTTCGTGTACTTCTACACGTCCAATCGTGCCTCCATAAGGTGGCATAGTATGCTTCGAAGAGGAAGATGGTTGAACAACATGTCTTTCATGAAAGCTTACACGATTTGAAATTTTTGATCGTTGTGGAGAAACTTGTTTAGGACGTAAGATTGATTTTGGCGAAGAAGTATGTAAATCGTTGGCAAAATGTGCTTTACTTGCCATTCCACGTCCAGGAATCGAGAAACCTTTTCCACTTGGTGCTTTAGACATCCTGCTTCCGAACGATTTTGCTGCTTGTGAAACTTCTTTTACCATCCCGCTCAATTGACTACGTCGAAAGAGAGGAATGGAAGATTGGGTGATTGCCGAACTGTGAGCGTCACAGAACAGTACACAAGTGCATAACATCAAAACACAAACAAGTACAAGTTTGTTGAATAAAGTCAGTGGTTTGAATGTCATTCTTATTCGATAAAGTGAATAGCGGCAATCATCAGGAGATAGGGTGTGACAGAGAAACAACCATTCGCAGTTGTTTTGTTGAGGCGTTCCTACTCTTTATAAATATACAAGGTTTTCAAAACGTTGACCTTGGCAGAACGGAAGTTGATATGCAGTCTTGAGATGTGGCAGAATATACATGTCTCTACACTTTTATCAATTCATCATTTTCACAGCAACTTATATTTTTGGCATAAGATTCGCCCCGTATTTTCTATTTCAATGGATACGATCGTACATCTACTTATATGCGAAAAAGGCTGTACTTGTTTGTCATGCTGTGTATCAGAAGCCGGGCAATCCTATCCGGCCAGGGTAGAGTGAGCGGCTAATAATGAACTTCAATCCACTCTTTCTCATTGCAGTATAGTCTAATTGGCTTCTATGACGGAGTAAAACTTGCTGACTCTTACCCGTCAAACGTATTCCCCACACACGGGTTGATAGATTTGTGGGGTCAATGATGATTCGCAGAAATTCATTCGAAATAAACGGATTGTGTAATTTCATCACTTTGATGCTTTTTTCCCCAACGACTGCCCCGCATTTCTCATTTAATAAGCGCTTCATAGCCACACACCAGCATGCATGTTCATATGCAACTTTGCCTGTTTTCCAATTTTGAACATTGATCATTCTATACGCACGAGAGAAGCAATACACAACCACAAGAAAGGGTTCACTTTATACTCTCTTCATCATTTCATACGCACGTAAAAACTCAAATCACATCTTCTGTTCTCCTTCCCACCCTACCATTCAGAGTAAAGTTGTTCTTCACGTTCACTCAAGGAGAATACACAGCCTCTCTTTGATAAATATCTTGTATTGCGCCGGCGCACGCTATAGAATACATGACGATAAGAAGAAAAGAGATAGAGAGCAATAGATATACAAAATGTTGAAGAAAAGAGAAGAGCAAAAAAGCATGCAAGAGAATCGTTCGTTATACAAATGCGTTTTTTTCAAATCGTGTGTTCGTGTGCTCGTGTGTGTTCGTTTGTGCATTGAAAAGCATACCCAGATGCAATCGCGAGAAAGAATGTTTATTGAAGTCTACCATTAGGCTGTGCTGTTGTTTCTTCATTCATTATTGAGATTTGAATAATCTGTTTGATTGACTTCTTCAAACATCATTCCTAATCCTTTGCTGATGTTCTTTGAAGGCGATGAAATAATTCCTTGACCGCTAGAATAATTGATTGGTTGAGAGGCTGATCTGCGATGACGATGCATTGTGTTCTTTGACATTCTCTTCTTTTCCCCATTGATCACAGGAGAGCCCTGCAATTGAGTCGGATATGCCTTCTCACCTGCTAATGATTCTTGTAATGAACTCAACCTTAAGGAATTGGTCGGGGCAAAAGTTGAACTTGCATTCGCATATAGTTCCGGCGCTTCAGTGGCCGAATGAGGTTGCTTGAGTTCATCTTCGCCTTGAAAGATATCTTCATCTCCTGTTCCAACAATGATATTTGGCGCAGTCGCAAGCCTTTTCCGTCTTTGTTCGCGTCGATGACGAGGATGGGTACCGGTATAAGCGCCATCGATTGGTAATTGTAACGTTGACGGTAAAGAATATTCGTTTGATCGATTTGACGTTGGTGGCGATGAAGGTGAATGAATGCTAAGTTTGCTTCGTTGAACAGGCTTTTGGCGTGTCTTGTCTGCCATTAAAGTCGGACCGTTATGATTAGGAGATGCGGCACCGGTCAAGATCACAGCTGGAGCAGTGTTACTTCTACCTCCGTCGGAAGATGGATTTTTCGTTTCGATTTGACTTGAAGAAACGCATTCGTTCAAATCAGAATGTTGACGAACGGAACTTTGTCGGCTCAGAGTACCCTGACGTGCCAAGATTGCCAATCGTTGAGCGATGATATACTGACCGACAAGGACCATGATTATCGGACCAGCTGCTTGTACAACGAATACCACAAAATACGTCAATCTGCTACGCCAATCACCAACAGAAGAATCGTGTGCATGGATGCTGCTGTTGCTCATCCCTGCAAGACCAGCGGATTCTTTGTGATGTGCAAAATGCACGCCCGGCCCATCGCCAGCTTCTGTTGCTCGATTGAAAGGGCCGAAGCGCATTTCCATGGTTGGAACCATTCGGAATCGATTTTGTTGTTCGGAGCTATCACCATCTTTGCCAGATCCATGAGAATAAAGAGAGGAAGCCGAGAGGTCCAAATAAGCAAGTAAGACGATCAAAGCTTGTGCAAGAACATGTGCACGCATCGCTCTGGAAAAGAGATCCATCCATGCTCGCCTTCGAAACATCAAAGCGGTCAAAGCAGCCAAAGCAAAAGCAGGTTGCGTCAGAAAGAATCCGATCAAAGTGATGGAAAATGCATCAGATTCCGTTGCATAACCCCAAGCACACAATCCGATAATTCCAATCGCAACCACGCTCAAACTCCAGGCTAAAAATGTCTTGTTTACAGCATTCTGACGACCGTCGGAATAGGAATGGAAGCCAAAACCAAAAGACGATTCATTGCGAGTATGGAATTCTAAAGGTCGTTTGAAAGGCATCAAAATCTTTCTGTACTGCTCTTGTGTCTTGCTTGGTGGATGCTCTTTGACAGAGAGGCTCGAATCGCTTGCGTTGAACTTGCCTTGATCCTTGTCAGCGGCCTGCAAGCGGCTCTTCTCTTCATTCTTTTCATTCGATGGCGTTCTTTGGAGTACGATACTTCCTCTGGATGGCGATTGTTCGCGAGAAGAGATTGCAGCAGGTGAAGCAGTCATCTTTCTGTTACCTTCTCGTGATTCATCGCTAGGCTCTCGACTCAAAGTCAGACAACTTGCACGATCTGCATCGCTTTCCTCCAACGGCGCAAGACTACTGTAACCAGATTGGACATAATCATCGTCATCCTCCTCGTCAATGAAAGGGGAAGAGGGGATCGGATTACTGTCCACGTCAAAAATGCTACGAAGCTCTTCCAATCCTGCTCGTAGGTAAGGTGAGGCACCTTCGGCCAATCGGAATGCGAAAGCGGCAGAATTACGTCCTCTAGGTAAAGAACTTGACCATCTCCTTGCACTTCTGGCCCAAATTGTCATATCATCTTCGTTGAGGTATTCTTGAGATGCATGATCATCAAAAGGTCCTGAAGGGAATGCATGTCCATCAGAAATCAAAGACATCGATGCCGAAGGTGATATATGTCGCCGTGCTTTGGAATACGTCGTTGGCGAAGTTGTGTTTGCATGGTGAGAAGGTAATTGCCAACCTCCTTCTGTCGTCTGGTTTGAAGTTGTTTCGCGCATAGATCTGGATCGATTAATCCTATTTGCATCTGTTGATGAGCTTAAGAATGTGTTTGAATTGGATTCTTGCAAAGAAGGCGTCATTGGTGAAGATGCAACCCGTGCTCGTTCTCCTTCAGCATTGAACAGAGGCAAAGCAAGGAATGACGATCGATTGGGACTTTGATGGGAAGAAGGCAATCGTTTCGGAGACTGTTCGGTCCTGGTGGTTTCGTTGTTAAGATTGACATATCCAACGTGCGAATGTCTTTGGTTCTGAGCGCGGTCACCGCGTAAAGAATGGCTGTGTTGTAATTCTTTACGTTGCTGTGTATGCAAAGAGTGATGAGGATTAGAAGGGCCAGCTTGAGCATTTTGATCGTATACATTCATCGTGTGAAACGGTTTCTCACTTCCATCAGCTGAATGCGGAGGACGAGAATTACGTGAAAGACGACGATCACGCTTTTTGCTATCACTCCTTCCAAGTGTAGATGGTCTCATATTGATAGTTGGCGATCCGGGTGAAGTAAGCACGGGCGTTTGAGCGGTCATCAAATCGGGAGGGGACATCTTTGTTGGTGAGTGAGGTAGTTGTGTTTGTTGTTGAGGTTGTATGGATGTCATCTTGGTGATAAAGACGAGATGTGAATCGTTCGTTTGCGGTGCTCAAGCAGACATTCTTTGCCAGCGTTATTGTCGTTGTTGTTCAGTCGGCACACAAAGCAAGATGATTGATGATGTATGCCAGCAAATCTTGATAACAAAGGGACGAGAGCACTTTTTCGGAGCAACTTGAAACCGATCTGACAAAGGTGTGTATATGCGCGGAATAACTCCTACGTCTTTCTCAAATTAGGCGAGTTGTGTTTCGGCGGCGCCTTGAATTGGATGACAATAGGATTATTGGAGGCGGCTGTGGAATTTGCAGTGATAGCCTGTGTTACGCTGTAAAATCGTATGATATAAGTAAAATTTGATGAGATGGATGACCTCGACCTCGGCGGCCAAGCAATTATAGCAAGAAAATGAATCTTTTGTCTCCCAAAAGATGATGATGATGATGATAATGAATGTTGTCAGGATGGATTTGTCAATAATCTTTTGTGATGGAGGTCAAGTTGGAATGAAAGAGAGGGGGACCCTAACAGACAGACAAACAATAAAAGAAAAAGAAAAGTCTCCGCTCTCTGGCGTTTGGTTAATGGTGTAACGCGTGAAATATTGCCAAGTCATGCATTGCATGTATGCACAACAACACAAAAGGAACTTTAATGCCGTGTGTGATTCAACTCAGCTTTTGACGTGTGACTATGTCATTGAATTCTTTTATCCTGTCTTCACTCTTACTCAATCAAAAATCAGGCAATTTTGCTCTAGTGTTCTTTTGTCAAAGGAGAAAAGAAGCGCGTCTTAATTCCATACATCTTCATTTAATCCCCCTTCTCCAGATTTTAGCTTTATTCTGTTTAAAAGCATATCCTACAAGTTGAGAATGATTAAATGAGCCCCTTTTTCATCATCCTTTTCGTTGTCGGATTTGCGTAAATACTGATAGAATGAAGTCAATTTGCATTCAAGATACGCATGACCATGCAATTCTCGGCGGTTGCCAAGCGCCGAATGGGTAAAATATGGAGGTTTAGTCATTTCATAACCATGCACGCCAAGTGTAAGCTAAAAGAAAAAGAAAGGCACGTCGGCGCGTCGCAACAGTAGCTCAAAGAGAAAGGAACATCTTTTTTTGTTTTGTTTTGTTTTAAGCTTTTTAATATAATCAACTTGTTCGCCCATGCACATAGAACAAAATCTGTATGTATTTAGGCTTCCATTCAAGATTTGTCTTTGGGCACTCAGGCCCCAAATTGGTACATTAAGCACGGGGCGCTACGCGTTTGTAAATCCGCGGGCATATCCTCCCGTGTAAGCACAGCGCTGCGCAGCGCCTGGCATCGTACAGGAGCGAATTCATTTCGGATCAGATTCGCATGCAATGAACATGTGGCGCAAAAACGAGTAAGCTAATGAATGACGAGGTGGCATTTTATATGTGCCCTGCGCAAAGCCGGCATTGGTGGAGGAAATAAAGATTGATGATGCTTGGCTTTCCTCAAATCTTTCCTTCTAGAATGTATTTTAAAGCTTTGTTCGATTTGAATTCTTCTTTCGAAGTTGATCATTGCATTCTTTTGGCGATCTGATTCCTTTAACGAAGATTCTTGGCGATCAGAAAGCAAATAAGCAGTCTTCTTTAATGACAAACGACACTCCAAGTCATAATTGACACATCATGAATTCGGCATCACTTCCATACAAGTTCGACCGATGTCCAGTAAAATTTTGCTTACTTAATGAAAGGATTACTCTAATCCAATAAACGTGATCCCCATCACTCACTACCGGTTAGAACATGAAGCGGTTGTATGCTTTTCTACGCGTTGAAGAAGCTGTAACGCTAATTGATTCTAGCGGCATGATAAAGTACCGGTCCTTAAACTTAAAAGTGTGGGGTAGAGAAATGGCTGTTTGGGATGGTGACTGTCTTGAGCGAAAGGCCTAAATGTGACGATAGCAAGAGCTTACTAAGGTTGATTAACAGAAGACAATGGGCCCCGGGACTACTCAAAGCGCTTTCGGATCAATAAAAGGTCATTCTATCCGGCCTTGATTTCACAATCTGGAAGGTTAAAAGCCGAACGCATTCATTCGCATACATCTTCCTCACAATCAACTCTCTCTGTCATCATTCATCATGGGCGGCACACTCTCAAAAGTAGGAACGCAATACGACCAATCCACCGGAACATATACCAACACTTGGCCAGCACCAAAAATTCCAAAGCAAAGCATAATAGACTACCTGTTCAGCAGCATTTCATTCGATGATAATCGTGTAGCATTTGTGGAGCATGGAAAGACGAGAAAGAGTATCACATATGGTCAATTGAAGTTGGAAGGGTGGAGATTAGGACAAGGTTTGGTCAAAGCAGGTTTCAAGCAAGGGGATGTGATTATGCTTTGTGCTCCCAATTCGATCGAATGGATCATCTTGTTAATCGCTTCACAATTTGCCGGCTTGACAATCGCACTTGCAAGTAGTCAGTACAGTCCGAAAGATTTCAAACATGTTTACACTCTCACACAACCAAAGAAGGTCTTTATGCCTCTCAAATTGAGCGTCAAAAAAGCACAAGCACGTCTACCGATCAATTGTCAAATCGCATTGGACGATAGTAGAGGAACGGCAATCCCTGATATGAATCGAATGAAAGTATCAGAAGAAGAAGCCAGAAAAGCCAAACCGAGAAACCCAACCGATTTGGAATCAACTGCAATTCTAGCTTTCTCTTCCGGAACGACAGGGATGCCCAAAGCTGTAGAACTTTCTCATAGGAATGTTGTTTCCATGTTGACGATCATCAGGTGTTTCCCAGATGTGCATGATAAACCAATGCGAGTTTTGAACACATTACCATTCTTCCATGCAATGGCATTGCAATTACACATCTTTTTGCCCATCGCAGTTGGAAGTACAGTACATATTCAAGTTCCCTTTAATCCTCAATTATTCCTTAAGCTGATCGCACAAGAGCAAATTCAATCAACCGTTTTGGTTCCGCCAATCGCCGTTGCATTTGCAAATCATCCAGCAGTAACGAAAGAATTGTTCTCGTCAATGATCACTTTTGGCTGTGGAGGAGCCCCTTTGGATACCAAAGTTCAAGTGAAATTAGCCGAAAAAATTCAAACGGACGTTGCACAAGGATGGGGAATGACTGAGACCACGGTTGGCTGTTTAGGCATTCATTCAAAGATGTCTCCGGGTACTTGTGGTCGTGTATTACCAGGAATTGAACTTAAGCTAATCGATCCAGAATCGGGATCCCCTGTCGAACCTGGAAAGCGGGGTGAAATTTGGGTTCGTGGACCAAATATATTCAAAGGATATCATAAGAACCCCAAAGCTACGGAAGAAACAATGACGCCGGATGGATTCTTAAAGACTGGTGATATTGCTTATGCAAACGAAGAAGGACATTTTGCAATTGTTGATCGTATAAAGGAATTGATCAAGTATAAGGGTAATCAAGTTGCACCTGCAGAATTGGAAGGGCTGATTAATCGACATCCAAAGGTTGCTTTGAGTGGAGTGGTGGGCATATACAGTGAACAACAAGGAACAGAATTACCGAGAGCATACATTCAACTTAAGCCCAACACGCCGAAGCAAGGTGTTGAAAAAGAGATCGAAGAATACGTAAAAGCAAACGCAAGTAACCCTAAATGGTTAAGAGGGGGAGTTTCAATTATACCCGCAATTCCTGCTACCCCAAGTGGAAAGTTGCTGCGAAAAGAGTTGAGAGTGTTGGCAAAGAAGGAGATGCAAAAGTTTGAAGGAGATCCACCACAGGCAAGATTGTGAGGGGATGACTTCTTTTATACGCTTACCAAAATGTTATTCTTAAATCCAAAATATTTCATTTCACTTTGTAGACTGCTTTGAATGTTCAGTCGATTAACAACAGTTTTCATATTCCTTACCCTTTTTTGGCTTTAATGAGGGTTGTGTTTCGAACAAAAGCGGGCTGAATGACGTCTTTTTTAATGATAGCAGACATTTTATAAGAACGATCTAACGTTCGATGCACAGAAAAAGGGTATCCATATTAAGCAAGAATGAGTGCGAATCCCAAGAAGAAAGCGGAGAAAAGGGAGACTAGTAAAGCGTTGGACATGTTGAATCGTAAAGATGTAGCAGCATCACCTTGCCTTTGTGTTGTAGTTTGAGCAGGGGCTGTGCTAGATGATGATGATGTGCCTTGGAAGCATTTTCCGGCTAAGAATAAGAAAAAAGACAAGATAAGTATACAGACAAAACGGATGTCTGTTTCGGTACCCACCAATCACCGTTCCGGATGTGCAACATTCTCCATTTGGTAATTGTCCTCCTTGTGGACAAGCTGAGCTGGAAACACTGGTGAATGCGATTGTCGAATGTGAAGCTGCGATCGAAGAAGCTGATTGTAGCCTTTGTGAGAAAAGAGATGATAAGCTTGGGTCTAGACTTCCAATTGAAAATTGACCTGGTCCCGATCCAGAAGCAGAAGAACCGGAAGAAGCTTGTCTTTTTTCCAATGCCGCGGCAGGTGTAGGAGCAATTATGGATGCCGATACGGTAGCGATCGATGCAATGACGAGAAAGGCGAAAGTGATGATAAACGACTTCATGGTTCGAAACAGTTGAGGGAATGGTGATTGGGGAAAGGAGTGAAGATGTCAAACAAGCTTCCCACATGATTTCATATGCACCCCACACTTCTTTTGGGCAGATGTACAGTGTGAACTTTAACGCGCATACGTAAACAGTCAAGCTTTCCTTCCCGCGCTTATCTTACAACCGGTTCTTCAACAACAACGAATGAATGCGATTTCATACTATACAAATCATATCAATACAACATACTCTCAGCTCATCATAAAGCCAAGGATTTCTCGGCTGGATTGGAGGGAATCCAATTTGCAGCCAAAGCATCTTTATAACTCCAAGGTAGATTGTTATCCGCTTTCCAACTCCAAAATATCCATCCTGCTCCTCGTTCATAGGCAGTCGTTTGTGTTTCAAAGAATTGTCTGTTCAACTTGGCAATATCAGACGCACTTGTCGTTGATGACACACCTGTTGGACAATCTGTACAGCTCAATGCGAGGCTGAACTCTCCCGTGATGACTTGTCTCTTGAGAGTGTTGGTTGCCTGGGCGATCTCGTCACCATCGGCATGAGTCAAGTTGATGTGTTGTTGAAGGCTCATGTTATTCCTAGGTGCAAAGACATGATAGCGATGTGTATCCAAGGCAAAAGCGACGTTTTGCAAACCACCACCAGAAGATACAGCCGGAGACCAACTTGACAAAGGTGAAATGAAACAGTCATGCAAAATGATTTGTGGTTTTGAGCGAGCATTCGAAGCAACTGCTCCATTGATGATGCTGGCTGCATTTTGGTAAATGTAGGTCATATAATCTGCACCCAAAGAGCTGCACAATGGCTCGTTCAGCACTTCGATGTACTTGACTGCTCCGTTGTATTTTGGATCATTGACGAAAGTCTTTGTCATAGACACCAAAGCGGAGTTCAGTCTAGCCGCATTCACAGGTCCATTTGTATCTTTAAAACCTACTGCTCCAATATGACCACTGCTGTCAAAACCGTTTTGACTGTTTGGTGCGGTATGCATGTCGAGCATGACATCAAGTCCGTACTTCGAAGCCCATAAGATTGCTTGACTGATATAAGGTAATTCAGCACCACCACCAAGATAAGGTTCGTCAGCGGAAGAATTGAAAGTCCAATGAGGAACAGGCAAACGAACTGTATTCAAGCCAATCATTTTGATTTGCTGAAAATCCGATTCGACTAACCAACTTGACCAATGATTTTGTAAAAATTGCGTTGCTTTTTGGGTATTGTTGATCGTTGTCATCACGGACCATTGATCTGTCGGTTCTGGTGATCCAGCAGGTCCAAGGCTTTGTGCTTGTTGAAACAAGGTAGGACTCATCCACTGCTCCAATATGAACCAACCTCCCAAGTTCACTCCACGGATTTTTGAGCTTGTAGCTGCGAATGTGGGCGTGGCAGTGGATTTTGAAGTGGTTGTGGTTGTTGTTGCTGCTTTGACAGAGGTATAGGTTGGTTGAGAGTTACCAAAAAGTCCAGGTAGTAGAAGAGGTGAAGCATTTGTGGCAGTAAAGAGGACAGCGATGTATAATAGACATGTGAAAGATGATTGTAGGGATAGCTTCGCCATGATGAAGAGAGAGTTGGGGGGTTGACTATGATATAAAAAGCAAGCTGATTGATGGGGGGCGGAAATTTTTGATCAACCCTCACCGCCCATTTTTATACCTTTTTCAGACGATCGAGATTCCATCTTCTTCCTGTTAGGATCGCAACTTTTCTCGTAACAAATATTATTCTCGACAGTACATTGACAGCACATTTCGTATCGAAGGTGTTCACCAAGACATATATCTCCCTTTTTCATGGGAAGGACTACTCAGTTTCCTGCAATTTCAATTTCAGTTTCATCACCAAAGGCAAATTTCGGGAAGGTGAACAAAGCCTGCACCGGTCAGTAACGATTATTTAAAGCACCGCTCGAAAATAAGATAGCCTTGCATCGGCCATGGGAATATGCAAAATGTCTGTGTTTGAGTGCCTAAACGAACTCATCATAAATCTGATAGCTACGTAATTGAATTGATTGATGATCCCTTTCCTTTCTGTTCCTGGAAAGAAGAAGGTAGGGTTCTTTTTGTCCAGTTTATTTTAATGCGTTATGCAGATCATCACTGTAACCGTTGCAACACTCATGTTCTATGCAGGTACGCTTGTCTCACATTTCTGTAAGGGTTAATGCTGATAACGTGCCTGATGCATGGCAAGGTGATAAATTATCAAGCTATGACTGGGGCTGCCTAAAAAGATAGTAGATCTTTATGCAAGTAAAGTGGAAATATCCCATTCTATGGCACATGTCACCCTTGTAATGAAAAAGCCACAAAAATGTCACATCTTTTTTTTTTTTTTTTCAAAAAATTCTTGCCTAAATACAAAAGACCTTTAACACTATTGGATCCCAACTTCGCTCTGAGTTAAATAATCGGGATAGAATGTCTCGGCATACACTCCCGTTCAATAACAAACAAATCCTTTTATAAGTATTCAATTAAGGCTAAGGTGACAAGGGCAAGTAATATAGGATGATAAGGAAGAGCTTTTCTTAATGATGATGATGTCAAGATCATTGATTATCCATGATCTAAATTATTATCCTGACACATTTGAGATCCAAGATTCATAAGGAATAAGATAAGATATGAATCTGTGATATAAATTAAAATACGAAAAGTTAAATTACCTCATTTTACCGGGTGCGTCGATTGAAGATCTTTGGATGTCTCAGAAATGACGTTGAAATTGCTAAATGCGCAAATACTGCGTAGCGCAACTCAACGGGCAGAAGAACCCTAACGCGCCGTCAATTCAATCAATCATTCGGAAAAATGATGAGCAGAACAACTGCACAAGGCAGTAAAACTTATTGCATTTCGTCATTCTACCTTGACAGTGATCAATTTGTTTCAATTTATTTCCTTTTCTCACACGAATCTTGACCGGATTCTATTAAATGATGGTATATCACTTTAATCAGTCTTAAGCGAAGTATGAATGCAGAATTAATTATTCATCACCAACCATTCTGTTTCGCTTCGGCAGAAAACAAAGTCATGAAAGTAGTTCTGACACATCTTACTCAGGTACGGTGACTAAAGTACGAGAGAGTGAACTTTGTCGCAGTAGAATCTCTACTTCACTACCTCAAGCTTTCGTTCGGTGCACTAAAGTCATCGTTTAGCTGATGCTGGCTATTACACATCTCTTCCCAAGTTCATCAAAATTTCATATATGACTTTTCTACAAACCTTTTGGCGGATAGAGTTGATCCTCATTCCGATTCTCTGTCTAAAGCACAAAGTTCTTCATGTTTAAATCTCGTTTGCAATGCAATCTAGTCCAGGAGCTCGGAAGCTGATTCTAGCGTATCAAACCGCCTAAACGCTCGCTTGAAATTGAACGGGAAACGGTATTGCAAAAGTCGTTGTGCGCGCTTGACTCAACGAACGGGATCCGGGAATGGTGATTGCTATTGTTTGTTGTGATTCTTACATCCATTCACAAACAATAACAGAAAGTTGCTTTAGAAGGATATTTACATATGAAAAGAGCTTTCATGACTGCAACCATCTTTTGCCACTTCGTGATGGCTCGATTCTGCTTTCTTGGAAAAAGTTAGGTTCTTTAAGATGACTTCTGAGCATTCGAGTCTACATAGCAGGCTTCATTCATTGCCGATCGAATTGCGATGGCGGATATGCAATGAAGTCTTGTTCAATCAAGCAGGTATACCAGAAATAAGCATTCTTCTTAGATCATCAGGTGAAGTAGAAGGACTGGATAGAAATATAAAGCAACTTCAACGTCATGCTATATTTAGTCAAAAGAGATGGTCTTATGATCGATTAAAGGTGCATGAAATTGTATTCAATGCTATCAAAGGCCGTAATAGTACACCTTTCAACACCCTGACACATCAGCCGTATCCTAAATTAGCAGCAATCGTTTCACACCAAAGCTTGAGCGCCCTTCGTCATGGTATTATGCACTCAATCTTCTTCACAGAAGGGTCCGCTCAATTTCTTTTTGACGGACTAACGTTTATGGAAATGTGCTCTAAAGAGCAATGCTCAGAGTGGCCAGATATCCCACTTTTGGAACGTGTTGTCGAATATTGCATCAAAGAAGAATCCCGTATACTACTGAGTAGCTGTACGACTTCACTGTTGCTTCGTATGTGCACTGGTTCAATTTATAAGCAATTACGATCAATCATCAAGCTTGAAAGGCACGCTCGTCAGATACTATTCGAGTGGGACAACTCGGATCGATTAGAATCTCACCTATCCGTTTTGGAACAACAGGCAAATCGACATACGTGGACTCAAGCACTTTTACATGAAATGCCAATAACGACAGCGGTTCTTGGAGTTTGGATTGCGTGTGAGCTTTATAATCGCAATATTTCTTTCGCCTGCGTCAAAGTCATTCTACTGCTTCTCTTAGCAATCTTGGGACGTCAAATACACGTAGCTATCAGGAGAAAGATTGTAGTGCTATGTTACAATGCAGCTTATACAAATGAGCAATATCTCACCTTGGCCAGATGGTCAAGAACGTTTATGAGGCAAAGAATCGGTATGCTGATGTCAAATCTAAAGCTGCAAGTTGGTCCAGGGTTTTTCTCGAAACAATTCAAGATGTGCCCACCTACCCATGAGGCAGCAAACATCAGCGCGGATGCACGTAGACCTTTACGTACTGCATGGTTAAATGAAGTGATGATCAAGAATGCATCTCATCATTGCTTGATTGTCGAATCCTACAATGCTGCAGATCATTATTTGATGACACACGCTTTTATGCGAACAACCATTCAACCAAGACAAGTAGCTTTACTTTCTTCAGCTTGGGATCTAAGAGGAACGAGAATTGTGATCAAACATAGCAGCTCTTCAGAATATACTTATTGGAAGCGTGGATCGACGTTCAACCTTCATCGTAAGCCATCCCTTTTGATACCTAAGAATGGCCGGATCACCGTGATTGATGCTGACTTTGCTCGGCAGGATCATATGTTATAAGAAGTTTTTTTTATTTAACACCGCTTTTCCATTCTTTACTCCGATCTTTGCATACTTTGAGCTGTAACATCCTTTAGCATTTCAGTATCGAGGATTACTACAATTGCCCTCAATTTAATGTCATGCAGGGAAACGATACCCTTTCATGTTATCTCCGACCTGCCACAACGAACTGGAGGACGTCATCGTTGAATACATCGATCTGATTAGCTCATTCTCCCAAAAGACGGCAATGGCTATAATCATATTCAAGCTCCCTACCCGGCAAGCTCTCGGTTATTTTACTCATTCTCCCAAAAGGGAAGGGTGGCATTTTATTGTTGTATGATGGCACTCAAGCTGTCAATTGCTAGAATGCTGGCACTTTAACCGTGTATGACTAGATGTTCATTCAAATCAATTTACGCGTCGCGTGCATGACGTGTTACGCGCCGCCCTTGAGCCTCGATTGGCTTGCATTACGCCACAGTGAAATGCTTGATTCCCAAAAAGGCAATAATAAAACGCTAACTACCTCCTCCCCTTTTTGATTTGTTATCAGTTTCATTCACTTCAAAGCAGGTACAAGACAAAGAAACAACTTGCAGAATCTTGCTTTCAGTCGGCGATCGAAAAAGAAAGGAAGAATAATTTGGCTCCCCTTACAGGTTGATGCTCTTGTACTTGCAGCATTTATCCATCAAGGCGTTTAAAGATGAAATTGGGTTCAACACGTTGTCCATTCAGTAACACGGCCGAGTGTGGCGGATGTTGTAAAGTACACAACCATCAGGATACATTATTTTGTTGTTGTATTTCGCTTTAGCCGTACCTTTCCGTACTTTGCATAAGACCGTTGAGCCGGTTAATCATTTCGAGTACCTACAATAGCCGTGTTAAAAATTAAAGTTTATTCGGATCACGGTAGCGTTATTTTTCGATCTAGAGGAAGCTTGTCTTTCTTGCATGATATAACATCAGGCATCCTACCACATACATCTCTTTTTCCAAAACACCTTTCAATCAGACTAAGCTCTCCATCATGCATCATCTTGGTCCTTTAGCGGCTCCCAAAAGCTTCACAATGACTGGGATGAAGTGCATTCTTCTGAGCGGAATAGCATCACATCACTTGTCTATCTGATGGCTCTTCTTTGCAAATTCTGGCGGTCTGTCCGTCTACACTCCTACTCCAATTTCTGGATAGAGGTTGAGCCCAGAATCTTTCTACTGTTTTCCCGCCTCTGTTGATTAAACCTTATATGTCAAAAGTCTAGACAGAGAATAAATTTTGGGTATTATTGTATTGACGTATGGACGAGAACCCTTTTAAACGGAAAGATAGTGTTCCGTTTGACCGATAAGACTAAATATTGTGCTTTACATCATAATGACGGCGAATAAAGAGACTTGGTCGGGATTTGAATTTAGTCTTGCACCGACCAAAGTCCCAAATATCCCCAATTACTTCTCGGCACCGTTGTGAGCTGCAGCAAGTTTCCATACATCTGACATCTAACTTTTTAGTGGTAGAATACCCTGCAGAAACAAAGATTCTACCTCCGATCTTGATCAATATAGTTTTGATAAATTCAAGCCCAGACAAAAAAAAACTTTCTTTCAACGTGGGGAATCTTGTTGGCCCACAACTATTTTGAAATATGATGTCAAGCCACAAAAGACAATTTGATCATGCTGACAACGTAAATCTGTTAAATTATTCCCGTAAATTGTTTACTCTGCTACTGGTGAATTGCTGTTCAATGAAAATTTCAAAGCCCGACCCGAGAAAAAGTTTGCATCGCTTGCCATGGGAAAATTGAACGGTATTCTGCGGGACTATCATACTATCTCTCATTGTCATTTCTTTTGCCACACTTGATTGAACAGGTCGAGATGTTGGCTATATAAGAAAGCGAATCGAAGATGGTTTTGATAAAAAAAATCCCCATCCTCATCCTCATCCTCATCCTCAAGTTTAACAACTACACCCACCCCTTTTAACGAACCAATCATGTTCTCCTCTTTACGATCAATAATCAGCCTTGCAGTTTTGGCAATCTTCTGTCAAAATGTTGCACTTGCATTCCCAGCAATGCATTACGAGACCTTTGAGAAGCGCTTGCTCAATGATACCAACTACGCCGGAAATTCCACAAAGATTCGAGGTGTTAATTTGGGCGGTTGGTTCATCATTGAACAATGGATGAAGCCTTCATTGTTTCAACAAGCTCAAGCTTTATCAAAGAACAATATCACCGCTCAAGACCAATGGACATTCATGACTGCCATCAACAATCAAACTGCAGCAAAGAATCTCTTGACAAACCATTGGAGTACTTGGATCAATGCAACTGATTTCCAACAAATCAAACAATTGGGTTTAAACACTGTTCGTTTGCCCGTTCCTCATTGGGCCTTCAACGCTTCAAGTGCAGAGCCTTACCTTGGCGGAGGATTAGAATTGCCTTATATCAATCAAGCACTCTTGTGGGCCAAGCAGTACGGATTGGATGTCTTGCTCGATCTTCACACCGCTCCAAACTCACAGAATGGTGCCGATCACTCTGGTCACATTGGCCCAATTCAATTCCGCAACGTGTCAGGAACGGACAATGCAAACCGGGTTTATGACTCGCTCACAAAGATGGTCAAGACTTATGTCAATGATGCCAAATACGGAGGAGTTGTCAAAGGTATTGAATTGTTGAACGAACCTCAATGCGCAGTATTGGGTGCAGATTATATGACAAACATCTACCAAACTGCATACAACACGGTCAAGAACGCAATCGCAAAGAATGTCACAAGTCCTCCTTCCATTGTCTTGCACGACTGCTGGATTAGTCCATTGTCCAACTGGCAACCTGCTGTTTCTCAAGGGGGAGGTTTGTACAACTTACCTTTCATCTTGGATACCCACAGATACCACGTCTTTGCCCCAAGAAACAACATGACCGCTCAACAACACATTGACTTGTGCCACCAAGACGGAAGTGAGATTTACAATGCCACACAAGCTTTGCAAAGACCTATTGTGACTGGCGAATTCAGTTTGGGAGTCAGTTGCACTGACTGCAACTATAGCACAAACCAACAAGTTGTCACTGCAAACAGACAATTCTTTGAAACACAAACGACTGCATACGAACGAGGTGCAGGATGGATCTTCTGGAGCTGGAAAGCTGAGAACAATTTGCCTTGGTCATACAAGGATGCCGTTCAAGCACAATGGATTCCAACCGATCCAACTGAAAAATCTTATGCCCTCTAAAAGACATGATACGAATTCTTCCTTATGACCATGACTACTTTTACGACTTGAAAGAGTTTCTTATTCTGACGACTTTTTGAACGACTGTCTTCTCTTATAGACTTATTACTTTATTCTTTGTATCTCGTAACGGTTTCTCAATGCTATCCATTTCTTTTAATCGCTTCCGCCGTTTAAGTGAGACCTCAATATGTTCTTTGACGTTGCAACTCCGACACATCCTACGGGAGTTGACCATCTATGGCTCAATGTCGCGCGGAAGGTGAAACACAAACAATCAAAAGGTGTTCGGCAAAGTCCTGAACATGGTTTCGGACAAACATCCTTGTTTCGGCAAGACCATTAGATCGTTTCCGTGATTCCGGCGTGCATGGGCAGCATGACTTGCTGTTTGGTTGGATGCATGTTTGAACACTGGCTTATTCGGCAAACTTTCGCATAGGCTGCAGCATGGAAAATTTGAAACAAGTCGAAAAAGATTATATAATCAAACTGCTCGGCTGGGCTCCATGTTGGCATTATCCTCATCAACCTGATCATGGCATTGTGATTGCTAGAATGACACGATATTGATATATACTTAATAATTCAATGAATTGCAAAAGACGAAACGAATCTACAAAACACTAAAAGAGTGTGCTCTGATCAAAATAACCATGACAAAAAGAATGACATTTTCCAAACGCACAAGAATAGCACGTTGGAAAACTGTGAAGTGGGGGCCCGGAAGAGGAGGAAGAAGAAAATGCTGGTTTTATATGTATAGACTATGGTAACAAGTGAAGATGACGAGTAAGAGTCGCATCTATTTTGCGTGTGATGGGTATCTATGATGGTATAACAAAGAGATAGAGAAAGGGTGACCGTGAAACAGCTTATTGTTGTTGTTCTAGTGCAAGTCTGCGTAATGTTGCATCGATGATCCAAATGCGTTCAGCAACTAGATGAGGTTTTGATGAATCGAAATCAGGATCAATTGTTTTACCCAAGTGGGCTAGTCTTGTTGCATGGTTGTATAGCGAAGGCAAGATGGTTGGCTTCATTTGAGAAGCATAGGCCAGAATTGCAGCTCGCTTCTTGCACCAATCAGATTCTGTAAGGTGGACAAGTTGCGCTTTTGCTCCGCATGGCAAGACTGCTTTTGCCAAACTTTCAACATGGGAGTTTGTTTGTGCGTCTGCATATGGTAAATCCTCATAAAAGACTAAACGTTCATGCAAAGGTTCTTTTCCTCCTACCAAGTGTGTAGAGAAAATTTCCTTCAATGGTTCTGATAGCATTTTTGTCGTTTCTCCAAGCTTGACGTCCAATTCATCCAAGATTGACAGAACAGCAACACGAACCATCCAATGATCGACATGACATCCAACGCCCAAAGGCAAATGAATTTTTGCGCCTGCACGAACTGCCATCCAAACGAGTGGCTCTAATGATTTACGTACATCCTCGAAAATATAATGATCAACGTCACGGATCTTTGTTCCGGCTGGGCCTTTCATTGCTGCTTCGGCCAAATCAGGTCTTCTTGACGGTTCATCACGAGCACTTGAATCCGGGAAACCTAGCTGTAACAAATCACATCCGATCGAACGTGCAAATGCTTCATCTTCATCCGTACGTAAAGATGTTGTATCTTCAACGTTACGGTTTAGTCTTGCTCCAATTTCACCGTTTGCACATCGACTTTTACTGAATACGGTTACGATCAAAGCGTTTTGTGTGTTTGTCTTTAGGTCTACTGCACTGTTGCGACGTGATCCCGAGGAGGTGGACGATGCCGATGATGCATAAGATGGTGTGGCTACCAAAGTGGCATCATCGCTAAATTTGGAAGAAGAAGATAGAGATGGTGAAGGAAGGGCGACTCCTGAATCTTCTCTTTGAACTCGTAGGTGAGATTGCTTCTTGAACGAAGATGTACTTGCATAACTGTGAGCGTCTTCATTCTCTTCATCGTGATGACAACATCTTGGCTTCTTTGATGCGGTACCGTAAGCACTGTAAGCGATATCGTCTGGATGTGGTGAAAAGAAGATTCTCTGCAAGATTGGTGGTGAAGGTAATCTGCCTGCGTTTTCAAACACGTTTGATGTAGCGGCTGGCTTGATGATTGTTTCTGATGGTGTTCTGGAATGATTAATCTTTGATTGAACCATGAAGCTATTTCTACGTCTATGAGATTTCTTTTGATCTTCTGCTGCTTGGGAAACTGCTTTTGACCATGGTTCTATCCAACTTTTCGATGATGGTTGTTGTTGAATAGAAGACATTTTCAATTCGCTAAAAGATGGATGTGAAGGTCTGCTTTGTGCGATCATTTGTTGATAGAATGGAGAGAAAGGGAAAAGCGAAAAGAAGAAGGGGAGATCGTTTGCTTATATGATGTTATTGGAAGTGAGAATGAAAGAATGTGATTTTTGTCGCAAATTGAGCGATCTTGTTGTTATACGGTTTGTCGGAAGGGGGAAAAGGTGGTGAATGTTGCTCTATAAGATCGGGATGCAGTTTGAATCTGAAACAACGTTTATGTTTTGCCAAGGCTTATTGGAAGCCAGACTGCTTTATTACATATGAATGCCCTCCCGAAGTGCATGAGAAAAGCAGGACTGGCCGGCCTTCAGGAACGAACATTCATGCGGTCTCTTTGTTTGCAACGGACGGCTTGTCGAGCTGAGTGTAAAAATGAGAAACTGTTGAACAAACAAACAAACCAACGAACAAACAAACAAGATTTAGGCACCTCTGCAGAAGGATAGGAGCTGTAGATGCAGATGCAAGTACGGCACTGATAAATTGATTTAAAATAGAAAAGCACTGCATGAATAGTCGGCAAATGCTAAAAAATGAAACAGAATTTTTTAGTGCATATGTTCCCGAATAGAAGGAAAGAATCCGCATGATCTGCGAATCGAGGCTTGGAAAGGGGAACGCTAGAAAAGAAAGAGAAATGGATTGGGTAGAAATAATGAAATTGAGCCACAAGGATGCATCTTTACAGTGTATGTGCATTCAACATTAAAACATGAATCCAGACCGAATGCAGGCTATACAATAGAATAGCAAACAAACGCCTCACATGTGCACTGTAACGGGCATCGCGCGTTGAAGACTTGTCTCAGAATGAATCTAGACAATACGTTGAATATGAAACAAAATCGGGCTTGTCAACTATAAGCCTACATTATTCGGGTCAAGATGGGTTCCGAGTGCAAAACAAACAAACAAACAATCATGTCAATCTTACACAACAATATTAAACTCAGCGGAACCAATCTTTTTTCTTTTGCCGTCTTCAAAGCTCTTGGCATACATTTTGACATATTTCTGGAAAATGCCATCAAGGTCCGATCATGCGAACAAAGCGTTTTACATACATACATGATGATCAGGATTTTCCATTCGATGCAAATGAAAAAGCTGTAGAATTGTCGGGCTACCTTTTAGTTACAAAGAGTGAAAGGGTTGATTTCCCCATCTTTTGAATGTGCTAGGGACAATCTTAATTTAAAGACACGGGAACTGATTCAGATTTTTAGTCTTATTTGCAGTACGATGTCGTCAAAAAGGTGAATGAAATAAGAAAATTCTGAAACATAAACAAAAAATAAACTTTTCTTTTGAGAGAACAGGCATCTTGACAGTGTTTTGGCCCGTGTGAATCCTTTGTTCCCGCCTGTGCTGCTTGTGCTTGCATCACGCGTTTTAGCGCAGGACAGCACCAAAAGAAGGGACCGTTGGCACTACGTCAGTGTATTTGATAAACACGGGAACGGAATTGATTTGTTTGTTTGTTTTGTTGTGCAGCGGTGCAACGGACATCCAACGAACAACAAACCATCACACGCTAAGTAGGATGTCGGGAAGAAGTAGAGAAACATCGATTGAATTATATACTCTCTCGCAATCCTCGGTCAGCAAAAGATCACGTAGATCGAACCAAATAAAGGCACAAAGAAGAAAGTTTACCTGATTAAATCATGTCCGCTCAACAAATACAGTCCGCAATACGATTCAATTCAACAAACGGGCTTGTATGTATGTGTACCCGGTGTTTGTTCTACGGAATCACGAGTCCCGTTTTATTTCTTTTTCAAACTTCTTCAGCATGAAATAATGAATGCGAATTTACTCTGTAACAATGCAGGCACACTGCAGTTCATTGTTATTTCTTCAATTCCGTGCATTCCATGGTAATTGAATCTAGATCTGAAAGCATGATACATATCCAAAACATCCGTTACTCTTTTGAATGTGCTAAAATGTGATTATATAAACATGTTCTGTTCGTGTCATTGATTGATTCAAAGTGAAACATTGACTTCTCACTCGACATTTGCGCTGCCCAGCTAAAGAAGAAGAAAAGAGGGCCTAGAAATTAAAAAGGCTGATGAATTGTTTGACGCGTATGGAAGGAGGCCTAACACTGATCAAGTGCTGTTCCTCCCTTATTTTGGGTGGAGTAAATAAGCTTTCACTGCATTAAAGCAGCAGGCGTCTTTGTTTTCATTTCTTCTGCCATTCTGCCTTTGCCGTTCTCTTTTTCGTTCCCGCGAAGGTGTTAGTGCGTTTGAATTGAGTGACACACTTCTGCTTAATGCAACATTGCCGTCTTCTCCTCAAAAAAGTGAAACACAAAAAAGTGAACTTTCAGTGCATACATTTCAAGATTACGAAGAACTTCATGATGAATAAAAGGGAATCTCTAACTTGATCACAAACCTTCATCTTCATTAGCATTCCTCTTTATTCTTGCAAAGATGCCAGTCGCTTCAACTTCTTCCACAAACCAAAAGCATAGCCATGTTGATATTCTCATCTTGGGTGCTGGTCCAACTGGATTAGGAGCAGCACGCAAATTAACCAAACAAAACAATCAAAATTGGTTAATGATCGATGCTGCCGATCGTGCAGGTGGAATGGCAGTAACAGAACGTGATGAAAAAGGATTTTTATGGGATATGGGTGGACATGTGATTCATTCCCATTTTGATGCATTTAATGATGCAATCAACAGCCATAACGATTGGGTTTACCCACAAAGAGGTGGTTGGGTTCGTGTGGAAAACGCATGGTGTCCAACTCCAATTCAAAGACATCTGGGTAACCTCAAGAAAGGTGAACAAATTTGCCAAGAAATCAATGAAATTCAATCAAAAGGCGTTTCAATGGCCGATCAAGAAGCTAAAAATCTTGGTGAATACTTCAGTAGCACTTTTGGACCTACCCTTAACGATATCTTCTTCACACCTTTCAATTCAAAACAATGGGCTTGGCCTTTGGATAAACTGAATCATACCTGGACAAGTTTGCGGGCCGGAAGTAAGGCTGCCAATGTTCCAAAGCCTAAATCTGTCGTTACTTCCTCCGATCAACCAGATGATATTAGCAACTTCCCATACCCCAGACTTGGAACGGGAGATCTATGGCAATCTGTCGCCCGCGCTTTGCCAGCTGATAAACAACGCTACAATACATACGTCACTTCAATTGACTTGGATGAGCACACTGTTACGCTGGATAACGGAGAAACGGTTTCTTACGGACACTGCATCTCCTCCCTTCCTTTGAGCGTTTCGATTGAATTGGTAAATGCAGCAAAACCGAATGCCGCAATCCCGATCAGCTTGAAGCCTTTGTTGAAGCATTCCTCAACCACAGTTGTCGGTCTTGGATTCGATGGTCCTCTACCGAAAGAATTAGAGGGAAAGACCTGGGTTTTCGGAGCAGATGCAGATGTTTCATTCCACAGATGTACAATCTTGACAAACTTTTCGCCTTCTTTATCCGAAGGTGAAAATGGTTCAGGCTCACGTTGGAGCGTGATGTTTGAAACTGCATCATCTGAGCATCGTCAAATTGATATCAGACCGGACGTTCTGGCAAAGAAGCATTTGGCCGAATTGCGTCGTTGGGGAGCAGTCAAGGAAGATCAAGAACCAATTTCGACGTGGAGTAGACATTTACAGCTAGGATATCCAATTCCATTCCTAGAACGTGATGAAGTATTATTATCTGATGATAACAGTTCTGGAATCATTCAAAGGTTCGAGAAGTTTGGATTCGTTCAGCGTGGTAGATTTGGTGGATGGCGATATGAGTCCTCCAATCAAGATTATGCATTCGTACAAGGGTATGAAGCAGTTGATCTTATTCAAACTGGTGCACAAGAATCAATTTATTGGCCCGGAAGAGCAGATAAGGTTACCCTTCCCGCTGCACCTAAATCTAAGTCTATCCAATCACCCACCACTCCGTCTGAAGTCGCCTCTGCTGCTGGAACGCAATGTCTGCTTCCAAATGCAAACGAGACAAACGGACATGGTAACCAAGAACACTATAAACAAAACGGCGGATCATTGGTTCATGCTCAATAAACGCTTTGCCATAGGACACTCTCTCATTATATACCTCTTCTTTTCTTCGCTTTTTCATCTCTTTGGGTTTGTGAGTTATATTTATTGATTATAGATCCTTGATTGCAATATTTGATTTCATTTTTACCGTTTTATCCGTTGTACAACAGACTGAGTTCAAAAGCCGGTCATTAGGCCTTGAAGCAGGCGCTGTGCTTAAGTTTGACTGATTGTGTGCCTTGATCGATTAGCTTCTTTTCCCCACATTTTTAATTGGGAAACGCATTGATCATCTTTTCCTTCTTTTGTTTATGATCAATAGAGTGATATGTTGCAGCACTTCAATACATTCCATAGAGCAGGTCATGTGGCTGAAAACAAAGACTTCAAATCTGTGATCGATGCAGAATAAATCAGACCTCCTTGCCACCAACACATTCTAATCCGACATCAAGTTAACCATTGTCATCAATCAAAATGTCTTCAAACCTCGCCGAAACAGTTCAAGCAAAATTGCAAGATGCATGCTCTGATCCAACAACAAAGATTCCAGGCTTGATCTTGGCAATCGCTGATAAGCAAGGTAAACTTTTAACACATTCAGCCGCTGGTATTCGTCAAGTTGGATCACAAGAAAAGATGGATGAAGATATGCTTTGTTGGATGGCATCATGCACGAAAGTGAGTGTAATTATTGAAGAATGAGTGAGAAGGAAACTGACTTCTTTCTCCACATCATTCTCGCATTCCAGCTCATCACAGTCATTGCTGCTTTGCAATTGGTCGAACAAGGCAAATTGCAACTTCAATCACCAATCCACGACGTCTTGCCCGAAATTAAAGAATTGGAAAAAGGTTACAAAACTCCAATCACCTTGCACCACCTTATCACACATACTGCCGGAATGAGCTATCCCTTCTTCAATCACGATACAAAGAAATGGGTGAGTCGGTACCGCTGCTTACATAGCATACATCCAGCTAACCAATCCTTCCAAAATAGTTTGAGGAAAGAGGATTGACATCGTTTGGCTGCAAGAAGGCTTCCATTATGGGACCGCTCAATGCCGAACCAGGCAGTCGTTGGGAGTACGGCTGTGCAATAGATTGGGCCGGTTTGGCGGTGGAAAAGGTTTCAGGAATGGATCTTGATGCGTACTTTAAGGTGAGCGAATTTGCGGCATAAGCATTGTACCCATCTGATTCTCATCGTCTTTGTGCCTCATGCAGAAACACATCTTTGAACCTCTTGGTATTAAAAATATGACACTCAAGCCACAAAGCGGACTTCCAGGCAATAAGCCGGTAGGACCACATCTTGCCGGAATGAACTTCCGCGATGAAAGCAAAGGCGGAAAAGTTGTAGCCCAACCTCACGTTATCGAAGAGGATGAGAGTAAGATTGAAATACTGTATGGAGGTGCAGGTGCATATGGAAATGCGGCAGAATATGTTCAAATTCTTGTTGCTTTGTTGAACGACGGCAAACATCCCAAGACTGGTAACGCAATCCTCAAACCTGAATCTGCTCAACTTTTGTTCAAAGATCAATTGGATGACAAGCTCGTCAAAGATCTTTATCGTTTGATCCCAGGTGCTATCCCGGAACTTTCGAATGAGTGAGTAACTTGAAAGTTCACTTGAGTTAGAACCTTGCAGCTAACATTACTTTACACCTAACAGCGTCGACATGCCGGGTGATCCCAAAAATTGGACGTATGGCGGTTTGAAAATGTATACGAGCGCTGCAAAAGATCATTATTTGGTCTGGTGGGCAGGAATTGCGAATCATTATTGGTTCATCAATCATGAGATGGGTATTGCAGCAATGATTCAAGCCCAAGTGTTCCCTTTCAATGATCCTCAAATCGGTGGCCTCTTCTTCGGTGATATCAGTAATGCTATTCAACAACATGTTATGGGCGGTGGTGCATCTTCTGCTTGAGATGGCGTTTCACATGCGAGGTACATTCTCTCCAACTTTGCCATCAATTCTTGTACATACCCGATCCAATGACTATTAATGACCTTTCGAGCTCCCCGAATGAATAGGGAAAGGGGAAAAGTGATGATCTCCCGAGCCCCCTGAATTCCTAAGGTTCCATCCAAATTCGGCTGAGTGTAGTATCTGATCAATCTCTGTGGCTTGCAAAATACGCCGAACCGAATGAGTTGGCCGCGTGATTGAGCTTCCAATTTCGATTGCGGCGTCATTGAGCTTCTAATTTCGATTTGCCGTGTCTATTCATCTGTCACGGGTATGGTCACACCGCCGACGAATGGGATCAGAGGTAAAGCCCGGCAAATGACTTTCCGTAAGAGTGTCAAAGAAAAATGTGAAGAACATCAAATGCTACTCGAAGTGGTATGCAGGCCGGTTCGACAACCTTCTTTCCGGGTTTTCCCTTCCGTTCTCAAAATGCAAAGACAAGCCCCCCATCCCCAAACAAAAGATAAAAAGGCGCTCTCACAATATTTCTCCCTCAATCTTTCAAGACGACCATCTGTCGTATCGTCGTATCGATCATGCTAAGGCAAAGTTTTACAGCTTCATTGATTTACGCATTCCTGATTCAAGTATGCATTGCTGCGACGATAAATTGGGAAAAGAGTCTTTTTCACACAAGAGATAAACTTATTGTGCTTGAAAAGTGAGTAGCATTCAATCCTGCTGTTAATCTTCTACATTCTTCTCACTTATTTTCCTCTCTACTTAGCACGGACGATAGAAGTCAAATAAGATCTTCGGATGCCGCTTGCTATGGTTCTTGCCCAGGTAGAGGACAAACTTTTCCAGGTAGAGGCTGTAAGAACAAGTTTCAGTGCCTGTTTAAGAAGATTGGAAGCGCATCCGTATAGCTGGCTTTTCACTTGCAATAATTATCTTTCAGCTTAGATCATTCTATTACATTATCGTCAATCTCATTGTCAACTTGCCAGGTGATTCAGGAACAATACTAATGAGGGATCAAAGGCGGGCAAGAGCTAAGCAAAAGATCATTCTCTAGTCAGCTGGGTAATCTCGTCATTAACCATAACGTAATCCGACAATGTAGAATGGTCAACATTCATTTCTGTAACCTTACACTCTTATATGTCCACCCCAAAATTGAATGGCTATTTATGAATGAACAGGAAAAGGGGAAAATTACTCTAGAATTCGTGTCAAAGTGGCTGAGTAAAGTTCTTGATCAGTCCATGGCTTACTATGCAAGCCTACCCACATATCTTGGCCGAGTTATGGAGCTCCTAACTTTGACTGCGGTGTTGATCCGTGCAGAACTCCTGTTCGTAAAGAAAACGGGCGTATACATACCATTCCGAAGGTAAACAGAAAGCAAAGCCCAGCATAACACTGTCCGTAAGAAAAAGTCAAGACAACAATTGTGAAGGACACCGCATACTTGACTCAGACCGGTGTGGGATCTTTTCCGGAAATACCGTCCGAGATTAATTTGTAAAAAGAATAATTTCTCACGGAGTCTTTCCTTACTTTTTAGTACAACAAAAGCCAAAAAAATAAGTGGCCTCCCCACAAGCTCTTATCCCAGTTCTAGAATTTAGTCATCAACCCTTACAGTGTATCGATCACGAGGAAGTAAAACCCTGCAAGTTCACTGATTTTCACAATTCTGATTCAGATTTATATTGCTGCGAGCAAAAATTAGGTAAGGAAGTATCTGTATCTAAGCGATTGAGCGTATTCATTGTCAATATGAGGTGTATATGGTGTCACAAGGGTCTACATTAGCCATTTATTGCGGAAGTCAATCTTCCCTCAATCTTTCATGGACCCTATCTCAAAGTTGAATGCTATTTATAGATTTGCTCCTATTTGAGCAGGGAAAAGGAGATAAATAATTCGAGCTTCCGACAGGAGGTAATTTATTCGAGCTTCCAAATAAGGTACCTACTTAATTTAATCTCTAAGGGGTTTAAAAAGGGGGAAAAGCTCCTGTTTAAAGGCCAAACGGCGAACACATACCGTTGCCGAATAGCGGTTTACGGTATGACATACTCTATCAAAACGGCAAAAGAAGCCGAGGAACTTTGAAGAACACCATACACTTTTCGAAGCAGACCGGTGTTTCAGTACATCAAACGCCCCAAAAATGTATAAAAAAGTCCTCCGACAAGTTTTATTTCCAGTTTCCTGAAGACAACCATCCACCTTTTGTCTTATATCGATCAAGATGAAGCAAAAATACGCAACTTTATTCATCTTCGCACTTCTGATTCAAATCTGCATTGCTGCGAGCATAGATTGGAAAAAAAGTGTTTTTTACCGAAGAGATAAGTTTATGGTAATTGGAAAGTAAGTAAATTAAAATGAAGCGTTGTTGATTTATCTTTCTCACCTTTCTTTACTTTTTTATTTATAGCACGGAAGAAAGCGGTCAAGATGGTCAAGTAGGATCTTCGCAAGCTGCTTGCTATGGTGCTTGCCCAGGTAGAGGACAACCAAATCAAGGTAGAGGCTGTAAGAACAAGTTTCAGTGCCAACCCAAGCCAGGGGCTGCCTAAAGAGGAAGCCGGCCTTTCAATAGCGGTCTCGACAACCCCATCTTTCGGTACAAATCATTCTATTATATTACAGAATATGCTTGCTAGTAAAATTCATATTGTTACAGATCTATCGTACGTTCCTTTTGATAAGATTGAAGATAGATAAATGTATCCGAGGGATTGAACGTTGGCATCGTATGCATAAGATAAATGTTGATTTTGAGCACCATATCCGTTTCCATTTGTCGAATCACAAATTCCATCTCCATCAATGCAAACGTCCAAAGTTTTATTCACGAATGAATCGGGTACACTGGATAAATTGCTCAAAAGTCTCATTTCGACACCTATGCTTGATTCGGTTGAAGTTCCTCCGGTGCTATTGACGTTACAGGGTAAGTTTGGTTTCCTGAGTGGATTTCCGATCAAGAAAACACCCTTGACCGAATCTGCTGCTGTTCCGTTTAATTGGTTCAATGCATTTGTCGTTGCTGCTGCGCCTTGGCTGTATCCTTGTAAGAGTACGCATTGATTTGGAAAATTTTGCGAGATTGCAGTGACTTTGTTAATTATATCATCCGTTCCTGCAACGCTGATTTGATCCCAATTTGCCGGATATTGAACAAAGTATTGATTGCCACCTGTCCAACTGCCCATCACTAAAGCATTCATTAATGCAAATCCGGCAGAAGGTCCTTGTGCTTCATTTGTTCCGCGTGCTTGAATGATGACTGTGGAAGAGGGTAAGAGGTGTTAGAGAAGGAATTATATTGTTATTGTTATATTGCACTCACTGTAATTTTGACACATCGGTGGACCATCTCGTTTGGGTAGAAGCGAGGCCAATTTATGAGGCAGAAGTGGAGAAGCTGCTGTATTGGTAGCGAACAGCGATGCTATCATCAATGAAGTTAGCTTTGCTATGGAGTAAATCATTGTTGAAGAGGGTGAAGATGGGATGTAGAGTAAAGAATGAAAGATGTCATCCCTTTTATATAACCGACATTATCTTGTGATCCGATTAACTTCCGTATCCCGGAAGCTAATCTTATCTGAATAGTCTAGCCAATGGGAATCTGAGACCATTCTAAAGTGTGATCGTGAAAAGGATAGAAGAAAGTGTTGTTTGTCTAAATGCAGCATACTAATTCGTACTAAATCGAGAATAAATGAAACAACACCTCTTTCAAGGCACTTTAACCGTATCGGGAGATATAATGGCAAATGCATAAAGAATTAAATGATATGGCATCCCATCAGTGTGCTGTGTTAAAGACGGTGTCTATCACTACGCGTTCACCAAGACCGTAGGGCGTGTCATGTAGACTGGACGGGATTCGGATGTTTTTTCTGATGACGCACAAGATCCTCTTCAAAGTAATCTTAACAGAGAAGAGGTTAATGTCATCAGCTTTTTCTGATATATGATGACGTTTGAGGGTTATTTTCCATCAAAAGCCCTGAACATTATTTCGCTTTCCTTTCATCAGTTTTGATGAAGAGGATCTCGCCATTTCTCTATTAACCACTGTTAAATCACAAACCTCGTGACTTAAAAAGACACTTTGCATCTTTGCTGAGTCAGCAATGGGTATCTTATTGTCTAAAAATACACCTTGGTTTCTGTTGGAAAGAAGATTTTCTTTTCTGTATGGAAGAATGCATTACCCGCCGCGGTAAAAGAGGAGAACAATGAAAACACATAGCTCGCGTTTCGCACGAGCACACGGTCCCTCTTTTACGCGTTCAATTTTAAAGTAGGTAACCGCCGGGAAAAGAGGGGTGTAGTGCGGGTAAGATGTTCACATGGTCCTTACAGAAGTGTAAGACCGGCGGTAAATGCAGTTGAGCAGAGGAAAAACAGTATACTTTTGTTATTGCAAGGAATGTTACGCTTTGACAAGTAAAGTGCCCAAAGCATACCATTCGGACTTGCACGGTCTTGCTAGTGGCCGCGGTTGCCGTTTCGTTGCATTAGACAATACCAGCATCAGCAACAACAACAACAAGACACTTGTGAGCAATAGTCCCCCTTCTTTAGTCACACTTTTGCATTCGTCGAACGAATGTTCCGTGAGACCCAAGCGATTGAGCGTTGTGAGAAATGGTTCGACTTATGCACCCTTTAATTCATCCATGCGCTCGCTATCGTCTTCGCTAGCCCGTGAACGAAGGGAATCTCCTATCTCTTACGCGAATGCATTAACGGTAATTAAAGCCCTCTAACATTCTTGTGGATTTCCTCTATTTCCTGTTTCGTAAACATGAATGCGAGCATACGTACATACATCTTTTAATTAATCTTGACACCCTCAACCACGTACATCCGACAACAATTCACATTTCAGGTTTTCTTTTCTCTCTTCCACAATATAAATCTCTCCCCCCTTTTCATCACCCCCACGACAAAAACAATCACCTTCTTTTATTTATTCTCTCTCAACGACAAGTCTACACAAAAAATGCGTTTTACAGCTTTTGCCTTGATGGCAACGGCATTAAGTGTCGCTTTGCCAGCCACTCAAGCACACATTGGACCCGGTGTTCCAAGTAAAATTCAAATTCGTAATACGGATATGAACACAGTTCGTGCTGTACGTAGAATGGAACATTCTCATGATCATCACAGACCAATTCACAGAAGAGCAAAAGCAGCTAAAGATGAAGCAAGTGAAGCACAAATCGAAACTCCAACAGAAGAATGCAAACCATATGGTCTTTCAGCTGTGAACGATATGGTAAAAGATTTCCCTACCGCTTGGGACGTTGCCGATATCTTACCCCATGATACACAAGCAATGGCCATCATGCAAGCTATCAACGCTTCAGGTCTCGTTCCAACTGATATCCAAGCCCGTGGTCAACAGCCTGCCTCATTGATGGGAACAGGTACAGAAACTGGTTACAACTCTAACACCGATCCAGCTTGCTACTGGACAGCAACAGGTTGCACAACTCCAAAAGCAAAAGGTGTCTTGCCCGATATCATCTCATGTGCAGAACCACATACCTGGGGCTATACCCTAGATGACGGACCAAACTGCACGCACAACGCTCTTTATGATTTCTGGAAGACCCAAAACCAAAAAGTATCATTGATGTACATCGGATCAAACGTTATGGACTGGCCATTGCAAGCTCAACGCGGTTTGGCTGACGGTCATCACATTTGCGTTCACACATGGTCACACAAATACATGACTGCTTTGACAAGTAACCAAGCTTTCGCTGAATTGTATTACACCATGCAAGCCATCAAAAAGATTATGGGTATCACACCAACTTGCTGGCGTCCACCATACGGAGATGTTGACGACCGTATTCGTGCAATCGCTCAATCTTTGGGTTTGAGAACATACGTTTGGGACCATGATACAGATGACTGGGAAGTTGCACCAGAAGGTCCTAAGCCAACCGCAACCGTTCAAGCAAACTACGACAGTATCATCTCATTGGGTTCCGCTCCTGCCGCAGAAACAGGAGGTATCGTTGTCTTGCAACACGAATTGACAAACGGAACAATGGAATTAGTCAAGGAGAACTACCCAAAGATGAAATCTGCTTTCCCAAACATTGTCCCTTTGACAGCTTGTTTGAACCTCACTCATCCTTACGTTGAAGATATCATTTACCCAAATTTCGCTGAATATGTTGGCGGTAACGTGATGCCTTCAGGTTTACCCACAACGTTCACGGTTCAAGCAGACGCCGTTGCCACTCCTCAAGGTACATTGAAGAGTATGGGCAGTTTAATGGCAACTGCTCCCGCTGGTGGTCCAGACAATGCAGGCGTTGTCAGTTCTTCCTCTGCTGCTGCAGGTCCAAGCTCATCAAACGGATCGCCAGACAATTTGAGTAACAAGAAATCCGCTGCTTCTCCTTCAACAGTTATCGCTCCATTTGCTGTTGTGATTGCTGGTTTGACAGCAGGTGCTTTCATGCTCTTGAACAACAATTAAATATTTCAATAGACCCTTATAGCACGAATCCTCTCTCCCCCTACCGCTTAAAAGCACGACGGACTTTACCTTCATCTTTTGCCTTCAGCACTTGTACTAGAACATACTTTATATTAATTGCACGTCTTTTTTTAAATGAAAACTGATCATGTGATATGTACAATTCAATAATTTAACCTCGAATGGTGTAGTGTAGCTTTAGAGGTCCGGTAGGAGCTCGATAACCACCACTGAATTGCTGCGGTCGTGGTAAAGTTTCTGAAGTGTATGGTTTTGAAGTTTTGACGTTGATAGGACGAATATCCATCGTGGCAACAACGAAAGCCAAACCGATCTTTAATTCATTTTTGGCTAATTTCATCCCAATACAAGGATGCAGTCCTGTGCCCCAGCCAACGAATTCATACGGTCCACTACCTTCACCTCTTTCCCATCTGTTTGGATCGTATTTCAAGGGATTTGGGTAAATATCGTTTGAAAGATTAATCGTTGCCATATTGAAAGCCAAATATTCTCCATCTCGAATCGTTTCTCCACCAACGTTTCCTGTTGAACCGGGTTGCTTAGGTTGCATTAAACGGTAAATGTAATCGTTGCTCAAGAGACGAATTGTTTCACGAATGCAAAAGTAGGTAAAACCGAAATTATTTTCAAGTTGTTCGATGGAAAAGCTTGCAATCTTTTGGAATGCATTTGCTGTTGAAGGCACACCATTTTCTTTGCATAATCTTTCCATCGTTCCATCAATTTCTCCGCGTAATTTTTGGTAAATTCCATCGTCTGCAGATGCAAAAGCTAAAGTCCAAGCAAACATTGCCGAAGAATTGATGATGGAAGCAAACAAGTTTCCAGTTTGCCAAAGGGTGATATCCATTGCTGAATTTCCTGCATCAATAAGGACTTGTGTATAATCTTCTTCACGATCACCTGATGCGATACGCTTTTCAATTGGAGTTTTGAGTAAATTGTGTAAGTCTTCTCCTGCCTTTTTACGACGACGATTGCTGGGGATGGGCAGATTCGGAAAGATGGTGTTGAAGTAGTTGTTCTCTGTTTCGATAGCTGGAGAAAGATGGGAGAGGTGTAAGATAGAGCCGCTGTATGTTGGCGTTATATTGTACTCACTCCAATAACTGTCCATCATTGGTTTCAAAACACTTTTGTCATCTGCCAATTCTGTGCTACCGACGATACGAATGCTGACACGGAAGATGATCTGTGGGAGAAAGGCAAGACATGTGTCAGTAGGAATCCAGAACAATGGCACGCTCTCAAACGTACCCAGTACAATTGCTCCGTCATATTGATCAAACCGGTTGAACCAGCCTTTGTGGCATCAATACCATCATTCTTCCAAACATCTTGGAAACCTTCTTCAAAATCTCTTGCGACTTTACGCATGACATCATGTTGAATTAAACGTTTATCAGATAAACAGTTTCTCAAATTCTTGTTACGCCATTGATCGAATAAGTTCTGAGATTTGGGTGCAGGTTGATCTAAGGCAACCATTTTTTCATCCACTTCTCCTTCAACATCTTCTATGCTACGTTTTGGACTTGGAATGCCGATAAACAAACCTTGGAAACCTTTATTGAAGTTCAAATCACGGTTGTTGAAGAAAGATCTAGCACTTTCTGTTCCATGTACGATGGTCACGACTGGATTAAAGGAAGGGACAAAATCTAAGCATGAGTGTGACATTTATTATATTCCACATTCACTCACCCATGGAACGGATATTCATACGAATAGGTTTCAATTCAGCCGGTCTGGTTACGCTTCCCATGTGATTCTTCACCCAAGTAGGTCTTGAATTACCGTAAAAGCCCATTTGACCTAAAGCTGGAATGAATGATTTAATCTTCTTCGCTTTACTTCCTGCAGGAGGTTGAAAGCCAGCAGGAGCTCCAAAGAAGTATTGAAATGCAAGAATAGAAGCCAAAAGGGCCAAGATGGTGAATGTGATTGTATTGTTAGATTCTGTTTTGCCATCTTTGTGAAATGTTTGTAAGATTGAAGCGGGAACAAATGCTTCTACGCCTTGACTTGGCATTGGCACCTTGAAAGACGACATGATGAAACAAGATGATTGTGGGAATGAACGAATGCAAATAAAGAGCAACGTCCCCTCTTTATATAAATCCTATGATTAGAAATCCAACAGCACATAATCTCTCCGCGGTCATATGTTTGCATGAATCAGGTCCCTTCATGCTGCTTAATGTGTAAGATACAGTGATGTTCGGCATCCTTTCATATGGAAACAGCACATTGGCAGTGGTGTTCTTTGACCTTTTCTAGCCAAAAGGTGCAGGCTTTGCATTTTTCATTTTTGCATCATACTTCATCTCACACCCCGATCCAATTTGCGGTGATTAATCGGCAAAAAGTGTTGATAGAATGCAGAAACAGGTTCTATGGGCATGTATTCTTTCGGAAAAAGATTTGATTTGTGTATAAAAATACCCGTTGAGAGAGAAAGAGGGGGAGCAAGCACAAAAAATACAATGTGCAGTGCATCATTAGCTTACTCTTGAACCGCTTCCGTGTACCATTTGTTCGTTCGTCTGTTCTCTTGTTTTGCCTTATCCTTTTTAACCGTTGCATCGAGGGTTACGTTAGCGTGTGTTATTCTCTATCCCTTAGACTCTTCTTTCATTCTCCGCGGTCTTCCTTCAAGGTATAACTCCATGGAACGCATAATTTTTATACTTTTATCAATTAGTTGATGATATTAATAGATCATCTTCATCTGATGACAAGGCTGTTAGCAATACTCTTACATTCCAGAAGTTTTAGAAGCGCTAGCCATCAAGTGAATATTCGGGAACGTATTGCACCAAATTCACTAATGGGTAAAGCCCCTTCATGATAGTATGTCCACGGACCTCCTCAGCAACAAGCAAATGAAGGACAAGGTCACAATCATATTAACCATCATATCTCATTTAAAAAGCTTTGACCTGTTCATCAATAAACACTTGAGGATCATTTGACTTGGGCTGACATAAGCTGACTAAGCCATATCGTTCCAATGATCCGTGCGAAATGATGATTGCTTCTTCTGCATGATTATGTACTTCAGCATGACCCTTATATAATTATTATATTCGAAGATCTTCTCAATTTAATCACCATCAACAAGATCAAAAATGAGTAGTCATTTGATGGAAACGCCTCTAATAACGGCATCCGAATTGATCCAATCATCAATAGAGATCCTACAAAAACAAGGACAAACGGATAAAACTGCATTGGATTCATTACGCTTAGCACAAAAAGTATTGCAAGGATTAGATCCATACTTGGATGCAAGTTCAACAGAAGGTCCAAAAGGATTAAAAGCATTGATTGAAGAAACGGATAAACATGATTATGATACAGCTTACAAGAACAAACAACTTTCTTTTCCCGTTTCGGCAAAATGGAGCGCAGGCGCCTATGAAGGAAACTTCATCGCAATGATCGCAAAAGCGATCAAAGCAAAGAGAGTACTGGAAGTTGGAATGTTTACAGGAACGACAACATTGGCAGTAGCAGATGTGTTGCCTAAAGAAGGAGGTAAAATCATCGCACTCGAATTGGATGCTTATTTACGTGAATTAGCCAATCCATTCTTTGAGAGAGCAGGTGTTAAGGAACGAGTGGACGTTCGAATCGGAAAAGCGATGGATTCAATTCAAGAAATGATTAAAGCAAAGGAAGATCCATTCGATTTGATCTTCATTGATGCCGACAAGGGGGCTTATCAGCAGTATTACGACGTCATTATGGACAATGGCCTCTTACGTAAAGGTGGTGTACTTCTTGTGGATAATGTTTTATATAAAGCATCTCCATTCGTACCCGAACTACAACAAGCAACACCCGAACAACTCAAGACTGCCATCCAATTCGAAAACGGAAAAGCTTTAGCAGCCTTTAACAAATTTGTCAGACAAGACGATCGTGTGGATGTCACTATCCTACCTGTGCGTGATGGTGTATCCTGGATTCAATACAAGGGCTAATTCGAGGCACAACGATGTATAGATTAGAATCAATGTACAAAACCTCTTGCAATCCAATCATCAATGAACTTGTGTGTTAATGTCTGATCGACAGGTGTTGCTTCACGTAAAGAAGGGCAAAGCTCTTCGCATTGTTCAGTCTTGACGGTTGCCGGCTGCGATCCTTTTGGCATATTCTGCCAAATGTTGATTAAAGCGTTTCCACGAATTTTGCCTCCTGCTTTCCGTATTTTCTCGATCCAGGTGTCATTGTCTACCGTTTGGAATTCGGTCAGCCTACTTGTACTGATCCATTTGATGAAATCGGACCATGTCGGACTCTGCTTGGCGAAAGGTAAGGCCACATGCGCTATCTGGAGTGAATTTGTATTCTTTGATTCGTTCAGACTCAATTCCACAATTGCATTTGCAGCCACATCTACCCGAAGCCAGTCCAGATCCTGTCAGATTGTGGAGAGGGAGAAAGGAGTTTGTCAGTCATCAAGTAGTCCAGTCAACCACAGTACGACATACTCACAGGCCCACTTTTCGGCAGACATCCCACTTCATTTGCTGTGCGTACTAGAAGAGGCCAAGCCTCCGTTTCGTTCCATATACCGTTTTGGCTATCACCACATAATTGTCCCACACGTGCGACGATGACTTGTGCCTTGTTGGAACTGTGTGAACGAGCACTATTTGCAGCAGAAGCACATACTTCTTCAGCGATCCATTTAGACTGACCATATCCTGTGGAGCCCGCAGATGCAACATCCGTCGAAAGTTCTTCTTTGTGGGGACTTGGACCGGCCAGAACGCTTGCAAGAGATGAACAAAATATGAATCGATCAGGGTATTGACAATTGCCGAACAATGTCAAAAGATTGGCTAGAGGAGCAATACATGAACCTTCAAAGCTGCTAACTTGCAAAGAAAAGTTTACGATCCATGCGCAATGAATAATGATCGACCGTTTCGCTTGCTGTAGTCGAGGAAGTTGTGTATCGATATGAACCACAAACGATACTCTCTCTTCGAGATGGCTTGTGTTTGTCACATCCAATTTCCGATCTTTGAGGGGAGCAATCACGCGGGATCTGGCCTCCTCTTCATCCTTTGCACGTACTGAACATATAATATGTTCAACATTGGTATCATGCAGGAGATTGTGAAGGATTCGTGAGCCTAGCGTTCCTGTTGCGCCAGTCAGCAAGACAGTTGCAGGTGCATTGGGATCGAACTCTTTTCCTGACCATTGCAATTGGTCAAAGTAGGTATTCCGTTCTTGGATATCTTGAATTGATGAACTTTCACCGATTGTGGCGGCTTTTTGCCTATTGTCTATGTGTTGTGCTAATGCTTGTATTGTCGGGTACTGATACACTGCATTCTGTTCTAATCGGAAATCTTCCAGTTTGATATTCTGATGCACTGCTGCTCGTATTCTTACTGCTTTGATCGAGTCCACTCCTGCACCATAAAGATCTTCGTCGATGCTCATTTGCTTGTCAGCTATCTCAGATACAGTCTCACGAAGCCATTCTAGCAGAGCACTCCCATGCAGATCTCGCTTTTCGTGAACAGTGGGGGCCGTTCCCTGTTCGAACGCATCGTAAATACCACCGATAATGCTTTGAAGCTTTTCCAATGCTAAGCCACGCTGTAAGGTGCCTTTAGAAGATCGGGGAAGATGATTCAAAAGGTCCTCTTTCGCATCAACGATATGAATCATCTCTTGAGAAAGTTTGGCGTGACTTGGTAATTTTGCATTAACATCCGACAAGATTGATGATAGCCGCTCACTACGAAGGCTTTCGGCAGTAATTGACTCTTTGACCTCGACAATTGCACCGAGAAACGGACGATTTGCACCAAAGGCGATCGCATCTCGTATCTCCTCATGAGCTTTAAGCGAATCCTCAATCGGAGTAGAAGCAATCTTTTTGCCATTCACCATCACGATTCCGTCATCTGCACGTCTAGCATAGATCCATTTGTGATTGTCGGAAGAGTGATTGCGATACAGATCACCCGTTGCGAAACTTCCGTCAGGTCGATTAGATAACAGTTTGGAAGGCCATTCTTTGGCAACAATCAACTCGTATAAATCTTCTCCTTCTTGCTTCTCGAATTTAAGCCACTGTTTACTGGATTCATCTTCTATCCTCAGCCAAGACCAATCTTTGTCGTCGCCAAAAGAACGCCAAGAGGACATCAGAAAGCCACACTCCGAGCTGCCTAATCGAGATACAAGTTTAATATCGTACTTTTGCACCATTTCGTCACCTACCTCTTGCGGCAGCGGTGCTCCTCCCGTGCTTACGAGGTGCATTCTCTGTAGCATTTTGCGTGAAGTATCATCACCGAGCAAACCTTGCAAAACAAACGGTACCGATAAAAAGTATCCAACCTGTTCAGGACATGCTGCGACAGATTTCGAAATGTTTTCTGGTGTTGGTGCTTTTCCTTCATGCCATCCAAACATGTACAAGCTTGCACCTGCTTGAAATGCACGTAAGAGATCGGACAAGCCTCCATGGAACAGTGGTGTTGTTGTGAATGCTGGAATTTGTGTGCCGAACGCTGACCATAAGGAAGGAGTCCAGAATCGATGAGGATGTTTGATTGGCTTTGGATTTCCACTAGATCCAGAAGAATGAAAGATGACCAGTAGATCTTCAGGTTTGATGTCAGTGCTTATGCCAGGTGTTTGATCTTTCCTCGATATCAAATTTTCATCTTCACTCCACTTGAGTAAATCCAGCTCGTACTTCTGCTCGTTGGCTCTCTGTGTGATCTCATCAACGAGTCCTTTCTGTGTAGGATGTGCGAGGATTTGATGTGAAGAGGTACTTTGCAACAGGCTCAGAGCCCCATTTGCCGTTGTACCCAACGCGATTGGCAAGATCGCTAGCCCTAATCTCCAACATCCCAAGACGTGAGCCAAAAAGAAAGGTCCACTTGGTGCAATGATTGCAACGATTTGTTGACCCTCAGCAGGTGCTTGAAGCTGATCTGCTATCTGACGTGCCATCCGGAGAGAAATAGTCATCAGATCTTTATATGTCCACTGCATGCATTTGTTCTCCAGAATGGACGGGAAACCGACAGCTATCCGATCACTTGAATGGTTTGCACGATGGTCTAGCATTGACAAGACATTTTCATGTCTTCTCGGTTCAGGAGATTGAGGATCAGGTAACCCCTTGACCATTTGAGGTACATTTAATGTCAAGTAAGGAACATGGCTTATACTCGTATCGCCATCAGAGCTTGTCGCATTTTTGCTGGCCACGTTATCGGTAGTGGAGGCCATCACTCTGGCGATAGAATTCTTTCCACTTGTTTTGTAGGCAGTACAGGATCATACAATGATTCCCGGGAGACGATCGTCGTCTCTTTATAAGATTGTACTGCGATCATCTTTGGCTTGATCATGACGATAGAAAGAAAGCTTATGCTGCATGTATGCTTATGTGAACAACACATCATACGCGAGAAGAACCCTGCAGACAGAGTCAAAGCGTGGATGCATTAGTGTTTTTGAGGGTGCTGAGTTGTAGTACGGGAAGCAACAAAGCGAACAAGCTTACCGTCTTACCATCATTCAACAAAACATGGCATCATTAAGAACAGGTGTTTTGGATGCAAGTCGTCGGGTTTCACTTTGTGGAATAGATGGAAAAGATGTTGCCGTTCCAATCTTGGCTTGTGGAACATGGGCATGGGGCGATAAAGGTCTTTGGGGATATGATGAAGAGAAAGATTTTGCGAATGTAGAACGAGCATGGACGAGCTTAAATGGATCTGGAATTGGATTTTATGATACGGCAGAAGTATATGGAAAAGGAGAAAGTGAGCGAATCATTGGAAAGTTACTCAAACAGACGCCTAGTGAACAAAGGTCACAAGTGATCATTGCATCAAAGTGGTTGCCTGTTCCTATCTTGCACGGAAGATGGATTCCTGGAGGGGGTATCGAAGGTGCACTACGAAACAGTCTCAAAAGGTTGGGTGTAGAGACTATTGATCTGTATCAAGTCCACAGTGCATGGACATACTTTTACAGCTTTGAAACGATTGCAAAGTCATTGGCAGATTGCGTCAAGAAAGGTTTAACTAAAACTGTTGGAGTGAGCAATTATTCCAAAGAGCAAATGTTGCACATGCGGGACGCTCTCAAAAAGTACAACGTCCCTCTCGCAAGCAATCAGGTCGAATTCAGCTTAGCAAGAACGTATCCCTTATCGTCTGGCCTGATTGAAGCTTGTCATGAGAACGACATCGTACCTTTGGCTTACTCACCTCTTGCAATGGGACGTTTGACCGGCAAATATTCCGCGCAAAATCCACCTCCTTCTAATCGTAGATTTGGAAATTTACCAATCGAATCATATGAGCCTTTGTTGGATGTTATGCGTACAATTGCCGAAAATCACAAAGTCTCATGTAGTGCGGTTGCATTGAATTATGTAATGGCAAAAGGATGTATTCCTTTGAGTGGTGCAAAGAATGCGAAACAAGCACAACAAAATGCACAAGCATTAGGATGGAGATTGACCGAAGAAGAAATTACACAATTGGAAACACATCAAAAGATCGGTGGAACTACATTTTGGCAAAAAGGTTGAAAAGATGTTTCTCCTTACTCCGTTTTCCGTGTTTTTTTTGACTTTAGAGCTATCATCATCAGGAATACCACCATACTTAAATCTTTTAAAAAGTTGTGAAAGATAAAATAATGCAAAAGAGTGCACTGTACACTGGTCTAGTGCCTCTCAACGCGCAGACTGAGGGAATGTATGCGGGGTAGAGGCAGTGGAGAAAGAAACGCACCTTCCCGTTCATAAAAAAGGTCACAATTGTGAACAATCATCTCTCCCCCTTCCATCATCCCAATCAATTCTCAAAGATGACAAGTCAAAAACGTAGAACAATCAAGATTCCTAGCCAAGGGGAAGAATTAGATGCTTGGGTTTATCCGGCTGCAGGTGTAAAAGAAGGACAAAAAGCTCCTGCAATCTTGATGGCCCATGGACTAGGTGGAATCAAGATAATGCGGTTAGATGCATTCTCTGAGAAATTCAGTCAAGCAGGATTTGTAGCAATTGCATTTGATTATCGTTACTTCGGTGAAAGCTCAGGTGAACCACGTGGTTTGATCGATATTACAAAACAACAAGAAGATTGGGATGCTGCATTTGATTATGTTCGAACGCAAATGTCAGAAGTAGATCCTGATCGGATTGGTTTGTTTGGTACGAGTTTCAGTGGCGGGCATGTTATCCAACAAGCAGCTAAACATGGAAATCAAGTTAAAGCAACTGTCAGTCAATGTCCTTTCACCGATGGTATCGCTTCTGCCCTTCAAGTGAAACTCAGCACGATCCCAACTCTCCTCTTCCGCGGCATTCGTGATCAGGTTTTTCGTTCCAGTACTAGCCCAGTTCGGATTCCGCTCGTTGCTGAACCTGGTAATGCTGCTCTGCTTGCTTCACATGATACAGTATCCGGTTATATGGCATTGTTGCCTGAAGGTGTAACGAAATTGGAAGTAGAAGAAGTGCCTGCTAGGGCGGCTCTATGGATTCCATTGTCCCGACCAGGATCCTACGCAAAGCAAGTTCGATCACCAATCTTCTTTGCCGTATGTACAAAAGATTCCGTTGCACCTGCAAAACAGACGATCGGATTTGCAAAACAAGCGCCAAAAGCTACGATCAAAGAATATGACGTTGGACATTTTGACATTTATGTCGGAGAACCTTTCGAGAAAGCCACAAAGGATTATATAGACTTTTACAGAGCCAGCTTTGATGCAGCAATCAGCAGTAAACTTTGATGTGTTGTTCTATGTTACATGATTTATTATTTCGCTAATTAGACATCTTTCTGTTCTGTCTGCAAAGGCCCTGTTCGCATGAAGACTATAGTGGGAAAATTGCGAACCTGCGTTAGAGATCGATCGACCGGTCCGAAATCGATTGGAGATTGGTGAGCAAAGCCTGCTTTTGTATAGCATCCTACTCCTGCAATGCTTGCCTCCAAGACAGCCTCACGAATGCCGTTCTCTTTGCCATATTGTACACCCCAACTGCTGAGTAATACCCCTACACCTTTTCGTTGCATGTCCGGTCGAACGGCACACAATTCCAACGCAATGACCGGTCGATCATCCTGTGAATCTGCAAGAACAACATCTCTTCTTTGTGTGATATAGATTGGCCATATCTGTCTCAGCCATTCTTGTGCTAAAGGTTGATCAGGATACATTGCCTTCAAATTAAATTCTTCTTCCGCTTTTTCCGATTCCAAATTCTTTGTAGGAGTCATGATTGTCCAAATAGCAAAGCCCGCAATTTGATTTGCGATTGTTGCTTTCAAATAATGAAAATCAACATCATCTCTTTTGGATTGCCACATTTCACGTAATCTGTTCGTACCATTTCGTCTGCCCTCCGTAGTGTCGTGTTCGGGATACATTGAATTGAACATCGGTTTATCCTTCCCAAAAGCTAATGACATCACTTCGAAACATCGTTCGATCTCTTCTTCTGATTCGACTTTTGTGATCTTTACTGTTTCGCTTTGTGAATGTGTATCTTCAACAGCCATCTTTGCAGCGCTCTTGGAAGAAGGAAGAAAAGGTGGGGAAAATGCAATGCATCACTCAAATAAACGCGCCGGTTGTTCGGAGTCACTTCTTTCATCAATCCCGGAAGCCTCCTGATTGTTACCTCTATGCGTCGAAATGACTGGTTGAAGCTATTCATACACACCTTCATATTCTGATTCATAAAAAAGAGTATATTCGGTAGCATATATAATACAGAGCAGAAATTATCGAGTGGCACTAATTACAGCAAGGAAGGGATAGCATTTACACATAAGTTCGACCTCCAATAAAAATGTGTTTGGGACCCCAAAAAAGAATAAAGTACAAAATAAAAGTAGTCGTCGTCGTCGTCGAAAACAAAATCCAGCATTCGTCAAGCATCTCTACAGGTTTTCACTTCGAAGAACACCTCTACGCCATCCACTTGTTCCACGAGTGGGTAATTGACCGGCTAGCTCTGCATCAGATTGAACAGGCGGCAAAGTTGTCAACATTTCCACAGAAGTTGCTTGTCCAACAACTTCTTCTTCATCATCAAACAAACTTGCCAATAATGTTTCACGATGTATATTTCCCAGCTCTTCTGCTTCTTGATCGTTTGAAACCACAACAACTTGTTGAACTGGTTGTCTTCCCGCTTCTCCGCCATAAACAGACTTTAGTGCTCTCGGCAGTCCAAACGATAGGCCTCCAAGCTTCTTGGTGTTTTGCGGTTGATAGACGTTATCGAATTGCACTTGCCCATGTGATGATGGATTCATTAATTCTTCCTTGACGGATGAATTTGGTAGTCCGTTCAACGGAGTCGACTTCGGAGATCCTTTCTCGGGCGATCCATGTGCATCAGCACCGCCACTTCCGCCACTGCTTGGACGAGAGAGGAAAAAAGTAGAATCCCGACTATGATGAACACGATGCAATCTGATAGTTGACCAACTCGTTGCCAAAACTGACAGAAGTGTCGAAAGATAAACGTTTGTCAAAGAAGCGATGTAAAGAACAACTCCTTTTCCCAATTGAGCAGCAACGGCAGCAATGATCTGTGCAATGACCGGCAAGATAAATGTCATTGCTAATGATTCGATCAAATAACGAAGCCTTCTCTGTAGCAATGCTGTCCCTCTACGCTTTCGCATTCGCCTTCGTTGTGCGAATAGGTATATTTTGCGAAACAATAAAGCTGATGCGTAACTGCAATAGATGATCTGCAGAATAAACTCAGCCATCGCACTTCGATGATACACTCTTCCTTTGGCTGCTGTGATTTCGGGAGGCGTATTGGCGGCTAGATAATCGTATTGATAATAAAAGTATGTGACCAAAGTGCACGTCACAGTTCGTGCCAGTCCAATGACCAGTAAAGGCGCAACAGGGATCCAGCGTTGTCGAAGGATACCTCTTTTTCCGCTTGGCGAAGGGATTGGCGAGACTGGATAAAAAGCCAGAACTTTGAAGATCAGAGTGGCATCGCAAACCAGAGGTGTGAATGCTTCAAATGCTTTTTGAGCACATTCGATCGGAACGAGAGTGTCTGTCATGTTTTTGCTGGTGAATAATGATTTCGCGTTCAAGACCACACAAACTGTTACCAATAAAGCATTTGTCAAAGCCATCGGAAAAGCAACGCATTGTAAGGTGAAAACCGGACCTCGTCTCTGTTGCGGAGTGGAAAGCAAGACCAGCGCGATCGCAACTGTGGCTAGGATACCCAACCATGTCGTATTGAATAGCCCGTATGCTTGTTGAACGACGAGAGATTGAGCGGTTGGTGCATCGATTTGCCATACAGGCGTTGATGAATTTGTGGCAGCAGCGTCGGCCATGATTTGTAGAGATGGAGATTAGAGTAAGGGATGATAATTCTCGCTTGACAGGTTACCTAGACATTTCTTCCGTGACCCTCTACTGTTGGAAGAAGTCGATTTTGGTGGATAGGGTTGATGTTAGACCTTCTTTAACGATCAGTAGGAAGAGAGATGATGTGAGCAAGAAGTTGTTTGATGTATGCGTGCGCACCTGTTTGACAAGGTGTCTGTCTCTACTTTAATTCAAGCCATGCACAACTGTAAATCTGCAGTCAGTCAAGCGCAAGGAACAGATAAGGTGAATGAATGAGTGAGTGCCTGTGACGGGATTTGAGTTAATCATTAAAGCATCAAAGAGGATTTGAAACAACACTCAATTTATGCCTTTACCGGTATAATTTAGGAACGCGACTTTCTTCTCCATCTATAACGTGTAGATTAAAATTGCATTACTCACTGCTCAAGTGCTAGAAACGGTTCCGTTTAATGTACGCGACCATTGACCGTGCTCAAGTGCCGCTTTCTTCCAATTCATTTGCATCTGATTTCCCTTTGTGCAGTAGTACTTTGTCTGTGCTTTTTTCAGGGGCCGCGATGATGTTCATTTCACCGAAATTACACTGTCAAGGTACCGAAAGCGGTTGCTTAAATGTGGGTAATAGCAGGCCCTAGATAAAGGCACAATCACACAGTCACATACAAAGAAACCCTACTTTTTCAATTCCTGTCAATTGTCTTTTTTATCGCAAGGACCGAAATGAAAAAGACACGCTAATTAGAATCAAACTAAACAACAACAAATCACGGATCCCTTCTTCGCATCGTTTAAACTCCGAATTCGATCGATTAATTGGCGTGTTGCATTCTCATAGATAGGTGTGTGTGAATGAAGATTAATCACAATTGTTTGTTTGATTGATCAATTTATTATATATATGCTATTAAAATACAACTTTTATGGGAAAATATACAGTAATCATACAATAGCGAATAATGTGCGTATGCGCAACAAAAATTATACATATCAGACCGTGGGTAAAGAAAGAATTGACCTAAACTCCGCCCTTATTGTGCGGGAATGGAAACGGGCCACCATGAAGCTGGATTAGATTGAGAAAGATTGGGTAAATGTAAAGATTCCATCACTTTTCTGCGTTTGGCCAGAGGTTGAATAGAAGGAGAAATGTGATTTTGAGAGATAAGCGATTTAGAAAGGAGAGCAGGCGGTTCTTCTTTTGATTGAATTGAAGATACCGGTGAACACGGGAATGATTCAGGTTCAGATGATAGTTCACGTAATGAGAACGTTGGCGTTGGAGGTATAGATGTTGACGGTGAAGATGCTAAATCGGATGAAGAAGTGGCAGATAAGGAAGAATAAAAGAATGTTTCATCGCGATCTTGAATGATTGGTATGCCAGCAGAATCTTTCATTGTATCTTGCACAGCACTAGAAAGCATTGCATCCATTTCTTCATCGTTATTGAATTCTCTTTTGAGAGATGATTTTGAGGAGACGGATTCTTTCTTTGTTAGAGCTGGCGTTTTGCTTTGTCTAGATGATGACGATGAAGGTGTAGAAGATTCACCGAAATAGAGACCCAAAGAGCTGTTCACAATACTAGGAGAATGAGTTTGACTGATTTGAAGCATGCTTTGCCGTGTCATGTGATTGGTAGCCATCTCGATCCAATTGATAGGAAATGCTAAAACATCTTCCAAAGGCACCAATCCTGCTTCAACAGCTCGCAATAATATTTCAGATCGATTAGATTGGATTTGTCTTTGAATATAAGCTGATGAAGCAGCTGTATCAATGGTTAAATTGTGTTCACGTCTATCTCTGGGTGATGACCACATTGTTTTGTTGTTTATAAAGAGTAGATGTTTGATATGGAGGTAAATGCCACCTATCTTTAGGGAAAGGATGAACCTTTTTTATACCTTTTTTTATTATCAAAGATTTCGGGATGTAGGCGATCGAGATGTGATTTAAGATCCAATATATGGAGGGTTTATATAAATTGACAATACATATATTAAATCTTCCCATAACCTTATTCGGAATGGTAATGGGCAAGTACCCAACTTTAAACTGTCAAATGTCGCATTAAATTTCGGTCTGGTGGAGTGCTGTTTAGAATGATCGGCGCTTCGGGATATGCACTTTAAAGAGAGCGGATTTTGTATTAATCGGCGATAACACAATACAAAATAAATAAAAAATAAGAAAAGCTTTTGCGCGGTGGATTACGCTGAAATGCGCGCGGATCTTATTTCTTTTACACTGTGCTTATGTGCCCGTGTTTATGCATTTTTTTTCGGGCCTTTTCTTCTTCTTCTTTTCTTAAAAACCCGCGGCCGTTTGCGTCAACGGGCGAAGGTGCAGCTCATTCCGTTGAGTGTTAAAATGCACTTCCATAATTCCGAGACAAGTGACTGACTAAAAGACATGACATACAATCACTTTTTCATATTTTATCTGACTCGTACTCATGACGAACGAATAATGACAGCAAGAAAAACGTGGGAATTCCATAGCAAATGATGGATGTTTGCATCGAGTCTGCTCATATTCGGCAGAGAAGAAGCCACATATTTCATCTTTTATCAACTTCGTTTACTAGAATGTAAACAGTAGAAAGAGTTCGATTTATTGCTGTTTATTAAAAGACAATAAGCATCTTGGAACAACGGCGTCTAAATTATTCAACGATGGAAAAAATATACACATCTTATCTCGCTAACTCCGTCTTACATATCCGTTTTTGTGGCGCGCAATCCATCACTGTTCATCATGCTGCCCCCTCCACTAGTAAGATTCTTGTGTACTTCTTGGAATCTGCATCTGCATCTTATGCATATAGAATCAAAATTTTTCAATTTCAGCATTGATAGTGCGGGAATACAATCAATCAGGCACAAGAACAGGCTTCCTCCTTCCATCGGTTGTACAGAACTGCACCGCGCAGGAGATTTAATTAAACTTCTTTTAATTTAAATTTTTGATTTATTTCATTCCATGCATATCATCGTTCCTTTTTCGGATTTAACGTTTTATCGGTTTTGTTGCCGAGACAAACACTTTATACGGGAGGACGTCATGACTGTACCACCCCATGGGATAATCTCTATTCCGCCGGTGATTCGCCTGAATTTAATTGATTAAATGCACTTCCTACGCATTACAGGTCTTTTACTTCGGGCGAATTCTTCTCCAGATCATTGGTACCCCTTTAAAAACATGTAAAATGAACAAAGTGGCTTTATCGGATCAGCTCAAAAGCCGAAACACCGAACATCGCAGTAGTTTGTTGTGTTTCCGTCTACTCCGGTCAGAGATGATGACGAACAGAGGCTATGACGAATAGAGACTATGAAACGAATTTGAACCAGTAGGCATTACATAATCTTCTGACTATGGAGACATAATAATAAAAAAGTATAGAACGAATAGTAGGCTAAAAGTATGCCAGAATAGGTGACCCTCCTCCCTCCGATAGGGTCTATTCTACGATCATTCGAACTTTATACGCTTAAGCTGATCAGTAGAATAGACCCTCTCGATCAGATATTCATACGCTTAAGAACACTAGTTCGAGAGGAAGGGCAAGTAGAATAAGCGTGATCAGTAGAATAGACCCTCTCGATCAGAGATTCATACGCTTAAGAACACTAGTTCGAGAGGAAGGGCAAGCAAAATGATAAAGGATTTAATGGCGCTGCATATAAGTTTGAGAAAAGCATCCGCATCGATCTTTAAGGACCTGCTATGGGATGTTGATTGGATAGGTTTACAGGCATGGAAGGTACAGTGAGAGCTTCTTCTACCTCTACCTCCTTTTCACCCCTTCGCGCGTATCTTAATATTCATGTATGCATATTGCTTCTTGGCGTGCTGGTTAGTTCTTGGCATTCACATTAAAAACGAACAATTTATAAGAGTAAGAGGTGGTATATTTTAGAAATGATCCGATTCTCCAAGACCATTGCTTATAATGGGGTCCCCTTTATACTCGTCACTGCCGTCGGAGACAATCGGAAAGAATACTTCATAGATTAAAACACAGACTCGCTTTCACTACCATCGTCGTAAAACAAAATACTGACAATCGTGGGTGATCGCCATGTGTGATTCTACACAGAACGGCTCCTACGATGAAAACTTGCATATTGCCTCGATATTCGTAGTGTTTGTCGGAAGTGCGGCTGGTATTCTTCTACCTTTATTACCCGAATTTATTCTGAAGAACAATATCTCATCATACAAAGAAGTCCTTCTTAAAAATCTGACATTCTACTGCAAATGGTTCGGAAGTGGCGTGATCCTTGCTACTTCTTTGGTACATCTTCTATTTGAAGCCTTCAATACACTCTCACCGAATTGCATCAATTTAACGTACGAACCTTTATCACCTTTGATCGTTTTAGGTAGCTTGGTGATTGTTTTGGTCATAGACTTTTGCCTTGCTAGATTGATGTATAGGAAGCGACTCAAAGCTGAACAGACTATTAGAGACAGCAATGTAATCGATGATGGAAGAGAACAGGAGGAAAAAAACGAAGCTGACTTGAAGAGGATACAGAAGATTCAAGCACATACCGATATCATCATCATCGAAAGTGGGATCGTGTTTCACTCTGTCATCGTTGGCTTAACCCTTGGCGTTGCTACAGAGCCGGGTTTTATCGCATTGTTCATAGCGATTGTCTTTCATCAAGCTTGCGATGGTTTAGGTAAGTGTTAAGAGCGAGAAGGACTATAAGATCACTAATATCTTACCTTTCTATTCTTATCTAATTACAGCAATTGGCTCGCGAATGGCCGAGCTATCCTACAAGGGCAAAAGGCTACAGCAAGTGATTATGATTGTATCTTACGCCTTAATAACGCCGATCGGAATTGCGATCGGAATTGGTGTAAAACATAATTTTGATCCTGCAAAAGTTTCAACTCAATTGGCTATTGGTATTCTGGATTCGATCGCCTCAGGTGTTCTCCTTTATGGTGCTATTGTTGATGTTCTGGCAAAAGAATGCTTCGGAACGGGTGGACCAACAGGCAAGCCAGGTCTTCTTGAGGCTTCGAATATGGATGTCGCTTCTGCTTTTGGCGCTCTTCTTCTTGGTGCTGGAATTATGAGCTTATTGGGTCATTGGGCTTAGAGCATGTCGTCAGACTGATCTTTATGTTATACAATTGCTATCATAGAAATACAGTACTATCGTCAATGGTCTCGAGCGCTTTTTGTTGTTCTTTGTGATGTTCTTCGCTATACGAATAAGCGAGAGTATATTGTGTGACCTGCTTTATGCGTCTATTTCTTGGGCTTCTATTGCGAGTGGAATAGATAGATAATGTCAGCTTTTCCAAGCTTCATAGATTCTTTGTATTGCAGAATGACTCACCCTAGCTGATTACATCTTACACCCTCAAAACACCCTCTGCAAGGTTTAGAGATCCCGCTTGTGTTAGAGCATATAGATCGCAAATCGGCTTGTTGAGGAGATAGAGTGATTTGATTACTGCCATACGAGCCTCCGGTATGTTTTACGCCAGCAATACCATTTTTCGAAACAGAGATGGCACTTGAATATAATTTTGAAAATCGTAAACGAAGTTGTATTCTGTCAAATTTCGATTGTGAACCGCCGATTAATGATTTCGTCGTACTATTTATTCGCTTTGCTTCTGGGAATCCTGGTCGATTATTGCACACTTGATCATATGATGGAGGCGCTGTCATTTGCGAAGAGGTCATTATTGACGGTTGATGTTGCCTGGTGATTGACTCGTGACGGTTGTAGCTTATTGAGATGCTACGTTATTCAATCGTTCACAAAATGTTGTACAATGACGATCAATTACCCATGCCAAGAAGCGGAGCCAAGATCTTAATTGTGAGATACCGTAACAGTTTTGCTTAAATTGAATCAAGTTCCGTAACTCGGAAATCCCCTGAATTGATTCTCATGTTTTATCTGCTAAAAATGACAGCATGTTGAAATTACGCCGAAGTGGCTAGGTACGTTCAAGGAACCCTATGCAAAAAGATAGCGAAAGCAAGAGTAGAAAAAAGAGGGTTCAAAACAGGCTGATCGGTAGCCTTATCATTTACACTGTGGCCTTGTTTAAAATAAATTGTCTAATTTAGCAATATCTCTTCTGTCCCTATTTCGAGCTTTAATTAAATTTTATGATTCTGAGGGAAGATCGGAAATTATGTGGAGAAATGAGTTACAATAAACACTGCTTAAGTACAAGCAACTTATGTTCAAAAGCAGCATACTACAAACATCATTCTATACTGTTGTAGAGCCAGGAAGAATGCTAAAAGCAGCACACACACACACACAACGTGGGAATCTGGCATATCTATACAGCCAGCTTATTCATAGCAACTTTCAGCTATTCAATTATTCAACGTCTAAAGGGGAGAAAGCTTGGCGTATTCGTATATCCATACAACGGATTCCGCTTGGCATCACGTTCCGCTCCTTGTAGGATATATTCTTATAATTACAGAATGCTTATAGACCATACTAAGTCAAAGTAATTGTGGCTTCTTGGCGTATTTATCGATGAGCTCCAGTTCAACTGATCTTGATCTTATACAATGTCTGAGCGAAAAACACGAATCGGAAACCACTTGATTCACTGCTCCCCCAAGATTATTACTTATATAAGCATTCAAAAGAGATCGGGAGATTCATTGGGGTTCGGGTGGTATGAACGTCTGCCTTATAGCTTTATAATCACGGCATTCTTCCCAGGGAGGACCCTTTGTAGAGTTTGCTTATGGCATACTTTACATTGCATTGCAGTGTGATATACTGTATAGTCTTAAGACGTAAGCAAAAGACGTTGGAAGGAGTTGACTTTTGGCTTAACGCGCGTCAAAAGGGTCTGATAGAAGATAAGATTCTTCTAATGCTTACCAAACCATGCCTTAAAAGGTACTTTCATGTCAGCAATTATCAATGGCTATATCGATGTTGAAACGGGATGCATTAAGACTTGAATGGCAAAGACAACAGAAATAGTGCTAATCGACCAGCGGAGAATATTGTATGATAGATGTTTACGATCCTCATAGGTTGCATTAGTCTATCCTGTCAATGTTTGTTCGTGTGGAGAGAGATACTCTAGATGACGTCGTGTATGCTTTAATGCGGAATATTTGATGAGGTAAACAGAGAGAGATAGGAACAATCTTGCTGTGTATATAAACAACGAAAGATTAATTATCCTCTTCTACCTCTTTCCAGATCAAATAATTTTTTAACTTTCAACCCACTATAACTCAAACACTCAAAATGGCTGACCGTGAACAAGAGCAGATCGATCAAGAGGAGTTCCAACCTGGACAAAACGAGCAAGCTCAAGAGCAAAATGACTCAATCGATCAAAACCAGCTACAAAGCGGTGCATCCGTAGAACCCGAAGCTCAAGACTTAAGCAAAGATAACATCATCGATGACAGCAAAGGTCCAGGAGGTCGTTCTTTGCGAGCCAACCGCGGCGACCCAACTTCAGCTGTGAGTTAAGACCAGATTGAGACATTTTGAGTGTTGATTGTACTGACTTTATTGATTCTTCTCTCTCCCAGGACAAAGACATTGACGCTGCTGTCGATAGCGCCGAACAAGCTGAGGCTTGATTGTTCCCCTCACATCATTTTTCAAGCATGATATACACGGAGCTTCAATTTTGATACCCATGTACCATTGTTACATAACATTGTATAAGGAATGAATACTATTGCAGGGTCGAATTTATGGGAATCTATCCAATATCGTGGCTTTTATTGAATCCATGTCTGGCTTCTTGGGACCCTTGGCCAAAGCTGCTCGCACTGAGGGATCCTCTTTCCATTCATCCCAAATAGGTAAGTCCAAATCGTATCCTACCACAGATCTGCCGTACGTTGTTCCTGAGAAACGCGAGATTGGTCGTAAGGCACTGATATCTATCCCTCCTGTTTCATCAATGATATCCTCACGTAAGTGGATCATTTTTACCCTTCCAATCACCATTGTGGTCGAATGATCACCTTCATCATTATTCCATTGATTTGTCATGTCAACCTCTAATTCCATCGCAAAAGGTGCTTCACCTACTCTTGGAGCGTTGACCCGAACAGCTGGAACGGGTGTCAATCCTGTCAATGCGAACTCCGAGGTTCCGGTAGGAGCATTGATTGCAGCAAAATTGATGGCTTCAGCATATTGTTCAGTTGAACAAGATATTGTGTATTGTTTATTTGTTAATATATTTTGTTCGCTATCTTTTACTCGATCTCGCCTTCCCCCAAAGCTGATCATTACCAAAGGCGGATTATGGCTGACCATTTGATACCAAGAAATAGGAGCCAAATTAGGTGCTCCATTTGCATTATACGTGCCTACCAAAGCGACAGGTCTAGGAGACTGGAGTGTATGCAAATGTCAGTGTCTTAGCTAAATGCACAATGGTACTCCTGACTCACAATACCTCCTAGCATGATTCGATAAAGTGCCTTTTTGTCCATCTCTGTCTTCCCTGGCTCGATCAGCTTGTATGGGATCTCCTTATTGTTTTTTGAGGAAGATTCGTTGCATCCTTGTCCTGGCTTCCAATCCACATCTGGCGCGGAAGTTGCTTCAAATTGTAAGGATGAATCAAAAGAAGACATTATTGAAGAAGTGATGGTCGAACGACAATTATGTTGTTAGGAATGCGAGTTGATGACTAGCTTTACGTTGGAAGTTTCTGTTTACTGACGTGGGGTGCATCTCCTAGCGTGTATGTCTGCGCCGGAAAAGACGGCCGTAGAATCGGAGCCGGACCAAGCTGCCTTATCTTACCATTCAAAGTTCTTCAAGTTTAATATACCCATCTTGTCTCAGGCGAAGATAGGAAAGGAGGTCATTCGTAGATACATAAACCCTTATCCCCACTTGCCTCGTAGCTCAGTGATGGGAGGATGAACTTCATTCATGTAAAGAATTTTCTAAACAGATGGGTCATCACTTTTTCGATTATAAGAAATATTGAGCAGCAATTATTTTAGTAACGACAGTGTTGAATCGGAACCAAAACTCGATCGGAAGGAGTTGATATGCCTACGGTCATCCGGCCCTCTCAAGATTTGCATCGGCCAATTCTTTTGCACGCTTGTCAACATCACCCGGTGAGAAGTCATGTGAATCTCTCTTTTAACGGCATCGGATTTCTTGCCTAGCATCTAAGCCTCTCTTGTCAGGTTCAGGATTGCATGCATATTCTTGCCTAGCGATTATAACATTTCCCAACGAATCCTCCCGAGGAGTGATAGGTTGAGCCTGTTTGTGAAGGAGTAATCTTGAATCAATACGCGTTGCTTCAGACTATCTGAGAGTGGCAGGAATCTAATTACCGAAACGCTACTGCTTTGACACAAGAAGATCATAAGAATCATTTGCAGGAATAAGACCTTGGTGATCGCTCTGCTGATCATTTTGAGGCCTATAAGAAACTTAGAATGTTGGTAAAACATACAAAGATTAGTATAGTGATAAAAGATAAGAGACAACCATTTTGTATCAGGTGAAATTAGTCATGATTACTACGGCGCTCAGGAGCTACTTCATGGAAGCCAGAGAAGTAAATTATTGCCCCCTTTTATCGAAGCGATGAACGATATTCAGCACGATTAAATTTACCTCCTAGTAGACACGTATTAGACATATTGAACAATCAAGGAGTACCAGCTTCCGGTATAAACAGAACATAAACCAAGCAATCTTATCGTATTATCTTTATCAAAAGCCTTACTCAATGATGTCAGTCGAAACGATTAAATCACTTTAAGTTGATCCTATACGAATACCTGGATGCCCCTTTCAAGTATCGCATAGCAGGAGCAGAAAGCATGTAAAATCAATTGTATATCACGATGAAAGACTATAAAATGGTAAGAGTTTCATAAAATCTTTCACACTTAATTTCTTACTCAAGTTTTACATCTCAACAAACAAACAAGACAACAATTTTCTATTATGCTCTTCAACAAGTCCACTTACGTTTCTTTCATTCTTGCAGCTTTAGCGCTCGTAAGTACAGTTTCGAGTTTACCTGCCTCGTCTGTTCCAGAGAAAAGGTGAGAAACAAAATAAAAAGTTGGTTGTCAACCATCATAACCTAAACATCTCTTCTCATGTTCCTCAGATTATTATGGGACAACCCAGACTCAAATGGAGCCTTGAAAAGGTGAGCAAATACGATGAGGGTAGGGAATCGTTTTCAAGTTAAGCTGACAATCATTTATAATTTAAAGACGTGTAGTTGCTGATAGCGGAAGCGCAGATCTTTGGCCAAAGCCAAAGCCATCTAAGAGAGGGTAAGAATCAGAGTAATCTCAATACAGAAATAAATATTTTATTTAAGCTGACAATCATTTATAATCCTAAGAGGTCTTCCATCTGATGATAGCGGAAGTGTAGGTACTTGGCCAAAGCCAAAGTCATCTAAGAGAGGGTGAGAATACAGGGTAATCTCAATCAATACAGAAACAAATAGTCATGCTAACTGCCATGACTGTCTCACTATACATTCTCCAAAATCCACAAAAGTGTTCCATCAACTGACTCTCCAAGCGCAGGAATGTGGGAACCAACAAATGACAAAAGGTAAGCATACATGATGAATGTGATTAAATAAGTTAAGTCAAACTAACAATTATCAACATCTTTACATCAAACATTAAAAGAGGTCA